TCACCCTTTGTGGTCTAGGTAAATTGAAGAATTGCCTAGGGGAAATCCCAGCACCTACCCCTCTTACTCTCCCTGGATGCTCGGGACCCAAAGCCATGGTCAACACATCATTACTGCCAGTTATACTCAGACTGCCTTCAGCCACTTGTTTTTGCAAGTCATCCTAAAACAAAGACAAAAAAAAAGTCAGCACAAGAAAATACACGACGGTTATTTATAAACAAACGACGCATTATATAATTTCACACGACGGACCAATATAGAAATCGACGTTATAATATCTTTATAACGACGTTAATTAAAACCGACGTGGTTAGTTTCTTAAAACGACGCAATAAATAAACCACCGACGTCTTATGCTGTAATTACAGAAAACAGAGTTGTGATTTCAGATTTAGATATTTCACGACGTTTTTGAAAACATTTCGACGTAGTAATAACATTAACACGACGGAAAACATTAACCACCGACGTCTTATGCTATAATTACAGAAAACAGAGTTGTGATTCCAGATTTATATCTTTCACGACGTTTTTAAAATATTTCGACGTAGTAAAATCATTCACACGACGGAAAAATATAATATAAGACGTAGTAAGAATTCTACACAGTAATATAAAAATTTAAAACAGAGTGTGTAGGCTTACAATTAATTTTGCTTTCTCTGCCACCTTTGGATCCGGGATGTTACCAAGTTTGTCCTGTCTAGCTTTCTTCCATAAGGTAGATCGATCAATTTCTACCCCAGGCATGGTTTCCTCCAATTGATCCTCCAAACCAGCATATCCTTTTCGAGACAATCGATGATTGTACTCAAGTTTCTCCCTAATCTGTGCATGTTGAGAATGCACAGACTCAAAGTCTTTGGATAACCTTGAAGCTACAAAGGCATCCCATTCTGCTTTCTCTATGAATTTATATACTGCAGGGGGTTGGCTTAATTTCTCCCTCTCATTGATGTATGGAAGGATATAATGCCTCGTCAGTGTAGACTTGAAATCCTTCCATTTCTTGGCAGCAGAAGATAACACCGAGGTCTTGCCCCCTTGACCTACCACAAAAGCCATGTCAACGGCTTCCCAAATCTGCTCCTTTATATCATTGGGGATGTCAGCCCATTTCTTGTCCACAAGTGGGACTCTGGAGCGTGCCAACACACCAATGTAGGACTGCATCTCAGTATGTGCAGGGCCACATCCTTTCCCCCTTTTATTGTACTCAACAACTGGCTTGATTTTCTGCAATTTTCTCTTCACAACACGAGGCATTGTGCTCATACCTCGACCTGACTTTGAATCCTCAGAAATTGTTGTCGTGCTGCTTGGTTCTTTCTCAACAGATGAAACAAACTTCATCTTCTTCAAGGGCTTGTCTTGAGGAGTTACCATTCCAAGCTCCTTACCTCCATTTTTTTTGGAGCCAGAGTACTTACTTTGGTCTTGAGAAACCATGGTTACAGAATAAACAAACCTGCAAGTGAAAATATTTCGTGAAAAAAATTAGAACACAAACGACGGTTATTTATAAACTACGACGTATGATAAGATTTTACACGACGTAATAACATAACATCAGACGTAATAAATGATTAAAGAAGAACAATATAAATGTTTAAACAACGACGAAAAAATATTAAATAAGACGTAATAAGAACTTATTACGTCGATATTTACACGACGTCGTGATATTCATATTAACACGGCGTAAATATTAATATAACGTCGTGTTATGTATATTCACACAACGTGAATAATAAGCTACCGTCGTATTTATAAGAAACCAAAAACATTTTTCTTTCTTTGTGAATGTTTGATTGCAGGTTTCATTTCTCTGAAACATGGTTTTTGTTTTTCCTAATTTGATAAAATACAAAGAAAAAAAGCTTTCTCATCTTTTTATAGACGACGGTATCTTATTATAACGTCGTGGTATGAACATTCACACGGCGTCAATAATAAGATACCGTCGTCTATATAAGATACCAAACCCTACTTTCTTTGTCTCTGTATTTTATCATATTAGGAAAAACGAAAACCATGGTTCAGAGAAATCAAACCTGCAACTAAACAAGCAAATAAAAAATTGAATGTCATTTTAAAAACAACTTAGATCAATTTTAAGACGACGCTAGGACGACTGACGAACCGTCGTGGTCTACGTATTTAACCACGTAAATAAAAAGCTACCGTCGTCTTATTTAGTTGAGTTAGTTATGTTCAAAGTTCAATCTTTCCCTCTCTGTCTGTGTATTTTATCAAACTTGGAAAGAAAAAAATGATTTTCGCCAGAAAAAAGGTAAAAAGATTTTCAAAACAAAAACAGTATGAGCATGCAATATAGCAACAAAAATAGTGAGAAATGAAAGCTTACCTTTTGCGTGCAATGAAAGCTTTCTCTCGGATTTTGGTGTTTAAGTTCAGAGGCGACGATGAAGACAAGAGGAAGACGATGAGATACTCTGACAGTGCTCTGACAAGGAAAAAAGACGAAAAGTTTTCTCTGGGAGATTGAAATGTTTTCTCGGGTTTGGAAACAGTGCATGTGTAAGTCAGGTAGACGAAAAGTTGTATATGTATACAAACCGTTTCATAGTAATAAGACGGCGGTTTACATAGAACGACGACGTATTAATAGACAAACTACGACGCTAATTTGAACTTATGACGTGGTACATAAATACGACCGTAGTGTTGTAGGTACCGCCGTAGTAAACTCCTAAATAAAAGTCGATAACTCAATATCTCGCGTCATGGTAGAAATATTTAACACGACGGTTGTTTTAAAGTTACGACGTTTATTTTATAATATACGTCGTTTTATTGTAATATACCGACGTGGATAACACTAAACTAAAACGACGTATTATTTTTCCGACGACGTGGATTCGTTTTTAAACGTCGTTATGTGTAATATAACCGACGTGGATTTTATTTTTTTATTATAAATATAATTCTTTTCCCCTTTTTCTTATAGTGTATTTTTCAAAAACAGTGCCTTATAGATATAGTTTTTTTCCCGAGGAAATTAATGTTCTAGAATTTGTAAAGTTTCTTTTCTAGGTGACTGATTTAAATCAAATAAAAATATAAAACAACGACTGTTTTTGTTATACCGTCGTCGTTTCTTGTCGTTTTAAGTAAGAATAAAACGACGTAATATATTTGTTACCGACGAGAATTGTTTTTTTTAAACGTCGTTATGTGTAATATAACCGACGTGGATTTGGTTTTTAATTATAAATAGGGTTTTTTTCCACGGGTTCTTTCAGTTTTAGTATTCGATTAGGGTTTCAACTTCTTCTTGCCCCTTTCTCTGTCTCACCTCATCTCTTGGGAAGTTTTAGGAGTCAATTGTTTGGATGTGAATGTGTGTGTGCGTTTGTGTAGATACACAAACGCACATACATCATTCACTTCCAAAAATTGTCTCTCTGATTGCAAATCTGTGGCTGCCGTCATGAAATTTTAGGAGGCAATTGTTTGGATGTGAATGTGTGTGTGCGTTTGTGTAGATACACAAACGCACACACATCATTCACTTCCAAAAAATTGTCTCTCTGATTGCAAATCTGTGGCTGCCGTCGTGAAATTTTAGGAGGCAATTGTTTGGATGTTGATGTGTGCGTGCGTTTGTGTAGATACACAAACGCACACATATCATCAACTTCCAAAAAATTGTCTCTCTGATTGCAAATCTGAGGCTGCCGTCGTCAAATTTCAGAGGCAATTTTTTGGATGTTAATGTGTATGTGCGTTTGTGTATCTCAAAGACACAAATACACATACATCATTAACCTCTAAAATATTGTCTTTCTGGTAAGATTATGATGAGCAACAGAGTTCCATCTTGTAAGATTTCCTAACCCTTGTGATCTCAGAATAATCTGATTATGTCGGCGGTTTTCTATATAAACCGTCGTGGTTATTTCAATTCTTGTCGTTAGGTAGATCTACCGACGTAGGATAACAAAATCGAAGAAATAAATTGTTAAAAAAAATTCTTATTCAGACGACGGTTTAAATATAATTTATGACGTATAAAGTGGACAAATACGACGTTAAATTCTATAATACGTCGTTATATGAAAACCCCAACTTGGTAAGATTTAAAGATGTCGTCGTAGAAATACGAGAAAGACGTCGTTATATTTACCTTTGCCGTAGTTGTACATTAATTTAATACGGCGGTATTTTGTATTTTACCGCCGTGGATTTATTTGTAATTATACGTCGCCTCATACGAAAACTTGGTCGTGTTAATTTCTGGGTAAAAACGACGGCTTTTTGTGAAACCGTCGTCTTTACTTTCTACGTCGGTCGGTTCATAACTTCCGTCGTTATTTGTTGGCTATGATTTTACCTCTTGAAAATCCTATTTCAATAAGACGTCGGTTTTTTAATTAAGTACGTCGTGTTTTTGGAACAGCCATTTGAAACTCCATTTTTTAGTTGTCTAATGTGTTATTACACGGCGGTTTTATAAAACCGTCGTCTTTTAAAAAACAACGACGGTTTTCACTTAGACCGTCGTGTTTTTCTGGTCGTCTTTTTCACTTTTTGTAGTAGTTTTTTTTTTTTTTTTTTTTTTTTTTTTTTTTTTTTTTTTTTTTTTTTTTTTTTTTTTTTTTTTTTTTTTTTTTTTTTTTTTTTTTTTTTTTTTTTTTTTTTTTTTTTTTTTTTTTTTTTTTTTTTTTTTTTTTTTTTTTTTTTTTTTTTTTTTTTTTTTTTTTTTTTTTTTTTTTTTTTTTTTTTTTTTTTTTTTTTTTTTTTTTTTTTTTTTTTTTTTTTTTTTTTTTTTTTTTTTTTTTTTTTTTTTTTTTTTTTTTTTTTTTTTTTTTTTTTTTTTTTTTTTTTTTTTTTTTTTTTTTTTTTTTTTTTTTTTTTTTTTTTTTTTTTTTTTTTTTTTTGGGGTTTTTAAAAAGGGCCCCCCCCCCCCCCTTTTCTTCCCCCTTCTTCCGGCAGTGCAACCTCCTCCTTCTCCTAACCTGTGTACTCCTGACATGGCTGCTGACGCCTCTCCGCCACTTCCAACAGTTCCTCCTCCTATTTCTCCAATTCCGAACGCACCTGACATAGCTTCCGGCACCGCTCCACTTCTTTCAGCAGTACATCCCCTTACTCTTCCGATCTCGAGCACACTTGACATAGCTTCCGGCACCGCTCCACTTCTTCCAGCAGTACATCCCTTTGCTGAGATTATTGACAATAGTCATAAGAATGGTGATGCTTTTATCGCAGGTTCCTCAAAAGGGCATTCATTCGAGAAAGGCATGTCTTGGCAAGATTGGGAAAATTCCTACACGGCATTCAAAGCCTTTTTTGATGGTGGTGTCACCATTCTTAGATCCATTGATGAACTTCTTCCGCTTTGCCACAGATTCGATGGTTATGCGACATTCCAAGGTGCCCTCGTGTATCCAGAGACGGTTGAAGCCTTGAAAAGGTTTATGGACAAATACGGAAGTTTGATGGAAGCTACAGATGTCACCTCTTCTTTCTCAAGGTGTACTGCCCTTCGAGCCCTTGGCCTAGTACTTCATGGGATGGACACCATGCAACTCCTTGATATTACGGATCACAAACTGCTCTGTTGGCGAGATGCAATATGTGAGGCCATGATTCTGGGCTTTCGCGTGGAATTTCTTCTTAAACTCGTGAAGAACTTAGCACGTGCCGTCTTTGGAGCACGGGCCATTCGTAGTTTGCAATTATCGCATGACTCTGATGAAGTAAAAGCTGCTGCAGATGCCTTGAATATTAAACAACAGGAGTTGGAGAACCAGCGCCGGGAGATGCATGCCCTTCTTCTTGCTAAGGGTATTTCTGTTGACAGCGCTGAGTGCGTGACGGAGGCAGCGGCCAGATTATCTCCTGGGGCTTCCTTTGTTCTTTTCGGACATTCCCCATAGCTTAAAGGTACTCAGCTCATTCATTTATTTTTTTTTTTTTTTTTTTTTTACGTATTCCAGCAGCAGCTATTTTTGACACACATTATTTTTTTTTCTTTTGCAGATTGCCCATCCTTGGCTTGGTAACCATTTAGCTTGGCACATGATCCTGCTTTCTTTGTGACTTAAGGGCGCGTGAACCTTCAGCGTATGCAGTTTTATTTTGCTTTGTGTGTGTTGTTTTTTTTTTTTTTTTTTGACTCTAACGACTACGTCGTTATGCCTTTGTAATTTTGATATTAAACTACTGAAGCTTGTATGAATTTCCGAATGCTTGAGGCATGTTGCATATTTCCTGTGTATATATGTATATGTACTGCTTTGTTGGCCAGAGTTGTCTTTATGGACTGTTTGAAATTTTCTGACAGGTTGGATATCATTGAAAACAGGGTATATGCTGTCGAAATTTTTTTTTTTTAACAGAAGCAAAATTTTCGAAAGTTTCTTTTGCATGGCTTATCTAGATTCTAAGCTTGACAAAATAGCTTCCCACCTTTCCCAAAGGGTCGAGCCAATATGTGCATGATTTCTACTTGGGCTCTATAAAGCTTCCAGGTGTTGTATCGTGTTGTTCCAGCATCTCGAAATTGCATGTCTCTTTGCAACATGCCTTATGCTATTTTTTTTTTTTTGCTTAAGCGTGATGCTTGGGGACCCCATCTAAGTGACTTTGCCCGGCATGTTTTACTACTAAGTAGCATGTTTATATATATATATATATATAGAGAGAGAGAGAGAGAGAGAGAAAAATTTGATAAAGGGTTAATAATAGTAAAGTTTTTGGAGACACAATATATATTTTTTCAAAATATTCATTCATTCTCATTGCAAAAGCCCTTGCTACCATAATGGTGCATCATACAAAAGTGTCTTTTTTTTCAAAACGTGAAAATAAGACAGAAGGAGTCTATTTTTTTTTTTGACAAAGAGAAAATACAAAAGTACTAGGCATAAAGTTAACTTAGCAGTAGTAGAGCTTGAGCCACTTCCCATTGACGGGGTCTGTCAGCGTGCCTTCCTTGACAGAGACCAAGCGATAATAGCCGCTGCTATGAACTTCTTTGACTGCAAACGGGCCTTCCCATTGTGGCGCAAACTTGGAAGGTCCCGACACCTGTCTTCACACATGTTCCACAACTTTTAGCACGAGGTCTCCTTGCTTGAAGGCTCGGGGCTTGACTGTCCTGTCTTCTGTGGTACAACGCTGTCCTTTTTTCGGCTACCGCTCTTTTTTCATCCAAAGCTTCAAGGTCCAGCAGGCGCCATTCCGAGCACGACTTTGTATCCCATTTGAGGTCGTTAACAGCTGCTATTCTGGCGGTGGGGATGGTAATCTCTACTGGTGAAATGGCATCGGACCCGTACACAAGTGAATAGGGCGAGAAACCTGTGGCACTTCTTGAAGAGGTGCGGTAAGCCCATAAAGCATCCGGCAGGTGAACACTCCAACCTCCTTCATACTCATAAACCATTTTGCTTAGGATCCTAAATAAAGTTCTTGTTTGTGGCTTCCGCTTGACCATTTCCTTGTGGATAATAAGGCGTGGAGCGACGATGCTTGATACCATAACCACTAAGTGTCGAGCTTACTTGCTTATTGACAAACGGGGTGCCATTGTCGGTGACAATCTTGTATGGGATCCCAAATCTACATACAATATTTTCACGGATGAAATTGGCAACGGCAGCTCCCGTGGCCTTCCGCAAGGGAACCGCCTCTACCCACTTTGTGAAATATTCGGTGGCTGTGAGGATCCATATGTAGCCGTCGGATGGTGGATGAATAGTCCCGATCAAATCAAGCCCCCAAGTATGAAAGGGCCAAGGAGTGCGCATGTCTTGCAGCAGCGTGGGAGGCTTATGACTTAAGTTGGCATGAACTTGACATGTGTGACACCTCTTCACAAAGTCGTATGCATCATTCTTCATTGTAGGCCAATAATACCCAACACTCAGAAGCTGCCGGTAAAGCTTCTTCATTCCTTGGTGCTCACCACATTCTCCAGCATGAATCTCTTGCATGACTTGCTGTGCCTCTAACTTTCCCAAGCATTTTAATGGCTCACCATTAAACCCCTTACGGTAAAGAGTTGACCCATCTATGAAGTATCTTTTCATTGTCCTTTTGAGCTTGCGTGCATGCTTGGGATTGGTTGGCAAGACTCCGTTGATGAAGGATGCCAAGTATGGAGCCCTCCAATCCTCCGCAAACGAGACGGTGAATGATTCCTTAGTGGAGGGTATCTTTGCACACTTGGGGCAATTGGCTTGTATTTCAGCTGCTTGTTTCCTCATTTCTGGCCAGTAATAACCCTTGCGCTGCAGGCGCCGATACAAGCTGATTATTGGCTCCACATTGCAAGTAACCTCATGTACCTCTTGAAGCTTCTCCTGTGCTTCTGTTATCCCTACGCAGTTGGTCAAAATACCTCCCGGAAGGCGTCTGTACAGTTCCCCAAAGATGATCGCATAATCCTTCAATTCTTTGATGTTGCTTCTTTTGCCTATTTTTTCTTTCACAAGCTTCCTCCAGTCATCCTCTTCCAGCTGCTCTTCTTGAGCCATTTCTTCAACAACTGGCATGTCCTTCTTGATTACTGCAATATTGGGCTGTTCTTCAATAAATGAGAGCCTCGACCCCAAAGTGGCCAACGCATCAGCATATCTATTAGTGACTCCCGGGATATGTTCCAACACAACCTGTTTGAAAGAACGAACAAGCCTTTCAGCAGCTGTACGATATGGTGCCAATGTTGGTTCCTTCACGGTGAAATTTCCTTGTAATTGACTCAGCACCAAGTTTGAATCCCCAATAATTTTAATTCTTTTGACACCCATTTCCCTTGCTGTAGACATCCCTGCAATAAAAGCTTCGTACTCTGCCGTATTATTTGTGCATGGGAAATTTAGCTTAAATGAGAGGGCCGTGGCTTGCCCCTCGGGATTGACAAGCACCACACCTGCCCCTCCACCCTTCGATGTAGAAGACCCATCGAAGTAGAGGGTCCATGGTTCTGCTTCTGTGACTACAGCAACCATTTCCGGCAGCTCCCCCAGAACTTCCTTAGAGATTGTTGATTCTTCAACTTCGGGAAATAAAGCCAACATGTCAATCACGGCCTGCCCTTTGATGGCTTTTGGGGTGGTGCAGGTGATATCAAACTCGGACAGTTGTAGCAGCCAACGTGCAAGGCGTCCGGATAACACCGGCCTTGTAAGCAAATATCTTACGGGATCGGACTTCACCATGAGATGTAGCTTGTGAGCAAGGAAGTAATGCCGCAAGCGCTGTGCGGCATAGACAAGAGCAAGGCACAAGAGTTCAGTCTTCGGATATCTTACTTCGGCTCCCCTTAGTTGCCTACTTACGTAATAAATAGGACTTTCTTCCCCACTGTGATCATCTTGAGCAAGTAAGGCCCCAACCGCCGTGTTTGTTGCAGCCAAATAAAGCTTGAGAGGAAGCCCCGGAATAGGTGCTTTCATAGTGGGCAGCTTGGTGATTATTTGTTGCACCTGCTTGTAAGCTTCTTGGCACTTCTTACTCCATTCATACGGCTTGCCTTTCTTGAGCAATGGAGTAAAAGCACTCATGGTGGCAGCAAGACCTGGGATAAAGCGCCGAATATACGATAATCTTCCCATAAAGCTTTTCAATTCTTTTGGGTTTTTAGGCGGTGCAAGAGAATTTATGGCTTTAGTCTTTTCAGGATCCACGTCTATGCCACGCTGGTGTACTTGAAACCCCAAGAATTTACCGGATGAAACCCCGAACGCACACTTCTTTGGATTCATCTTCAAACCGTACAGCCAACACCTTTCCAGCACTCTCCTTAAAACTTCTTGATGGCCTTCTCTGGTTTTGGACTTCACCACAAGGTCATCCACATAGTCTTCGACTTCTTTTCCCATCATGTCGTAAAATACCGCTGTCATGGCTCTTTGGTAGGTGGCGCCAGCATTTTTGAGGCCGAATGGCATGACCGTATAATAAAAATTCCCATATGGTGTTCGAAAGGCTGTCTTCTCAGCATCTTTGGGTGACATCTTGATCTGATTGTAACCACTAAACCCATCCATGAATGACAACAAGCCTTGACCCGAGGTCGAATCAATTAAGATATCCATGTTAGGCAGCGGGAACTCGTCCTTTGGGCAAGCTCGGTTGAGGTCTCGATAATCCGTGCATATTCTGATCACACCGGTTTTCTTTTTCACAGGGACAATATTTGCTAGCCACGTAGGATGCTTGATTGGCTTAATAAATCCGGCAGCTAACAACTTTTCAATTTCCACCTTGATTTGCTTCTCAACTTCAGGATGAAAATTCCTTCTTGGCTGCACGATAGGTTTTGTACCAAGCTCAATATTCAAAGTATGACTTACTAAGCTTGGGTTTAAGCCAGACATTTCCTCATAGCTCCAAGCAAACACATCTCGGAATTCCTTTAGCAAAGATACCGAGGCCGCCCTCTCCTCACTTGTTAAATGAACACTTATGGAAATGGGCCTCGGAGCAGAGGGATCCTCACTCAAATAAATTGTTTCCAGCTGCTCCGCTACTGCTGCCGATCCATCTTACATGTGTCTGGGTGCTGTCATCGGTTCTTGGAAAGCACAAGGCATGGGTGCCTTGTTGTTGGAACTCCCACAGCTATTTGTTTGCATTACTTTCCCTCCTTACTCGGGGCTTTCTCGTAAGACACGATCAAGCCCCCAACCCCGTCATAAGCGGTACACGATACGTCCATCGGGCAGCGTCACCTTTGAGCATTAGGGATGATCATAGGCATGGTTGTTGACTTCCGAGTGCCTCGTTCTCTCTCGATCAACAATGGTGATGAGCTCCTCATTGCTTAAATCACGAATTTCAGTCCACGAAGGAAGGTAGGTCCCGAAATCCTTGGATGGATTGCTTCCAGCACCTGTGCATTCAATGTAGAATTCCGCCTCAGAGTAGTGAGCTTCATCTTTGTTGAACGGTGCTTGGTTTCCAGGTATGCGTAGCGGCCTCAGCCCAATCCTTCCTTTTACGCATTGATGATAGGTAGAGACCACAAGCTTATGCTTGTTGAGCCATGGCCTTCCGAGCAAAGCATGGTAAGCCACATCCACATCCACAACATAGAACTTAGTAAGTGACCGAATTGGCCCAACCTTCAAATTTACTTGTAGATGCCCGACTGTGACCTCACTCTTATTCCCGAAACCACTGACGTTTGTTTGTGATTGGACAATTTTGGACAATGGGATACCAGCTGCCGTAAGCACAGACAGAGGTAATATGTTGACAGAGGAACCCGTGTCTACCAAAGCTCTCCTTATGAACACATCATTGATTTGTCCCTCCAAGTAAAGCGGCCTCCTATGGTCCGGGTATGGAACTTCCATGTCTTCGTCCGTGAAGACAATAGCATTGTCATTTCCCAAGAATGACCCTTGTGGTTGAGTTGTAAAGCATTGAGAGTTAGACTCCTCAGAGATATTCATCAGGGCTACAGCAGCTGCTTCTCTTGCTTGAGGCCCGAAGCCAAGTTGGTCAAAGAGTGATTTGAACTTTGGGTTTCTTTGAAGGACCTGTGAAGCTGTGGGCCCCTGTTTCATGCTTAAATAACGTTCCATCACACTTGTTTCAGCTTCCGTGATATTATGAAATGTCACAGCAGCTGCTTCCTGCTGCTCCGATAAAGCCCCCGAGTAGCGTTCTTCCGGCATGTCCAAAACAAAAATTTCGCTGCCTGAGTTGTCACCCCATCCATCAGCAAGTGGCCATGGTGTGTTGTAACTTGAAGGCCTCGAATATTTACACCAATATGCCTTTTCCATGTTTCCGCAAGGTTCCCATATAGCTTCCGGCGGCTTTGGGTCATTCCTCCAAGGGTGGCACAATTCATCATCATCAAGCAAATCATCAGAGCATGTAATGACAGCGGCTACCTCCTTTCCCCTTCGTTTTGGCAAGGGGTCTTCATCAATCGTTTGCTTCCTAGAGGGAAGTTCAAGGACTCCCTCATGTATTTTGGCGTGTAAAATCCTCCTCAGACTCTGACAGGCAGTGGTTGGATGCCCCACAAATTGATGATAACGGCAGTACCTAGGATCATTCTTTTCCTCTCGAGTAGGAACTTTGTAGGGTCTGACAGGTTTGATTACGCCATCAGCAATCATCGTGTCAAGGATAGCATGAAATTCTTCATCTTTGCATGGTAGTGGTGGATACGTCTCTCTATCCTTCCGTTTGCGTGAATTGTAGTCGTTGGATGGCTTGTCATCTATTGCTAATGTCTGATGCGCTTCCTTCTTCTCATTCCTCCAAGTCCTTTGTCCTGGTGGCTTGACAGACATGCTCGTCTTCCTCACAGCTTCCAGCAGCCGAGAAAATTGACTAATGCCAATATTCTCCAAATACACTCTATAATCTGCCACGATATTGCTGATGCAGATTTCAACAAGCGCCTCCTCATCTTTCTCATCATAGCAATCCAATGCCAGGTCCCGGAACCTACGTACAAAGTCCACGGGATCCTCACCATGCTTTTGGCGAGTGTTGTTGAGTTAAGTGGTGGTGACTCGTTCTTCATGCTGGAAATACTTCTTACATACCTGCTTGCCAAGCTTTCCTAAGAGTGAATAGAGCTTGGTGCCAACGTTGTATACCATGTGTAAGCACGATCGGTGAGACTCTTTGAAAATTCTCTATGTCGAAGATTATGATCACCAGCATATGGTCCCAAGGCATCGATGAAGCGATTGACATGCTCCTTCGGGCTCCCCTTCCGTCCATCAAAGAGGACAAAGGTTGGTGCTTCATAGCCTTTAGGATATGGCTGCTGGAGTAAGCTTGATGGATACGGCGGCTGAGGAAGATACTTCCAATCTTCCTGACTTCGACTCAACTCCTTTTCCAGCATGGCAACAACGTCCTCCTGAGTGACAAAAGATGGTCCTTTTTGCTCAGACTCCTTTCCGGCAGCAGCATATTCTTCTTGTGGGTGCTTCTCATTTACTTCACCTGGCTTTGGGGCCGAATTTTTGAGTTCTTTTATCATCTCTGCCATCTCCCTCTGGGTCTCACCCATAGCACGAATGGCCGCAACAAGATCTGTGAGGGTAAAAGTTCCCTCACTTGCACGTTCTTCTTCTCTAGAAGAGGCATGTTGCCTTGACTCTGAGTCGGCATGGCTTGGCCCATCCTGGGAAGTCATGTTGTTGCTTCTGGTCTTCTTCCTTGGAGGCATTGATGAAGATGATGGCTTAATCCCCAGCAGAGTCGCCAATTTATGTAGGGGCTTTTTTCTTCCAGCAGCAAATGGGCTGGGCTGCTGCAAAAGGCAGATTGAGGAGATTGCCCCTTTTTCTTTAGGTTCGAAAATTAAGCCCTAAAATACCTTGAAAGGGCAGCAAAACCTTAGGACATATTTTGGATAATCTTCACCAACGAGAATAATGGTGACTTGCAGATAGTTTTGGCATGCTTACAGATGGTCTTTTCAGCTTAGCAGGAGTGGCATGTGGCATGGGAGCAAAACCAACATGGGTTTAGCACTAAGAGAGAAATTAGGCTTGGTTTATGAGAAAAGAAAGTGTTTAAGTAAGGAATGAGGTGTTTTGTGAGGAATTTGACTAGGGAAAGAGGAAAAAGAAAGGCAGAGTTCTTCTGGCAGCTGCCAGAAAAACAAATTGGAGAAGAAGATGAACAGTGCACGAGTTTGTTGAGTTTTTGCAAGATAGAGAGAAAGCTTGCTCTCTGCAGGTTGTGGGTTGTCTCTGTTGGGTAGGGGAAGGCTCAATTTATAGCTGCTGGAAATCATCGTTTTTCAAGAAGCCCTAATGGCTTCCACTTATTTTGGCTAAGTTTTTTCTTCCTTTCTCCTCCTCTTCTCTGACTTCCCCTTTCTTGGCAAAGATTGCTTCTGTCTATTTACATGAATTCAGGGGATTTGGGGGCTCAACATCCTCTTTTCCCGCAGCCGTGCAGTGGGAGCTTCCACTCTTGGTTTGCTGTTTTTTCTTCTTTCCTTTCCTCTGTTTTTAACCAAATCTGGCGAAGGAAAGGAAGTGAAGATGCATACTGGTCCAAGGGATGCTTCTGACAGCATGCGGGATAGTACTCATCGATTCTTTGGCTGGCTTGGGACTTGTTTCCAGCAGCTTTGCTTAAGGAGTCTGCCAACCTCTCTTCACGTGTCCTCTGTTTTCTTCAAACAAAAGCTGAGGTTTTTTGTGGACTATTTTAGGATTTTTATATGGGCCAAGGTGATTTCCTAAGCGAAGGGTTTTTATTAAACATTGGGCTTCTTAGTTTGGGCTTTATTTTGGTTGGGTTGTTTTGCTTGGGTATTGGGCTATCTTTTTCTCTTGTGCTTACCCATATGTTTGGGCCTAAGAAATGGGCTTGAGCCTCAAGGCTCCCAAGTAACCCGAGACTTTTCATTTCCCGGCCCATCAATGGGCCTCATGTTGATTTATTACCATCCATGCCACAACCCACTCAAGCAAGCCCTGGGTTTTTTGAGTGGCTTGGGCCCACCTAGGCTTGTAGTGTGGTTGGGTGCGAGATAACGGCATGGCATGTTGCTCGGCATATTTTAATTTATCGCCCTTGGGAAGGATTGTTTTAATTTTAGCATGAGTTAATCATATTTTTATCGCGAATCATAGCATGATAATTTGTTTATTTAGCGTGGCATGTGGATTATAATTCGCGTGTGATAGACCTTTTTTTCTTTTCCCTTATGGAATATTGTATTGGGCTGATAATTGCTCGGGCCCAATCCATGGATTTTTTGGGCCTCAACAGAAGTCCACCACGTTGGAAGCTTTGGTAAGATTTTGTGATGCAATTGAAACTATATACACGAGGGACTACCTGCGTAGACCTACTCTCAGGGACCTCCATCTGCTTCTACAAAAAGCCGAAGCTCAAGGATTTCCAAGAATGATAGGTAGCATCGACTGCATGCACTGGCAATGGAAGAATTGCCCAACTGCCTTGCAAGGTGATTATGGAAATAGAAAAGGCAAAAAATGTATCATCCCGGAAGCCGTTGCTGTCTTCGACACATGGGTTTGGCATGCCTTCTTTAGAGTTGCCAGATCCCAAATGACCTCAACATGCAGGGTCAATCCCCGATCTTCAACGATGTATTGAGAGGCCAAGGTCCCAATATCACCTATCAAGTCAACAATACAGTCTATCAGACAGGGTATTATCTAGTTGCGGCATCTACCCGAGGTGGACCACTTTTGTCAAATCCATTCCGAATCCCCGATCCCAGAAGCAAAAATTATTTGCTACCTATCAAGAAGGATACATGAAAGATGTCGAAATGTGTTTTGGCATCCTTCAAGCTCGGTGGTTGATTATTCGAGGTGTGTCCCATATGTTTGATGAGGATATCCTCAGAAGCATTATGATGACTTGCATCATCCTCCATAATATGATTGTGGAGGATGAGTACGATTATGATGCTTTAGAGGTCTACGAACCGGATCCAATGAACACGGCCTTGACACAGATTTATGAAAGGCCCATGGGGCCAAGTGGAGAATCGTTTGAGCCGGAACCGTTGGTGAGGGATGATCGTTTCATGACTCAGATGACAGATCGATATACAGAGATGCAATCTTCGTATATTCATGAAAGGCGTCAAGTTGACTTGATGGAGCACTTATGGGCGGTGAAAGGCAATGAAGATGAATGATGGAGCATAGATGCTTTAGTTATGTTTTATTTAGTTTATGGTTTGGTTGTGTTGTTTTTTATTTATTATGGTTTGGTTGTGGTTTGTTATTATTATTGTGCCTTGTTTGTAGTTTTTTTTTATTTTAATTATGTTTTGTTTGATGTATGGAATATGTTGAATAAAAAGGTATTTTATTGAATGCTTTGTTTATTAAATAAAGAAATCCAATACAAGTCATTAAGAATTACTACTACTAAAATAAAATACATGAATTACAACAACTTTAATAGAAAACATGAAAAATACAAATACATAAAAGGTATGCCAACTAATTTAATGGTTTTCATCATAAAACCAATCCGTGTTGCTAGGCCCATCATCCCGGAAAAGTCTTCTTCTCATAACATCCCTTCGTTTTAGCTTTCAAAATTGTTTTGTTTCAGGGGACATATGGCTTGTATCCATCGCCATGGTTTCCCGATCCGTCTTGTCCATATCTTTTTTGCGCAAATACCCCCTTTCTCGTGCATACTCGGCTTGAATTGCCATCTCGTTATCTTGGAGTTTCTGCTCCATTTCAATTCTTATGCCGTTCTGCCTTGCAATTTCCTCCAAAAACTTTGAATTATTATTGCTTGAATTACCCGCTTTCTTTGCCTTCGCAGCCTTTCGGCCAATGGGCCTCGGCTCCTTTTCGATGGGTGAGTCTTGACTCATAGGGGAATTGAGAGGTAAATCTAATCAGTTCACAATTGCATATGATTTTGTACCCTTCTAGCTTATGATTTGGTTATGTTATTGAGTCAAACTTGTGCTTTTAATCCCTTTTCTGTTTATCATTCAGTTCATTGGGCCTTAGGTAGCAATGATGCCTTTGGATAAGGAAAGATGCAAAATGGTGCAAAAACGGGCAGATTGAGTTAGCAACTCATTTTGGGCTTAACGTATTTCTCTCAACTTGGATTGGCCCAAATAATATGGGGTTGGAAAGATGAGAGTCTGAACTTCAAAATGGACTACTCAAATGTATCAATTGATTAAATCGACCCCAATCCGTGGGCCCATCAAAATACACATCAAATCAGCCACACATGGGAGACAAGACAGCATGGAAACTCAGAAGGATGGGTAGCTGACATTCCTAGAGGCATGGGCTACACATCAAATCAGCCACATATGGGAGACAAAGCAGCATGGGAACCTAATGGGCAGCTCAAGCAATTGGGAACAACTAGGAATGGGTGTGCTTCACCAGCCAAAGGGGAGCACGAAATGGCACTCTATAAATAGAGAGATGTACACTCATTCAAAGGGGAGTCACTCCATTCAGCCTAAAATTCACTTAAGCCATCCTCTTTCTCTGCCATCACCACTCACCCAAACTTATCCCAAATCACCGAAACAGCTCCAACAAGCCTTCCTTCCATTTCCTTATGAATTTCCTCTTTCTCTGCCATCACCACTCACCCAAACTCATCCCAAATCACCTCTTGAGTTGCCATACTCTAGATGTGAGGAACCTCTTGGAGCAGCATTAGACGTAGAGAAGAACTTGGAGAAGCCTTGGACACCACAAGTAACTTCATAAATGGGTTTTTCCACTCTTATTGCATTCATTATGTTTTCTCATTTCTGTTTAAGTTTCATTTCCATTATGAGTAGCTAAATTCATAACTAGGACTTTGATGTAACCTAACATGAATATTTTGGGTTTATAAGTTGAAGTTTTGAGTTTCAAGTTTGATTCATGATTCATGTTCTTATTCATTATGCTTATCAGTTAATATGCTTGTTTGGATGATTGATCACCATTAGAACTTGTATATTAGCTATCTTGGTTTGAATCAAGAGTAAACACCTTGCTTTGATTCGAATTGAACTATGAATAAGAAAAGTATGTATGGACATTCGACAACAGGGATTAGATACATGCTTGGTTGTTTAAATTGTTCTTCTATGCTTAATGGGTTCCTAATGCTTAATTTAGGTTAGACAACAAATGATCAAGTTAGGGAATTAGGAACACAAGGTTATGACCAGACACCATGGCCTAATCATACTTTAGCTAGAATCAATCTTTGAATCCAAATTAGACTTGTCATTTGACTCCTTATAACCCAGAATTGAATTGTTATGGTGAATCGAATTTCCTAGTCTCCCAATCTGTTTTCCAGCCCACAAAAACACTCTTGGTTACATTTGCTCACTTTGCTTTTGTTTGAAATTTCGTTTTGCCTCATTTGTTCAACAATTACAATCACTCTTGCTTTAAATTCTATTTTAGACTTAACCTCATACTTTCTTGAATTAATCTAAGTACATAACTAATTTTAACTTCTCAGTCCTCGTGGATACGACCTCGTACTAGTCTTGCTATATTACTAATTGGCCCGTACAATTGCGAGTTAACATTTTAACAACAAATTTTGGCGCTGTTGCCGGGGACTGAATGAAAGTTCTTCCCTGGTTATGTGCCCAAGGTTACCCTATTCTTTTAGTAGTACTAATTAACTCAAGTTATTTTCTGTTTCAGGTAGTTTATGTCTAGAAATCCCTTCTTTGAACAAGTGAGGTCTTCATTCCAACGTTCGAGATCTTTGAACAGAGGACCATCTTGCAACCAAACCGGGTGATCTCTGAAAATTCAGAATCGTCTAGAAAGAGAGTTGGCAACTGCGAAAGAGCAAGCCATTGCCACATTTGAAGGTCTTGCTATCCACACTGACCTCCCAGGTTCTTCACCTTCAAATTCGGAATCAAGTTCAGACCAAGAAGAAGAAGAAGAGATGGCTGCCAATGAGTTCATGGAAGACCTTGATATCCCAACAATTCCAGCATCCCCTTCAAGCATCTTGCTGCCCACCGCAGCTCGAAACTATGAGCTTAAATCTTCTCATCTTAATATGTTGCCTTCCTTTTATGGTTTACCTAATGAAGATCCATTAACCCATATAAAGGATATTTTTAATGCTGTGAGCTCTTTTCCCTTGACAGGTGTGACGGAAGATCAACTTCGAATGAGAGTGTTTCCTTACATTTTGAAAGATAAGGCGAAATATTGGTTGAATTCTTTGAAGCCTGGTTCACTCACGACTTGGGGAGCCATTCAAAAAAAGTTCTTGGAGAAATACTTCTCCACACAAAAAACCGACATGCTTAGGGACAAGATCTTACTATTTGCACAACAAGATGATGAGTCGTTTTGTGAAGCATGGGAGAGATTCAATGGGCTGCTCAATCAATGTCCTCATCATGGGATTCCATTGAAGCTTCAGATGCGTATGTTTTATAAGGGACTAACCCCCTCTAGCCATAATATTGTCACTAATTTTGCAGGTGGTTTTTATAAGACTAAGACTCCCGAAGAAACATATGAACTCTTTGAGGAGATAGCAATAGAGACCCAACACACCGATACAAGAGGTAAACGTATTGTTGGTGGTTCTAATGATTCTTCCAGTGTGCAGATTTCCAAATTGGAACAAAAGCTATATGCCCTCCTTGCATTGAACTCAAGAAACCCTTGAAAGGAAGTGTGTAGCATCTGTGAAACTCATGATCAACCTACCATTTCTTGTCCCCTTGGGGCTGCATATCCAGAATTTGTGCAAGAGCAAGCTAAGTTGGTGAATTCCTACAACTGAGGTCTAATAAATGATCCATATTCTCAAAGTTATAATCTAGGTTGGAGGAATCATCCAAACTTTTCATGGAGGAATACACAGAATCAAGCGAATCCCCCTTCACTCCAAAGGCCACAAATGATGTTGTGGTTGTAGAGGATGAAGATGAAGATGAAGAGGAAACCACAGCTATGGAAGGAGTACAACCCAAAACGTCCCAATTTGCTCCTAAGGCCAAATTTGATTCTCAGGAACCCAATCCATTCCAATTGCATAAAAGAGATGACAAATTTGTGCCATCACATCTTAATGAAGATAGATACATCGCACCTTCTCCATATATTCCACCGATTCCATTTCCAGGCTGTTTGAAGAAAGCAAATCAAGATATGGCTTTTAAGGAGATTTATGATATTTTGAGTAAAGTTAATATCAATTTGCCCTTGCTTGATGTTGTTAAACAGATTCCTGCATATGAAAAGTTCATCAAGAACTTGATAACTCACAAGCTCAATTTTGCTCCAAGTGAAGAAGTAAAGCTCAACAACAATGTGACTGCTGTGTTGCAAAGGAAGCTTCCACCAAAACTTGAAGATCCTGGCAGCTTTGACATTCCCATTAACATCAGAGATAAGAAGGTTGGAAGAGCCATGTTGGACTTGGGAGCAAGCATCAATGTAATGCCATATTCAGTTTATCAGGAGCTTGGCTTAGAAGGGATAAAGAAAACCTCAATTCGTCTTGAACTAGTTGATCATTCTATCAAATATCCAAAAGGTATTGTAGATGATATTTTAGTTCAAGTTAATACACTCATTCTTCCGGCTGATTTTGTAGTGATGGATATGGAGGATAACCCATATGGAGACCGTGTTGATCCCATTCTCCTCGAGCGACCATTCATGGCCACTGCAGACACAATCATCAAAGTGAAAGATGGCACCCTCTCCATGACTGTTGTAGTGGTCTTTTTTTGGGTCAACAACTGTTTTGGGTGAATTTAAAGTGTTTGATGCTCTCTCTCAACCTTCTATCACTCTTGATACTTGTTTTTCAATTGATATTGTGGATCATGAGGTTTCTTCTAAAATTGTGCAGAAAAAGTCTAATGATGCTCTAGAAGCTGTTCTAACACAAGAAGAGAAAGATCTCTATGAACCAGAGTTCCAAGAAGTGATGGTTGCCTTAGAAGTGTTTAAGCCATACCCACCATCTTTTAGGCCACCACTCGAGCCTCTTGGACCATCCTCCACAAAATTGGAGCCATCCATTATCACCCCGCCAAAGCTAGAACTTAAACCTCTACCCAATCATCTTAAATATACTTATTCGGGTGCTAATGAAACTCTTCCTGTTATAATTTCTACAGGTCTCACCTCACATGAAGAAGACAGCTTAATTGAAGTTCTAAAAGAGTATAAAACAGCCCTTGGATGGACCATAGCAGACATCAAAGGAATTAGTCCAAGCATGTGCATGCACCGAATTTTAATGGAAAAAGACAGCAAACCATCTCGTGATGCACAAAGGAGGCTAAATCCCAACATCAAAGAGGTGGTTAGGGCTGAAGTTTTAAAGCTACTTGATGTGGGAATCATCTACCCAATTTCATATTCTAAGTGGGTGAGTCCTGTGCAAGTTGTTCCAAAGAAGTCTGGAATCACCGTTGTAAAGAATGAGAAGAATGAGCTAGTTCCAACATGAACTATCACTGGTTGGAGAGTTTGCATTGATTACAGGAAGTTGAACACATCCATGAGAAAAGATCATTTTCTCTTGCCTCTTTATTGATAAAATGCTTGACCGTTTATCTGGCCATCCTTACTACTGTTTTCTTGATGGATTTTCAAGTTATAATCAAATTCCCATTGCTCCGGAAGACCAGGAGAAAACCACGTTCACATGCCCATTTGGTACGTTTGCTTATAGAAGGATGCCATTTGGTTTGTGCAATGCTCCAGCAACTTTCCAAAGATGCATGATGGCAATCTTTTCTGATATGGTGGAACGATTCATGGAGGTATTTATGGATGATTTTTCAGTTTTTGGTTCATCTTTTGATGATTGTCTTCACCACTTGTCTCTAGTGCTTAAAAGATGTCAGGAAACAAATCTGATTTTGAATTGGGAGAAGTGTCACTTCATGGTAAGACAAGGAATTGTGCTAGGCCATGTTGTTTCAAGCAAGGGAATTGAAGTGGACAAAGCCAAGATAAATATCATCTCAAATCTACCACCCCCTTCCTCTGTTAAAAGAGTTAGAAGCTTTCTGGGCCATGCCGGATTCTATAGAAGGTTCATCAAAAAATTTTCGAGCATTTCAAGACCATTGTGTAATCTCCTTGCTAAGGATGCTGTTTTTGAGTTTGACAAAACTTGCATGGAAGCTTTTACGACCTTGAAGAAAGAGCTAACTTTAGCCCCTATTATCATAGCTCCAGATTGGTCTTTACCATTTGAAATAATGTGTGATGCCTCTGACTTTGCTATTGGTGCAGTTCTAGGTCAAAAGAAGAACAAGCTTCCCCATGTGATTCATTATGCGAGCCGAACCTTGAATGATGCCCAACTCAATTACTCCACAACAAAGAAGGAGTTGCTTGCTGTGGTTTTTGCTTTAGAAAAATTTCGTTCTTACCTGTTGGTTCTAAAGTAATTGTTTATTCTGACCATGCTGCTCTTAGATACTTGCTCACTAAGAAGGACGCCAAACCACGCTTGATCAGATGGATTCTCTTGCTGCAAGAGTTCGATTTGGAGATTCGAGACAAGAAGGGATGTGAAAATGTGGTGGCTAACCATTTGAGCAGAATTGTGGTTGAAGAGCAAGAAGAAGTTGTACTACCCTTGAATGAGACTTTCCCAGATGAACAACTATATGTTGCCCAAGTCAAAGAGCCATGGTATATGCTGATTTTGTTAATTATCTTGCTTGTGGTGTTCTTAGAAATGATCTAACTTATCAGGACAAAAAGAAGTTCTTTTCCATGGTGAAACATTATGTCTGGGATGAACCTTTCTTATTCAAGCATTGCCCAGATCAACTCATTAGAAGATGTGTTCCAGAAGAAGAACAAGAAAGCATCCTTAGGCATAGCCACGAATTGGCTTGTGGAGGCCACTTTGGAGCTAAGAAAACACACTTAAAATTTTGCAATCAGGTTTCTTTTGCCCTACTCTATTCAAAGATGCATTTAATTTTTGTGTTAAGTGTGATAGGTGTCAAAGGATGGGAAACATAAGCCGCAGGAACGAAATGCCATTGAAGAACATACTCTTTGTGGAAATCTTCGATGTATGGGGTATTGATTTCATGGGACCATTCCCATCTTCCTTTGGTTATACCTACATACTTGTTGCTGTTGATTATGTGTCTAAATGGGTGGAAGCCATAGCCACCAAAACCAATGATCATAAGGTGGTGCTGAAGTTCTTGAGGGACAATATTTTCACAAGGTTTGGTACTCCAAGGGCTGTCATTAGTGATGGAGGCAGCCACTTCTGCAACAAGCCATTTGAAGCACTCATGAAGAAGTACAACATCACCCACCGAGTCTCTACACCATATCATCCTCAAACTTCTGGTCAAGTAGAAATAAGCAACAGAGAAATTAAGCACATCCTAGAGAAGGTGGTGAATAGTACAAGGAAAGATTGGGCTGCCAAGCTCAATGATGCATTATGGGCTTATAGGACTGCATATAAGACTCCCATCGGAATGAGCCCTTATTGTCTTGTGTTTGGGAAAGCCTGTCACTTGCCAATTGAGCTTGAACACAATGCTTTTTGGGCCATCAAGAAGTTGAATTTTGATCTGGACAAGGCCGGCCATGTTAAAAAGTTTCAGCTCAATGAATTGGAAGAAATTAGACATGAGTCCTATGAGAATGCAAGGCTTTACAAAGAACGAACCAAGAGTTACCATGACAGGAACATTCAACGGAAAGAGTTCACCAAAGGTATGTCAGTTCTTTTGTTTAACTCACGTTTGCGTCTCTTTCCAGGAAAATTGAAGTCTAGGTGGCTTGGCCCATTCACCGTGGTCAATGTTTCTCCCTATGGAGCTGTGGAGATTCAAAACCCTAAAGATGGCTCGACTTTCAAAGTAAATGGACAACGTTTAAAGCCATTCTATGAGGGAGTGTCAGTTGGAATTCAAACTGGTCATGTGGTGGATCATCTTCCCTTTGTACAATCAAGTTAGCTAATCGCATAATGTCTTGCCAAGACATTAACTAAGGCGCTTCTTGGGAGGCAACCCATGTGTTGAAGAATAAGGTGCTTGGTAGCGGTCGACCTAATCGCATCAAGAGGGAGTTTCTCTAATCCTTGGTCTTAAACTTTCCCCTTATTATTTACATGTTCTCACTCATCTTTGTTATGCTTTAACATTGAGGACAATGTTCAATTCAAGTCTGGGGGGGAGGTTTTCAATTTTTGTTCATTTGTGTTTACAATTTTCGTTCACTTGTCACTATTTTTTTTTATTTTATTTTTATTTTTTTAGAATTTCATACAATCAATGCTATGGAGCTGCCATTGAGATTTTCATATCAGAAATTTTACACTTCACAAAGCTTTTGCTCTTAGAATTCTGGTGGCTAAAGTACCATGCTCAGATTCTTGAAGGAGAATAGTGGAGACTACCCTAGTGAGCTATTTCGAGCCTAATTGCTTTCTTGAGAGGGTTTAAAGTGTTTCTATTCCTCATCTCTACTTATTTTCTTCAATTCACTCTAAATGATCTCATTGTTCCATTTTGATTGAATACTAAGGATGATTCTCTTTGCAGATATCAGGTGCGTGCTCTCACTCATGAATGAACTCATTGAAGTGATGCTAGGCTATGTGTGTATAACCATTCTCTGTGCTTTCTTTTCACCCTACCCATTCGTGTGTTCCATCAGCTCTCTTGCAGCCAAACACTTCAAGCCTTTTTCTTCTATCACCCTCATAATTCCCCTAACTTGTATCTCAATCTAAGATATTTAACCTATTATAGCCATACCCTATAGCTTAGAAATATACCAAGGTGTGCCAAGATAAAGTTTGAAGCAAGGAAATTGCTGCCACATGCCTAAATGTAAATTGGTGTGAATCTGTGCAATGAAGTTAAAGAAGAAGTAGATCAAGTCAGCAAATAAGAAAGATAAAGAGAAAGTGTTTCGATTTGATCTAAATGTGAAATATAAGGTCTATACCATGATGCTATGAAGTTGCAGCCATACCATTCTAAATCAATGATATCTTCCAGATCAATGAAGAATGCAACCTTGGTATGTTCTTTAGTTAATTGTGTTCCTTCCAACTCTTCCATTTCCCCTAACCTTAGCCATTCATTACAACCTTGTGAAAGACCTAGCTGATCTTTGAGGATGTATTCATGGGTGCTGGTATGTATGTGTGTATCTCTATTCTTAGTATTTGATTCCCTTCATGAGATCTAACCAAATATTGTGCTTCTATTTCATATACTCACTTATGCTTGTTTGAGAGAATAAAACCATAGGTTCTGAGTGATTGAGTGCTATATGTGAGAATTAGAGTTGAAGCATGTTCTTCCTTCAAGATTTGAGTATGTTTACTTTGAAGCCGTGTGCCTTTGAGCTATAGCTTCCACTTTACACACTTATGGATCATCTATCTTGGCAACTTTATGGTGTTGGAGGTATGATTAAAGTTTTTTTTTCATTTTCATTAGTTAGTAAAGCGTTTGTGGGTATCGTTTCTGTTAAACCCTCAGGAGACACAACTCCACCTACTAGGAATGCCTAGAGGTTTAAAGGCTTGTTGCATATGCTCAATGTAATCGAGTTACCTGAATAAGTGGTTTAGTTAACTTCTTGTTTTGTTTTTAACTTTGTTTTATTTTGTTTTGTTCGAGGACTAGCAAAATCTAGGTCTGGGGGTATTTGATCAGTTCACAATTGCATATCGTTTTGTACCCTTCTAGCTTATGATTTGGTTATGTTATTGAGTCAAACTTGTGCTTTTAATCCCTTTTCTGTTTATCATTCAGTTCATTGGGCCTTAGGTAGCAATGGTGCCTTTGGATAAGAAACGATGCAAAATGGTACAAAAACGAGCAGACTGAGTTAGCAACTTATTTCGGCCTTAACGTCTTTCTCCCAACTTGGATTGGCCAAATAACATGTGGTTCGAAAGATGAGAGTCTGAACTTCAAAATGGACTACTCAAATGTATCAATTGATTAAATCGACCCCAATCCGTGGGCCCATCAAATACACATCAAATCAGCCACACATGGGAGACAAGACAGAATGGAAACTTAGAAGGATGGGCAGCTGACATTCCTAGAGGCATGGACTACACATCAAATCAGCCACACATGGGAGACAAAGCAGCATGGGAACCTAATGGGCAGCTCAGGCAATTAGGAACAGTTAGGAATGGGTGTGCTTCACCAGCCAAAGGGGAGTCACTCTATTCAGCCTAAAATTCACTTAAGCCATCCTCTTTCTCTGTCATCACCACTCACCCAAACTCATCCCAAATCACCAAAACAGCTCCAACAAGCCTTCTTTCCATTTCCCTATGAATTTCCTCTTTCTCTGCCATCACCACTCACCCAAACTCATCCCAAATCACCTCTTTAGTTGCCATACTCTAGATGTGAGGAAGCTCTTGGAGCAGCATTAGACGTAGAGAAGCACTTGGAGAAGCCTTGGACACCACAAGTAACTTAATAAATGGGTTTTTCCATTCTTATTGCATTCATTATGTTTTCTCGTTTCTGTTTAAGTTTCATTTCCATTATGAGTAGCTAAATTCATAACTAGGACTTCGATGTAACCTAACATGAATATTCTGGGTTTATAAGTTGAAGTTTTGAGTTTCAAGTTTGATTCATGATTCATGTTCTTATTCATTATGCTTATCAGTTAATATGCTTGTTTGGATGATTGATCACCATTAGAACTTGTATATTAGCTATCTTGGTTTGAATCAAGAGTAGACACCATGCTTTGATTCGAATTGAACTATGAATAAGAAAAGTATGTATGGACATTCGACAACAAGGATTAGATACATGCTTGGTTGTTTAAATTGTTCTTCTATGCTTAATGGGTTCCTAATGCTTAATTTAGGTTAGACAACAAATGATCAAGTTAGGGAATTAGGAACACAAGGTTAGGACCAGACACCATGGCCTAATCATACTTTAGCTAGAATCAATCTTTGAATCTGAATTAGACTTGTCACTTGACTCCTTATAACCCAGAATTGAATTGTTATGGTGAATCGAATGCCCTAGTCTCCCAATCTGTTTTCCAGCCCACAAAAACACTCTTGGTTACATTTGCTCACTTTGCTTTTGTTTGAAATTTCGTTTTGCCTCATTTGTTCAACAATTACAATCACTATTGCTTTAAATTCTATTTTAGACTTAACCTCCTACTTTCTTGAATTATCTAAGTACATAACTAATTTTAACTTCTCAGTCCTCGTGGGTACGACCTCGTACTAGTCTTGCTATATTACTAATTGGCCCGTACAATTGCGAGTTAACATTTTAACAAAATCCGATGTCGTTGAATTACGGAGTGGCATCTCGTTTAACACAACGGCGGGACTCGTCGGAATAATTATGAAGTGTTTGCAATATTTCACCACCTCCCAACATTCGTGATGGTTGAAAATTTTTTTGCCACCCCCGGTTGCACCTTACCACATCTGTGCTTGAATCATCTATTTAACAAAAAAAATGGAAATGCAAGAAATATTTAAAATATATTGGATATGCAAGTAACAATTGGCCCGTACATTGCAAGTTAACATTTTAACAAAATCCGATGTCGTTGAATTATGGAGTGGCGTCTCGTTTAACACAACGGCGGGACCCGTGGGAATAATTATGAAGCGTTTGCAATATTTCCACCTCCCAACATTCGTGATGGTTGAAAATTTTTTGCCACCCCCGGTTGCACCTTACCACATCTGTGCTTGAATCATCTATTTAACAAAAAAATGGAAATGCAAGAAATATTTAAAATATATTGGATATGCAAGTAACAAAAAAAATAATAATGGAAATGCAATTAACCTTACAAATAAATTGGAAGTGCAAGAAATATTAAGAAACAATTGGAGATGCAAGAAATATTAACAACATATTGAAAATGCAAGAACTATTAACAAAATATTTAAAATGCAAGAAATATTAACAAAATATTTAAAATGCAAGAAATATTAACAAAATATTTAAAATGCAATAAATATTAACAAAATATATATATTACGACATTAAACTTAATAAAAAGAAAATTACAAAATACTTACCTCGTTAGTACGATTTTCCCCGCTTCTATAGTTGTCCATCGCTTTTACCAAGGCATCTCCATTTTCCCAACTCTTTATTGAGAATTTTCCACCTACTAGACAATGCCATTTTCGTACGAGTCGACTTCGGAATTTTTTCACAAAATTCGGCATGAATTTTTTTCCACATATGAAAACATTTCATCTCATTGCCTAACACGGGACAATGACGAACTCGGAGCCAAGCCTCACACAAGGAAACATCTTCCATGGTGCTCCACACCCCTCCGGTTTTGATAGAAGAAGCCATAAAAATAAGACATAAAAATACAAGGTGAAAGAGAGGAAAATGTTGAGTAAAGAGTGAATAATAGTAGAAGTAGAATAAAATGTATGAGGATTGGTGTTGAAAGTGAAGGGTATTGATAGGTATTCAAATTTTTTTCATAATTTTATTGCCAAAAAAATGTCAGCCGTTGGATTGGATTCAGAGAAGCAGATCGGAGCGCTGGGGGCGTGACACGTGGCTTCTACTCGTTGGACCCTGTGCAGGGCTGACGTCAGCACATGTTGGTTTTAATTTTTTTTACCGTTGGCGCGTGTAGTGACGTCACCAACACGCGCCAACGGTAAAAAAAATTTAAACCGCACGATGACGTCACGCATGACGTCACCAACACACGGGCTTGACCTCGGGCTGAACTGGCCTTTGGGCTAGCCCGACTTTGTTGCCCGGGCTTGGGCTCCTTGCTGGAAACAATTTTTGGGTTTTTTTTCCCCCCCAGCCAGAGGCTCTGTGGCACCAGTGGAGTTGCTCTTATGGTGTCAGTTTTTGGGTTAATAATTTGAATGGTGTGAGTTGCTGCAATGGAAAAATTGTCCAACTGCTTGACAATGAGATTATGGAAATAGGAAAGGGCAGAAAAGTATCATCCTTGAAGCCGTTGTTGGATTCTATACATGGGTTTGACATGCCTTTTTTGGAGTTGTCAGATCTCAAAATGACTTGACCGTGTCGGGTCAATCCCCAGTGTTCAGCGATGTTTTGAGAGGTGAAGCCCTGAATATCACCTATGAAATCAACAATACCATCTACCAGAATGGGTATTATGTAGCAGACGGCATCTACCCGAGGTGGACCACATTTGTGAAATCAATTCCGCATCCCCTATTCGAGAAGCAAAATTATTTGCTGCCTATCAAGAGGGTTACAAAAAAGAAGTGGAGAGGTGTTTTGGTATCATTTAAGCTCGGTGGGCTATTATTAGGAGTGTGGCGCATCTGTTTCATGAGGAGGTGCTGAGGAGCATAATGATGACATGCATCATCCTCCATAACATGATTGTGGAGGATGAGTATGATTACAATGATGCAAACGTGTACAGACCGGATCCCATGAACACGGCCTTGATAAAGAATTTATGAAAAACTCATAGGGCCAAATGGAGAACCATTGGAGCATGAACCGTTGGTTAGGGACAGTCGTTTCATGACCCGTATGATTAATCGACATACGGAGATGCAATCGTCTTATATTCATGAACGATGTCAAGTTGACTTGATTGAGCATTTATGGGTGGTGAAAGGCAATGACGATGAATGAAGTGAAGTGAAGATGTTTTTTTTTATAATTTTTTTTTATTATGCTAAGGTTATGTTTTATTTTTAGTTATGCTTTGGTTGTGGTGTTATTTTTTTTAATGCTTTAATTGTGGTTTGTTTTTTAGTTATGCTTTCGTTGTGGTTTTTTATGTATGGAATGTTTTGAATAAAAAGGTATTTTATTGAATGCTTTCTTTATTCACTCAAAGAAAACCAATACAAGTAATTAAGAATTACTACTAATTAAATAAAATACATGAATTACTACAGCAGTTCAGGGGACTGGGGCCCAGAAGGGGCAAGGCAGTACGGGCCGGAGCCAAAGTCAGAGTGGTGCTTTGTCCTCTGCAGTAGGATCATAATCCAGTAGTGGGGTATAGTCGTGTTTCAGGGGCAGGGGTGGTAGACACCCAAGGGGCCAGCCTGGGCATTCTACTACTCAGGCCCGAGTGTTCTCAATGACCCAGCAGAAAGCACATGCCACTCCGGATGTGATCACTGGTATGATTCCCATCTTTGGCTATCTTGCACGTGTTCTAATTGATACGGGTGCCACACATTCATTCATAACACATAACTTTGTACCGTACGTCAGTGTTAGACCCACACCCATGACAGGAAGTTTTAGTATTTCTTTACCTACGGGAGAAGTCCTGTATGCAGACTTGGTGTTCATAAACTGTTATGTCCAAGTAGGCGATGCATGGTTGGAAGCTGACTTAATTCCTTTAGACTTGGTTGATTTGGATATTATATTGGGAATGGATTGGTTGGAGAATCATCATGCATCAGTGGATTGTTTCCGGAAGGAGGTAATACTTCGAAGTCCAGGGCAACCTAAAGCCAAGCCAATTGACGGTCGTTTCATGACCCGTATGATTGATCGATATACGGAGATGCAATCGTCTTAAATTCATGAACGACGTCAAGTTGACTTCATAGAGCATTTATGAGCGGTGAAAGGCAATGAAAGTGAATGAAGTGACTGAAGATGTTTTTTTTTAAAATAAATAAATAAATTACGCTTAGGTTATGTTTTATTTTTAGTTATGCTTTGGTTGTGGTTTTTTTTTAATGCTTTGGTTGTGTTTTTTTATGTTTAGAATGTTTTGGATAAAAATGTATTTTATTGAATGCTTTCTTTATTCACTCAATTAAATAAGTAAATAAAATAATTACAAAGGGGTCGGAGTGTTACAGAGAGGGAGGGACAGAGAAAAACATGGACAAAGGATCTGAACACACTTGGAATAGCCTTTCAGTGGGGCGCGAGCTTCTTTTTAGAGGAGCAAGATGGCAAGTTATGCATGGCAATTGCATTAATACGTGGTCTGATACTTTGGCTACCTCAAAATGACCCTAGGTACCTTAGGCCCTCTTGTCCTGTGCCTCAATATGCTCCAATTGTTGTTGCTGATCTGATGGATAGACATAGTAATACTTGAGACCTCTCTAAAATCAAGGTGTTTATTTCGCCGCTGGATGTCCAAGCAATCATGGCAATTCCTATCAGCAATTTTGATATCCCTGACAGACTTATTTGGCCATACACTATGAATGGGAGATAATCGAATCAGGATATTACTACCTCATGGAGTATAAGAAGTATCAGGTTGTGATGAAGGCAAGCTCTTCCCATGTGATTGATTCTGAAGTCTGGCTTCGCCTTCATAATTGCCAAACGCTCCCTAAAATCAAATTTTTTTTACGGTGCACAGTCAATGGTTTCCTTCCCATTTAAGTTCCTTTTCAGGCGCAAGCTCTGCATTCAAGTCTCTTATTTGCCTTTTTTCCATGGACAATCTGAATCCGCTGAGCATACAAGCTTCCTTTGCCCTTGGGCTGCCAAAGTGTGGTTTGCCACTTGTATTGCTTACAGACCTCTGCCTCAAGCTTTCACTTCGTTGGATAGGTGGAATTCCTATCACATATGAGATTGAAAGATGATAGAAACCATTTCAACTCTCCACCTTTTGGCAGTCATCTGTGGGTCAATCCTCTGGTGGGGACTGTCAAAATTAACTGTGTCGATGCATGGGACAAAGTTACGAATGCAGGCTCTGTAAGGGTAGTGATAAGGGATCATACTGGTAGTCTGCTTGATGGTAGTGCGCATTGTTTTCAGTCATCACCAGTTGTGCAGGCTCAGTGTCATGCGATCCGAAGTGGATTAGAGCTGGTCCATGTAAGAGGTTTCACTTATTGTGGAAACTGATTCCAAGGTTTGTTTTGCTGCTGTCCAGGGAGATATTTCTGTCTAAAATTGGATCTTTACCCTCTATGACATTAGAATGCTAAAAGCTTCATTCTCCTCTCTCTGGTGGACATGGACTCCTCAAGATCCGAACCATGCAGCTGGCTGGGTGGCTTCGCAAGCAAGAAGGGGGTTGTGCGCCGAGGCTTGGGTCATTCGACCTCCAATCACCCTGGTCTTGATACTTTCACGGGATGGTGTACCTTGCCCACCGAACTTGACGCTTTCTAAGCTTTCTTCTTTCTGTTTTGTTGTTGTTGTTTTGTTTACTGTTTTGTGACTGGCCTCTCTGGTTGGTCTTTGTTGTTTGTAGCCCTTTACTGTTGTGTTATTTTTCTTAATATAATACTCCTTTTACTTTTTTGTAAGTTAAATTTAAAGCTCGGAAAGTTCCTCTTGAACTCTAAAGGCGAGGATGGCCTTGAGTGCTTATCTGAAGACAAACACTATCTTGTCTTGTAGTTGTGACTTTTCATGCTGCAATGGAGAGGCCTAAGAAATTAAAAAGGAAATTGCGTGCAACGAGAATAACACTATCTGTTATTTTTATTTAATTGTGTCCGACATGATTAATTTGTGATGCATACAAGTTTTTTTAAAAAAAATTAGGATTGAAATGAATGGGAATTTGGAAGTTTGTACTTTTTTCCACGTTATCAAAAAACTTTCTCGTGCTTGGGACATTACAAAATCTTTTTCCAAATCTTACCAACAGAGCAGGATTGAAAAAGTGATAGCCAATTGACTGGTGTCTTCAACTTTTTGGTAAAAGCCAAGCCTAGAGACTGGTGCATGTCTTTGGGTTTAGCATTTGAATTGCTACCTACCATTGCGTTTCAGCAACTGAATTAGTTCTTCAGACTAAAAACCAAAAAATAACTGACAGTTGACAGATAACGAGTAAAAAAAGTCTTGTGTCTATCCATCCATTGGAATATGAACATGAGAGAGGTAGTTTGCAGAGAGCACGTGAATACCTTATCACTATTGAGTTTCTAAAAGTTCAAAAAAAAGAAATAGAAAAAAAAAAAAAAAAAAAAAAAAAAAAAAAAACACACCTCTGCTATATAAACATAAAGCCACATATTTTACACCCATCAGTTTTCATCATCGATTTAGAAGTCTCTAATTCTTTGGTGATCTTTTTGGCTATAAAATTAGAAAGGAAAAACTCTCTAATTCTTCACCTCATACATACATCAAGCGGCCAAAGCCTAAACAGAGAAAGAAAAGTCAGGTAAGTTTTTCTTTAATTCTTAGTTTGACAGCAGGATTTATGACCAAAAGGAAGATAAAAATATTGATTTCATATTTGTTTTATCAATTTCAGTGGGTCAGAAAAGATTCTTGGGTTGGGAGGATCCTCATATTTGGAGTGATCATGTTTACCATTTCAAAGGGATTTGCTGTTATATCTGCAACTAAGAACCTTCAACTACCGTTCATAGAAGATATATTTGCATCAGGGCGCACAAGATTTTTGGAATGGGTGGTTTCGGAAAATCAGGTATTTACTTTCAACCTTTATTTTATTTGCTCAAATGATTAGCGTTTTTTTTTTTCTTAATATGTGAATGTTTTGAATTAATTTTTGGTTCACCAATATCTTTCTGAGTTTAAAGAAAATAAAATTCTATTCCATTTGCTGTGTAAGTTTTCTTTGTTATGTCTTGTTGTTTGCTCGTCGTGAGGTCACATGAAAAGCCAAGTATATGGTAATAACACTGATTGTTCCCTATGAAATACTATATCTAAGGCATGTCTACCACTGTCAAGTTCCAGTATATGGTAATAACACTGATTGTTCCATATGAAATACTATTTCTAAGGCATGTCTACCACTGTCAAGTTCCAGTATATGGTAATAACACTGATTGTTCCCTATGAAATACTATTTCTAAGACATGTCTACCTCTGTCAAGTTCCAGTATGGGGTATTAACACCGATACTTTACTGTCGTGTTCCTATTTCTAATGCAGGTATACCAATTAAAATATGAAGAAAGAAAGAGCCAGAAGAAACTCCAAAACAAAAGGCCAACAGTCATCATCCAAAACAACAACAAACAAGAAGCCAAGCAGATGGGAGGACCCAAATTATGTGCAGATCAAGAGCAACATGCTCTCTTTTGCAACAACAATTGACAACATCAGACAGAGACTTGAACGTCGGCACGATGTCTTAAAACTGCTATCAAAGACACCTTTTTGGGCATTAATAGAAGCATATATCCAGAGAAGGTTAACAAAGGTAGAGTGCATGAAGTCTAACTACGACATTGTGAGACTCATACAAGTTTATGACACAAAGACAAAGAAGTTCAAGTTTAATGATGTTGACAGCGAGATGAAAAGCAATGATGTGGCTGAAATTTTTGGCTTGCCAAACAGTGGCAAGAAGTTACCAAGCACAACAACCTCAACAAGGCCAAAATTGCAGTTTGTAGAGAAATACTTCGTGCGGTATAAGAAGATAACAAAGACTTCAATTGATAAGTGCTTGAATTTAGCACTTGAAGATGAAACAGAAGAGGGTGCTATGGATGTAACAAGATTGATAATCCTACAACTCTTCATGACCAATCTATTCTGCAACTCTGGTTGTACACTTGCTTGGACATATACAACCACAATAGACACCTTAGAAGAGATGGGGAAATATAATTGGGCTCAAGGAGTTTTGGACTACATGTATTTTGGATTAGAACAAGCAAAGAAGAACAAGAAGGACAAAAAAAAGCAGCCAAGCGTGAGTGGCTGCCTAATCCTAATACTGGTAAGAACACAAATCTCCAAACTGCAAATTCATAGCATTATTCTAATGATATGAATTGACACGTGATATTTCAAAAAAATATTGTGCAGTATTGGCTGTGTCAAAGATCTAACCTGCTCACTCCAATTCCTAGAAGAGAACAAATGACACCAACTGCTGTCAAATGGAGTCTTCAAGAACTCAGCGCGAAGCTTCATCATCTAAAGAACAACCAGATAAAGGTACTCTTTCCTTTCAAATAATCTGCAGCTGATATGACAACATTGTTAATATCATGTCATGTACATACTTGTTAATACCATGTCATAGAAGTAAACTATGAATACCATGTCACAGAGGTAAACTATGAATACCATTTCATAGAAGCACACTATTAAAACCATGTCATAGAATTACACTCTTAATACCATGTCATAGAAGTGCACTCTTAATACTAACTCTACTCAACAAACAGATAAAAAGCACTAAAGCTCAAGAGCCAGATGATGATTCTGAAGAAGAGAATGAAGAGAATGATGATGATTCTGAAGAAGAGAATGAAGAGGAGGATGATGGTGCTGAAGAAGTGAATGAAGAGCATGATGATGATGCTGCTGAAGAAGTGAGTGAAGACAAGGATGATGCTGCTGAAGAGGTGAATGAAGAGCATGGTGATGCTGCTGAAGAAGAAAATGAAGAGGAGGAGGATGCTGAAGTGAATGGAGACCATGATGATGCTGCTGAACATCAAGTCCAGCAACACCACCAGGTACAAGAAGACCTCCAAAATGAAATCCCAGAATACCGGAATTCAACGTTGTTTGAGGAAATTGTTAGATCAGTACCAGAATACAAGGAGGATGAAATACAGCTTACAAAAGAGTATATGATGGCGATCAATAATGCTGCTGAATATTGGACGAAGAAAGAAGAGCATCAAAAGATCCGTGATGCAATAGCATCTTGCATTAAAAAGAATAAATTGATTCAGATGCTGTACAATGAAAAAGAAGAATTATTGAAGCATCAGCAGCAACTGCAGAAGATGGTTAAGGAAGCAGCACATCACAAGAAAGTCATACAATTAGATGTTCATCAGGAAAAATCCTACATGACAAAGCTGCAGCTAGAAAATGATCAACTTCTTGCAGAGAAGATTTCCTACTTGGACATTATTAATGAAAAGGAAGCTGTTATTGTCTCGTTGAGAGATCAAAAATTAGCGCAAGAACTGCAGAGTGAAGAGGATAAAGAAGAAAAGAAAGAAGGTGAAGCAGAAAAGATAAAATCAAGAAAACCAGATTCCTCATTCCCTAAAGCAGAGACGAGAGCACAAAAGAGAAAGGCACAAAAAAAACCAGCCAAATCAAAGAAGAGGGCCAAAGGTTCATTCCTGCAATGAAATACATATCAGGTCTACAACATGCTGGATGAACTCTCACAAGAAAAGCTGAGAAATTACTGGAAAAATTCAGTTGATGGGTAAGGCAATGTGTTTCATTCATTTTCAATGCAAGATGCTATTATTGAACATGCATTAGAAAATAGGATTTCATTGTGTTATTACCCTATATTGAAACTTTACAGTGATAGACATGCATTAGTTATAGGATTTCAAAGGAATCTAGCAGTGTTATTACCCTATATTGAAACTTTGCAGTGATAGACATGCATTAGATATAAGATTTCATAGGATACAAGCAGTGTTATTACCCTATACTGGAACTTTACAATGGTAGACATGCGTTAGAAAAAGGTTTTTTAAGAAACAAACAGTATTATTACCCTATACTGGAACTTTATTGAACAGTTCTTTCAATTTTATTGCCATTTTTTCTAACTACAAATACTGTTACAGCACTGCTTTTTGGCAAGGGACAAGCATTTTGTTCAAAGATGACATACAAAGCTTATTAAGAGATACTGAAATTTATGGACAAATCATAGATGCGTATGCCGAGATACTTCATCATGATGAAAAGAAGGACCCTAAAAGACAACAGAATGCATACATCACGTGCTACGCATACGTAAGATCATAGCTATCCCATTACTTCTAGTAAAAATCACAAATTATTCATCTTCCTATACTTTTCACATTCTCTCTAATGCCGAAACTATTAATTTTGCAGAGGTATCTCACAGATAAAATGCACCCAAGAACATTCGATGAATATTTTGTCAAACTCCTTGAATGCATAGGGAAAACTTCAAAGGTGTTCATACCAATAACGGATGGCGGACACCACACCCTGCTTGTCTTCGACACCAATTCATTGCAATGGACGCACTACAACTCATTGAGGGGGGAAACTGAGCAAACCGTTGAATACTACAACAAAAAAGCAATAATTTTGGTAAGACAGACTCCTACTATGAACTGTTAATACAAGGCATGAACAAAACAGTTAATCAGTGAAGCTAACAACATACTTGCCTACAATGCAGGCAGACGCAACAAATGTCTTCCTCAATAGTGTCAAGGAATGTGCTCCAACAATTTTAGAAAAAAAACAGCTTCCCACTTCTTGAGTTCAAGAAGCCCGTCTACAATGAAAAATTGACCGACGAGATTGCAAAACTTCTTCGAAACCTGAAAGTTACACCAGCAATTGCTCAAACAATACAATATCTTATTAAACATGATCCCACCAAATTCAACTTTAAGGAGGACAGGGAATGCGCCCAACAACCTGAAAAGTTGTAAGTTTCACAATAACACTTTTCTTCCCCCAATTCAAATTAAACTATGATTCACTAAATGTTGCATATATATGTGTGTGTGTGTGTGAATTTGCAGAAACGATTGTGGAGTATTTGTCATGTACTACATGCAGAAGTTGTCACAAGGAAAACAAATTGAAGAAAGCTTGAGTACAGAGCATGTGTGGGAAATGAGAAAAGAAGTTTTATTGAAGACAATGGAAAGTGAAAAAAGTTGGTATTTCACAAAAGAGAATGAAGGATGAAAGCATGGATTTCACAAATTTTAGAACTATAAAATAGTAAATGTTCGGCTTCTAACTTCCAAATGTCAAATTGTTAATATGTAGCTTCTAACCAAAATCTTTTGATGCTTCTTAACTTTCAAATGTCAAATAGTTACTGTGTAGTGAGATTCAAATGTAAAAAATTGTTACTCTATAGCTTCTTCTATATTTCAAAATGCGAATTAACAGTGTTCAAAATGCGTATTAACAGTGACTTTCAAAAAGCCCAGCCCAAGTTGAGAAAATCAAGGTCAGAAACGAAATAAAGCCCAAAACAAATCAACCAAGCCATAGAAAAATACAGAAAAAAGGCCCAGTCTAATTTGACAAAAAAAAGCCCAAACAAACCAAAAAAAGAGCCCAAAAACTCAACAAGCCAATAAAGCCCAATTTCACTAAGCCCATTGAAAAAAAAGAAAATATCTCAACGCAGAGTACACGCACGCACCCAAAAAGCGAAAAACCCACTCACCCTCTCACTCCGATCTTTGCGACGCGACCCACTCCAAAAGCAGGCGAAAACCTCCATAACCACCAGGCAGGAGACAACCTCCATAACCACCAATCAACGACAAACTCCATAACGAGAAAGCCGGCGAATCGAAGTTATATTCTGCCATAGCCAAAAGTCTTCAAAATCGACACTACAAAAAGCAACTGAGCACAAGGACAACCAGGAAAAAGAGAAGAAAATTTCTTCCATAAACATCGACAGAAAGGTACAATCTCAAAAACCCACAATGACTTTCCACTTTCGTCTTAAGATTCTGCTAACTAATGCAAGAGTACCACGTTTAATACAGGTAACCAACGAAAAGGTCCAACAATGACAGAAACAAACACTCAAGATTCTTCACAAATGGCTAACAAAGCATCACTATCAGACTCCCAGGTATTACAAAATCTCTTAACGTCAAAGTCCAATAGCAATGTTTTGAAAAGACGCATGTTTCGACTGCAAATGTATACGTTTCACAACTGTTCATACCATGTCATAGAACTTGAACTGTTAATACCATGTCACAACTGTTAATACCATGCATCTTGCTCTTCTAGGGCACTGCGAAGCAGTGCACTTGAAGACCAAAATATATAGCATCCTTTGTTAATCAAAATCTGTGACTGCTATGCATCTTTCTCTTCTAGTGCACTGCTTTGCAGTGCACTTGAAGACCAAAATATATAGCATGCTATGTATCTTGCTCTTCTAGTGCACTGCTTTGCAGTGCACTTGAAGACCAAAATATGTAGCATCCTTTGTTAATCAAAATCTGGGACTTCTATGCATCTTGCTCTTCTAGTGCAACATGCACTAGAAATGTATATGAAAAAAAATCGTAGTGCACTAAAAAAGAGAAGCATGAGGTTCAAATGCATAGAAGTAAATGGTTAATACCATGTCATAGAAGTATTAATACTTATGTTTTATCATTCTTTTGTTTAGTTAAAGTAACCTATTTGTTTCACTTTGCAGGTGGTCATATGGAAAAAGGTAACCGGTTTGAAATTCAAAAAAAAAGCATACAAAAGGATCACAAGCCAACAAAAGCACAAAACAGCATCAAGAAACACACAAGGCACACCACCAACAACAGCAAAAGCCAAACTATCCACACCCAAATCGCAAACACACTGAAACCAAAGAAAACAACGAAGACAAAAAAAACACAATCCCAAACACAAAAACCTCAACCAAACAGACGCAATAACCCAGATTATGTGCAGATCAAGAGCAACATGCTCACATTTGACAACACATTGCAAACGGTAAAAGACAAGCTTGCCGCAAGAAAGGATGTCCTCAAGATCCTACAAAAAACGCCATTCTAGAGCAACATCAAGGCTTACATGGAAGGTCAGTTAACCAAGGTAGAATGCCAGAAGTCTAATTATCAAATAATTAAACTAATCAGACTCTACAACCCCGCAACCAAAAAATTCAAATTCAGTGAAGGCAACGAGCATGAAATTACAAGCAATGATGTGTCTGACATCTTTGGATTGCCAAACAAAGGAAACAAGTTGCCAAGCACAACAACTTCCACAAGAACAAATTTGGCCTTCGAAAAGAAGTACTTTGAGAAGTCAAAAAAAATCACAAAAACTGAGATTGATAGGTGTCTGAACACAGCAATAGCAGATGACAGAAAGAAGAATGCAATGGATGTTGTTAGGTTGTTAATCCTAGAGCTCTTCATCACAAATCTCTTTTGCAACTCTGGGGCGACAATGGCTTGGACCTTTTTGACTATGATTGACACATTAGAAGCTATGAACAGCTACAACTGGGCACAAGGAGTCTTAGATTACATGCATTATGGACTGGACCAAGCCATAAAAAATAAAAAGGACAAGACAAATCAACCAAGCGTCAGTGGTTGCCTTGTGCTAATCCTGGTAAGAAACTACATCCATTTGTTAATCCTGTTATATTATTTGTTTTCATGTGCATTAACACTTTATATTGAAAAACATGTTTGCAGTATTGGCTGTGTGAAAGAACTAACCTGATCAGTCCAATTCCTGGAAGAGAAGATCACAAACCAGCGGCTGTCAAATGGAGCCTTCCGGAGCTCAATATCAAGCTGAATATTGCAACATATGAAAACATTAAGGCATTTTTCTTACTTCCATAAACATATATAATGTTAGTACACCATAATTACTACTGACTCCAATAATTCAACAGATAAAAGCTGCTGACAATGAAAAAGAAGAAGCAACAAAGACTGATCATGCAGACCATGAAGAACAAGAAGAAAATGAAGAGGATGATGACTTTGTTATCACACTTAAAGATTGGGTAAGATAACCTACAATGATCCAACATTTATATTTCAAAACTGAATTGATAGTGTACAAACACATATACATGTATATAAATTTGCTAATTTTTTTTTCCTTTCTAATATTTGTGACAGTTAAAGAGTCAAACACAAAAAGGAAAAAGCCAGACTGTTATTACCCAGAAAAAGAACTTCAGCTTCCATGAAAATGTGGACCAAAGTGCAACCCAGACAAAAACTTCACAACAGGAGCAAAATGAAGACAATGCACAATCATTGGGATGCAAAGCAGATTATGAAATTGAAGAACCACCAGCACAATCATTGGAATGCGAAGCAGATGATGAAATTGAAGAACAAGCAGTTGACCTTAGTGCAGACTCAGTGACGGAGGAGGACACTGTTAATGTCCAGCAACAGAACCCAGAACTTGACAGCCAAGAAGAAGACTTCGACTCCATTTTTGTGGACATAGTGGGGTCAATCCCAGAGTACTACAAGCATGAAATAGCCCCTACCCATGAGAAAATCCAACAGCTGAAAGAAGCAGTCGACTATTGGATTGAAAAGGCAGATACTCGAAGGGATATGATGCAGACTGCTATAGAATCCTGCATAAAGAAAAATTTATTCATTCAACAAATATGGACTGAAAAAGAAGAGTTGGAGCAACAAATTGAAATACTGAAAAAGCAGCTTGAGCAAGAGAAAAAAGAATTTGCAAAATTACAAGGGGAACTTCATGCACTCAAATCAAATAGGAGACAGCTACAGGAACAACATGAACTACTTGAAGGGGAAAAGTTGTCCTGCATTGAGAGCATAAAAGAAAAAAACACTGTTATTGCCTCTTTGCAACATGTGATGGGAAAAAAAATCAAACAAGGTGAACAAGGAGAAATTCCGATGAAAGAACAAGCTGATAAGGAGAAAAAAGATGAGAGAATAGCAGAAGAAAGTGAATTGGAGATGCAAAAATCTCCTAATGATGAAGATGAGAACGCCGATGGAAAAACTCCTGAAAAGTTAGTTATCATGCAAGCAAAAGAAGTAGGAACACGGCAGTTGCGTTCTGGCATCAAAATAATCAAAGACAGAAAAGACAGAAAGCCTGCAAAGAAACCAGATTACACATACCCCGAAGCACATAAGAAAGGCCGAAAAAGAGCAAGCCAAAGCGAAGATGAAGCAACCAACAAAAAAAAGGAAGACAAAGATACATACCTTCAGTTGCACATGTATGAGGTCTACAACAGGCTGGATGAAATATCAAAGAAGAAGTTGGAAAATTACTGGAAATCTGCATCTGATTCTGATGAGTAAGCCAATCTGTCACAGAATTACACTGTTAATACTATGCCTTAGAACTGTCATAGAATTACACTGTTAATACTATGTCATAGAACTGTCTTGTTATTAAACTATTATGAGATTATCATTTTTAAACAACATTATTGTCGCAGGGACGCTTTTTACCTACAAAATAGGACAATATTGTACAAACATAACATTGAAAAGCTGATGGGAGATGGTCCAATTTCTGCACTAATCATCGATGCTTATGGAGAGGCACTTAATGATGATGCGAAGCAGAACCCTCAGAAACAGAAAAATGCATATTTGTCCGCCAATAACTATGTAAGATCACATCTAATACATCAATTTTATATCATCAACATGCTCACTAATCACCAACACATGACTTTTGCAAATGTTTTTGCGAGGTGCCTCACACAAGCTAACATATCATGCTTTCTATATGCCACTCCTAGAAAATATTGGAAGAGTTGATAGAGTGTTCATACCAATTACAGATGAGAACCACCATACGCTGCTTGTCTTTGACACCGGTGCAGCAAAATGGACACACTTCAACTCATTCAGGGGGACATCAGAACAAACTCTCCAATATTATCACAAGAAGGCAATTGTTTTGGTAAGTAAGACTGGTGATTAACACTGTTAATACATAGGACACTAAATTTAAAGGAAACTAAGCACATACTTGACTATGATGCAGGTTGAGACAGCAAATATATTCCTCTGTCTTCTTAAGGAATGTGCTGCAGTATCACTGAAAACAAAACTCGTCCAAATTCCTGATTTTGATGCCAAGATGCCGAGAGGGCTTAATGAAGCTTCAGCTAGAATGATATCAAAAATACTTGCCAGCAACGAACTTACACCAGAATATGCTCAGACAATGAAGTATCTGATTTGTCATGATACTACTAACTTCAACCTGACTGAGAACAGAGAATGTCCCCAACAAGCAAACAATTCGTAAGTTACGCAATAACAGTGAAACTTTCATCCTATTCAACTAAAAAAATACTGCAATAACTCCTGCATGCGTATCTCTATTATGCAGCAATGATTGTGGCGTCTTTGTCATGCATTTCATGAAGCAGCTTTCCAAAGACCAAGAAATAGAATCAGATTTCAACAAAGAAAAGGTCTGGCAAATGAGAAAAGAAGTCCTCATGAAAATTGTGAGCAATGAAAGAAGTTGGATTTCCATCAAAGAAAGAGAAGAGAGAAATGCAAAATAATGAAGTTGTAATCAAATATTTTGCCAAAATTCTTGCTTATATTGTAGTTTCTTAGGACTTGTGTAGGTTTAGAACATTGAAGTAAAGTGATTTTCAAATTCAAGTTATGTACTTATTCAAAAATCAGTTTATTTACGTGAATTAACAGTGTATGTAACCTGAAATAATGGTCTCCATAGCACTAAAACAACTAAAAAGGTGAACTACAACAAATAACAACGCACTCTCAATACAATGTTAATGCTATTTGATAGAAATAAATTGTTAATACCATGTCATAGAACTATCTTTCAATTTCAACAATGGCATGAACAGTGAGCATTAAATATTGTTCGTTCATTTATAGATTATTCAAACAGCAGTAATGCTTAATTCATACCAAACTTCAAAACCGAAATTTGCAAAATACAAAAAATGGTAAATATTATGTATTAATACCAAAAATTCAAAGTGTATTCATATGCAGTGACTGCTATTTCACCGTATTAACAACTTGCATATCAATTTCTATTCCTTTCAACTATGATTGTCATTAATCAATCACATAGCACTTTAACTAGTTAAAAACTAACTACTCTCATTCAAGTCTTTATACTCAGAACCTTTACATCAAATAGGAACCTTGCAAGTCCTCCTATTATGACGATCACAAGAACCGCATCTCTTGCACTTCACCTGCCTTTTAGTTTCACTGCTTGACTTGAAGCGCTTTGTCGGAGGTCGTCCCGGAGGCTTTCTTGTATGAGGAGGTAGAAGAAAAACATCTCCAGGAGGAGGCTTCTCAATATCAGGTATGGGAAATATAGGGGTTGCATAAGTAGCCTTATAAAAGTCTGCCTTGTAATACTCATCCACAAAGTTGTACAAACATAACCCGGAATGTTGGATAACTTGAATCGCATGCTGACACGGAAACCCAAGCAATTGCCACTGATAACAGGAGCAAAACCTCTCGTCCAAATTAGCATGAACTTCAAAAACAGATTCACTCGCACGACATATCCTCCAATGACGACCCTTTGCAGCTAAATTCTTCAACTCATCCTCAATAACAGGACACAAAACATCCTCAATATCCTCCAATGACTTGCAGCTTCCTCCTAGAAATCATCTCCATCATTTTGATCCTAACAGTGTCAATCATCTCATAAATTGGAAGCCTACGCACATCCTTAACCCATGAATTAAACGACTCGGACAAGGCATTACTAACCTCCTCATACCTCTTTTCCGGAAAAAATGCATTAGCAAAATTTTGGACAGGGAGATCAGCCAAAAACTTATCAATTATTTTTGAACCGCCATCATCTCTTAATTTTTTCAAAGTATCTTGATATTCCTCAACAGTCGGTGCATACAACAACTTACAAAAAAGCCATAAAATATGATCCTTGAAAGAGGAACCAACAGCATGTGGATACTTCTTTTTCAAGTTCTCTTTCAAATGATATAGACAAAAACCATGGGGAGAAGCAGGAAAAACAGTCCTAACAGCATCGATAATAGCACCATGCCTATCAGAAATGAATGTAAGTTGCCTACCTTCATCAACCAAGACTTCAGATATCCTTTGCAGAAACCACCTCCAATTATCCACAGTTTCACCGGATACAATCGCAAAGGCAAAAGGGAATACTTCTACAAGAAACAGAGAACTATATTAGTTAGTTTGAACTGTAACAGTGTTACCACATAAAGCAGAGTAAAACTACAATGCATAAAAATACTCAGATGCAGGGTATGAACAGTATAGAAACTGTTCATACCACTCAATGGAAGTCAACAACTACAGCATTTACATTTGCATAACTACACTGTTCATACCTTTATTTCCATTCTTTGCAGTAGCTCCTAGAAGAGTACCCTTGTACTTGTTTGTGACGAAAGTACCATCAATGAACAGCATAGGCCTACACCACCGAAAACCATCAATGGAGGCCTTAAAACATATAAAGATCCGCTGGAAACGAGAACCATCCTCGCCACAGTCAAGCACACAATGAGATCCGACATTGCTGGCCTTCAAAACATTCACATACCAAGGCAGGTGAGCATAAGACAACTCCTCATCACCATGCAAATCCTTAGTAGCCGACTCCTTCCCATACCACGCAACATGATAAGGGATATCCAATCCATAATTCTCCTTCAAATCAGTAATCAGCTCAATAGGCCTTACCAAAGGATTGCTACGAACCTTATCTTTGACAATTGAAGACACCAAACGATACCCCATTGCCTTATTTCTCTTCTCACGAATCAAACCACTGCAACTGTGTGCATTATTTAAGTTCTTAATATAAAAAAATCCATTTACATTCGACTTAACAGCATGCACATGCCACTCACAGCCATTTGATTCCTTCTTAGCACACACAGCAGTAACACGACGAGGCTCATTTTTCAAATATTTCATCTTAAAACCATTCTCAATCGAGTACTTAGCCAACTTATCACGGAATTCACAAACTCCACCCTCAAACTTCTGACCCTCATGAGTAATATAACCCTCCCAATCAGTAGACAAATACTTACGACCTCCACAACTACCATATTTGCCTAAATATTCATTTCCATACTCACTGCTAATACCATCAAAATCCATACTCAAACAAGAAGAAGAAGCTGCACTTGAATCAACAATACTACCAGTTTGAATTGAATATTTACATGTATCCTCATCTTGTGCAAAACTGTAATTGTTAGGAACAGCCTCCAACAAAAAAGGAGAAGCAATTATGTTCGTATTAACAGTTTGAACATAATTCACTACAGCCTTATCCCTAACAGCAATGTGAATTAATTGATCCTTCGTCAGTCCACATACCATAAACATGATTTTCAAATCATCATCCAATTCCAATAAACAATTGGAGCAATCCGTATAAGAGTACCTCAACTCAAAATGACCTAACTTCAGCTTGAACCTACTACACAACTCGTTGGACAGCCAATCAAAAGTAGTAGTTGAAGACAAAATAAGCCTTAAAGTTCCACCACCATAGGTGCACTTTGCCACTCTCGAATCATCCATATCTATACAAAAAAACAACAAACAAAACAAAAATGACTACTAGCAATAACAGTGAATGCCGAGTATTAACAGTGAATTATAGTCGACTCAAAAACCAATAGTGCATAAACAGAAAAAACACAAATATACTCAGATTCAACTGAAAAAACCTCAATTAATATGAAAACCAAATCGAATATCACAAAAGTTTCACCACACCTCAAATCAAAACACAAGAGCAAATCCACAATCAAAACGAATCTGAAATCAATCCAAATTATAAACAAAAAGAAACGAAAACCTAATCAGCAACTTAATTAATCGAACATGAAATCACCAAAAATCAGACTACAATATAATCGAATCCTCAAAAAACGAATATGAATTCACAAGAAAAAATCGAAATACCTCAAAATCGAAGATCACATATCGCACCAAGCTCCAATCGAGTCTCTTGCAGCGCAATATCAATCCAAAAATTACCAAATCAAACAACAAAGAACAAAAAAATTGAAGCAATAGAACTCCAATGTACACCATACTGAGCTCAGAAGAATCCAAAAAGAAGATCTGAAACCACATCATACTGAGCTTCGTTCGAAGAGGTGAACGAAGCTCGCTTCGTTCGAAGAACTGAACGAAGCTCGTTTGGAATATTCGATCTGCTGAGGCTGCCAAACAGGTTTCTGTTATGAGGTCACCAACGTAAATTTTCAGAAATTCCTATCCTAGCTGACGAATTTTGGGCCTGTTTCAAAGAATTCAGACCAAAAGGTCAAAACCGTAATCTAACATAGAAAATAAATCCAAAAATTGACAGCTGTTGGTTTTTGGGTTTATTTTGGGTGTGTTTATATGTTTTAAATAGTCTAGGGTTTTATTATAGTTTAATGTCTAGAATTGGGTGTTTCACTAATTTTGTAAAATTTAAACTTGTTTTTCTGACAACTTATTTCTATAATGAGGTAATTAGTGTTAACTTAGGGCTGTTGATAGAAAAACACGGGGCTAATCATGAATATTAATGATATAATATTCAGCCAAAAAAGAATAATATTACTAATTAAATAAAATAAAACCTTCTGTTCATTTTCTATTCTTGAATTCCCCTCTACCCCTGACCCCCTCCCATCATTTTCTCCCCTTTCCCATCAATTTTTTAACTAATCAATTATTTTATTTCTTTTTAGATTTCTTTTTTTAAATACCACAGCCGCCCAGAACAGCCACCCAATTTGCTCTCTCTCTCTCTCTCTCACACAAAATATCTACCAACACACACACAAACACAATATCATTAGTCAAAAGAATCTGTCAAAAAACAATAACAGTGGACAGAGTTCCTTTTCTTCGTCTTTATCCTTCAACAGCTAAACCAATCAATCCCCCCAAAAAGTAATAATTACATAAAATAAACATGAACCCATTACTATTTTAGCTCCTCTTTCCAGCTCTCAATTTATCTCTCTCTCTCTCTCTCTCTCCCATTACTGTTTAGAACCCATTACTGTAAACAAATGATATTTAACTTCAACAGGAATGGAAATTTGCTCACCTGAAGTGCAAAGGCAAAACCCTTGAGGTGGTACTCTCTTGGTCTACCAGTTGCCATTGTCTTTACTTTTTTTTTTCAGATTTTTTTGTTTTCGCAGCTTTTTTGGGAACTTTTACTCATTGGTAATCTGCACAAAGTGCCCTCAGAAGTAACGTATTTGTCTTGGCATAACACACAGCACCCCATGGATATTTCCCAAACTCTTCAAGGTCTTCCGCCAACTTCAAATATCGCATGTCAATGTGGACATGTTTTTCACTGCCCAACAGCACAAACACAGCAAAGTATACAAATCCGAGCTTCAATACATCGTCTGCATCAGCGCAGTCGTGGAAGGATTTTTCTAATTCCAAAAGGCTGACTGTTTTATTGTTGCCAAAGTACTTCCTTTTCAATGAGCAGTTCTCATTACTAGGAATCGGAATAAAAGGAAGGTTTCCAAACCTTAGCCCTGTGACGATGCAAAATTGTTGCGGTGTGAATTGGATCACCTTATTGCCAACGATGAATTTGATCCCATTCACTTGGGAAACAGTCTTCGGATCAGCCTTTCTCAGCAACAATCCGTGTACAATTGGCGACGTCCACTTCAGGTCCTCAATTAGTAGGAGATGACCAAAACAACTCTCTTCGAAGGTTTGTAGCTGTTGCTCACTGAATTTCTGCTTTATCGTACTGATTGCACTCTTTGTATGGGATAGGGCCAATGCTTTTCCTTGGAACTTTTCTTCCTCTCCAATCATCAACTTAATTGGAGAAACCATCTTTCCCTACACGCCATTATTATTAAAAAAAATTCAGTCCGTTGCAATCTGGACAATAACAAGCAATACACAATTCAACGGCCTATTATAGGATATTAAGTGAAAAATAAACACAAATTACAGCACATAAACAAAACCCCAGCTATTTACAACTGACCTATTAATTCAACGGCTCAAACCCCAGCTACTAATTCCTGCACGAGGCATTTCCATCAGTACAACCTTAAGCGGATAAATAAAATGATGTGTGTATCGAAATAAATGCAACAACCACTGCAAGTACTCCAAAGCAAACACATATCTTACTAACAAAAGTGTTACACACTGGTGAAACAACAGAGTTATATGCACATTAATTATAGCTTCTAATAAATACTACACTTTCTCATTCATTAATTATGGCTTCTCTAATCGAACAAAAAAAAAGTTGTTTTACCTGCTTTTCTGAAATGGAACCTAGCTTGTAATCCTGCCAAAGGGAAAAGTAAGATAAGTTGCTAGAAATTCAAAGAAAAAGTTGTCTCAGACAGAGTGATGTAAAGGAAAATTAGTACATAAGGAGAAACTAAAAAACTGAGAGAGCGCATGTAATGTGAAACTCTAGGAATTCCCAAAAATACCAAATTTGGCCTACACCAATACATGTTGAAGCAGAACTCACCAAACCAGTAACTGCACTTTGCAACTCAGTCACGGTAACATAAAGTTCCTCAATACTTCCTTTCATATCACCAACCTGTTTCATAAGTTGTAACCAAATTTAGAGATGACGCCGATAATATATTTCGTATGCTACAACACTCCATTTACATTAAATTGGAATACAGGATTTTAAAATACTAAATTGCATACATTTAAGGCATGGCACATCACATATGGATAGCTAATACCTAACCAGCTGTGACATTCATCCTATTAGTTCCATATTGATAATGTCAGAAGTTTTTGCTTCAACCTCATCAAACTAGAAGTTTTTTAATTTGAATTTATGAATTCAGAACTAAAAGCTCATAATATGCAAAAAATGACATACAATTGTTCAAATCTCATAAGAATGTTTGTGTTCTGTCCAGCATAAGAATGTTTAATACAGTCATTTCAATTGTTAAAATCTCATCAAACAATATAGATAGTTGGGACTTACCCAGTGAACGAAGCCCAAACGTTCTGTGACAAAATGAAGAGTTTGATTTCTGTGAACAGTGCCTGCGAGCCAATGACAGTGGGTGTGAGTTATTACCCAGTTCATAGAAACCCATAAACCCAAACCCAATTTCTGAGCAACCAAACCAATTTCTTAGAAATCCAGACACCATAAACCTTCACAAAAACCCCACATTTCAAAGAAAAGGGTTATGAACAGTACCTCGTGGATGTCAACGATGGAGTTACGCTTGGATGAACAGCCACTGTTGACGGAGAAAGAGCATTGCGTCGAAGAGAGAGAGGTACACCAGGGAGAGAGACGAGCCGAAGAGATAGAGCGAAGACAATGAGAGAGAGAAGCCAATTTCTGAAAAACTGATATGGGTACAATAAGTGGACAATAATTTTATATTTAAAGGTGTTAGTTGTAAAAAAATTGGGAAGGGGTGATATTTTTAGTTAAAATTAGCAAATGGGTGGCATTGGAGGTCATTTCCCTATTTTATTTGCTCAAATGATTAGCGTATTTTTTTTTCTTAATCTGTGAATGTTTTGAATTAATTTTTGGTTCACCAATATCTTTCTGAGTTTAAAGAAAATAAAATTCTATTCCATTTGTTGTGTCAGTTTTCTTTGTTATGTCTTCTCGTTTGCTCGTCGTGAGGTCCGAGGTCTATAGCATTAAAAACCAAAAAAAGGTCTATAGCATTTTGCTTGTTATATGTAAGTGTGCAAGTTCTTAAATTTCTAGGAGCTGTCTTGGAAAGTGATATGTTTAGGAAGTTGCTGCATAGATCAACTCCACCTATTTGCCCTTTGTCATGGCAAGGGGGGCTAGGGCAGCTGCCCTTGCAAAAAGCAATGTGTGTTTCTACCCGTTGCCATGGTAAAGGGCAAATACTATTCATTTTTCAATTTTTTTTTAAACATAAACAATTAATTTGGATAATATTTTCGGATAAGATTTTTGGGTTCGCACGTGTCAATATTTATTATAAAATTTATATCTCATAATCGGATAAAATTTTTGGATAAGATTTTCGGTTTTAAATTTCAGAAAAATTTCAAATTTCAAATTTCATGTAAGATTTTCACCCTCTAAAATCGCGCCACGTGTCATCTCTATTTGCCTAAATTTTTCAATAAAATTAGAGGCTCAGCTCATGCCTCTCACACCAGATATTCTCTATATTTTCATTTCTCATATTTTGGTATCCTCCAAGCCCGTTGGGCTATTAGTAGGGGTGCGGCACGTCTGTTTGATGAGGAGGTGCTGATGAGCATAATAATGACATGCATCATCTTCCATAACATGATTGTGGAAGATGACTACGATTAAGATGATGCAGACGTGTATGAACCGGATCCCATGAATACGGCCTTGACAAGAATTTATGAAAAAGACATGGGGCCAAATAGAGAACCATTGGAGCATGAACCGTTGGTTAGGGACGGTCGTTTCATGACCCGTATAATTGATCGATATACGGAGATGCAATCGTCTTATATTCATGAACGACGTCAAGTTGACTTGATGGAGCATTTATGGGCGGTGAAAGGCAATGACGGTGAATGAAGTAAAGTGAAGATGTTTTTTTATTTATTATTATGCTTAGGTTATGTTTTATTTTTAGTTATGTTTTAGTTATGTTTTGGTTGTGGTTTTATTTTTTTTTAATGCTTTGATTGTGACGCATGGGGCCAAATGGAGAATCATTAGAGCATGAACCGTTGGTTAGGGATGATCGTTTCACGACCCGTATGATTGATCGATATACGGAGATGCAATCGTCTTAAATTCATGAACGATGTCAAGTTGACTTGATGGAGCATTTATGGGCGGTGAAAGGCAATGACGGTGAATGAAATGAAGTGAAGATGTTTTTATTTATTTATTTATAAATTATGCTTAGGTTATGTTTTATTTTTAGTTATGCTTTGGTTGTGGTTTTATTTTTTTTAATGCTTTGGTTTTGGTTTTTTATGTATGGAATGTTTTGAATAAAAATGTATTTTATTGAATGCTTTCTTTATTCACTCAAAGAAACCCAATACAAGTAATTAAGAATTACAACTAATTAAATAAATTACATGAATTACAACTAATTTTTAAAACAAAACATTAAAATACAATGAAATAGAAGGCAAGCAAACTAACTTAATGGTATTGATCATTTAACCAATCCGTGTTGCTAGGTGCATCGTCACGGAAAAGTCTTCTTCTCATAACATTCTTTCGTTCTAGCTTCCAAAATTGTTTTGTTTCAGGGGATATATGGCTTGTATCCATGGCCATGGTTTCCGATCATTCCTCTCAATGTTTTCTTTGCGTACATACTCCCTTTCTTTTGCATATTCTACTTGAATTGCCCTTTCGTCTTCTTGAGTTTTCATGTCGATTTCAATTCTCATAGCGCTTTGCCTTGCAATTTCCTCCAAAAATTTAGATGTATTATTGCTAGAATTACTCCCTATCTTCACTTTTGCCGCCTCTCTCCTAATAGGCCTCGACTCCTTTTAGATGGGTGAGTCATGACTCATCGGGGATCCAAAGGCGAATCCGATGCCGGTGAATCATGGAGTAGCGTCTTGTTCAACACAACGGTTGGACCAGTTGGAATAATTCGAAATCTCGAACAATTCTTCACCACCTCCCAACATTGGTCATGGTTGAAAGTTTTTTTGCCTTGCCTAATAGCACCAAACCCCATTTGTGCTTGCATTTTTTTTTTTTTTTTTATTGCAATGAAAAAATTAAAAAAATATTGGCAATGCAAGAAATATTAACAAAATATTGGAAATGCAAGAAATATTAACAAGATATTGGAAATGCAAGACATATTAACAAAATATTAAAAATGCAAGAAACATTTAAAAATAATAATAGGACATTAAAATTAATAAAATGAAAATTACAAATAATTTACCTCATTGCTAAGATTTTCCCTGCTTGTCCCTCGATTTTGCCAAGGCATCTCTCCATTTCCCCAACTCTTTATTGAGAATTTTTCACCTACTAGACAATGTCATTTCTGTACTGGTCGAACCCGATCTTTCACAAAATTCGGTATGAATTTTTCTCCACATATGACATAATTTCATCTCATTGCCCATGACGAGACAATGACTAATTTTGACCCAACACTCACACAACAAAACATCTTCCATGGTGCTCCATGCTCTTCCAGTTTCGATAGAAGAAGTCATAAGATGATAAAGAAAAATAAAATTTGAAAGTAAATAAAATGTTGAGTAGAAATTGAATAATAGTTGAAGGAGAAGAAAATGTATGAGGATTTGGTGTTAAAAGTGAAGAGTATTGGTTGGTATTTATAGAAAAAAAAATCATAAATTTTTGGGTATTTTTTTCATAATTTTATTGCACAAAAATTGGCTACCGTTGGATTGGAGGAGAAAAATCAATCAGAGCGCCCAGAGGTCGCCACGTGGCTTCTAGCCATTGGGGAAAGTCAGGTGCACGCATTCAAATTTTTTTTACCGTTGCCCGGTTCGGTGGGACCCACAGGTTGCCAAGGCAAAACAGGCCCGCTTGAAATGGCCATTTGTCCTTTATGAAGCATGTGCAGTGCACATGGTAATTGATTTGTATAAAATAAATAATAATTAAATAAATAAAAACCTGCTATTTGAGGTCAAGGCAATAGGTTTTTTCTTTGGTATTTTAGTGCATGGTGCTCCCCAAAGTTGGTCCTGAACTTCAAACCCAAAAAAACTCTACTGCTAAAGATGGCCATCTTTTCCATTGGTTGTCAGTTGTTTTCTAGGGTTTAAAGCATTGGGTATCAATGGATTTGAAGTTTCTAAGGTTAGTATTGAGCAATCTCACATATCTCTTGCTAAGCCCTAACTAATCTCACCTCTTTTTAAGTTAATTATGTTTATGAGTAAACCTTAATCTCATCCGTCTCTTGCTAAACCCTAATTAATCTCAAGAATTTTTAAGTTAATTTCTGTTTATGGGTATCCTTATTCTAAATTGTAAAATTTGAATGAAAGTTAGTAGCATTGCAATTTTATCTTTTATACAGAGAACGAGCATTGTCATATTATGTATAAGAATTTCATTGGATGTATAGAAGATGATTTATTGGCATATGTGTTGGCATATTACTTTCTAATTGAGTTTGTTTGATATGACTGGCAAGAATGCAATTTCATATATAGTTCTATTAAAATCAGTTTGATAATTGGAGTATGAGTGGACATATTATTTTTTGAGTTTATTTGATATGACTGACTAAAATTCAATTATATAGGGTGCAATTTTTTTCTATGATTTGGCAATTGCATATGAGTTGACATATGTTATGTGGTGAAGATTCCTCCATTGATTAGTAGCTATTTAGTTAAGGTTTAAGGCACTCGGTTTGAAGTTTTGTAAGGGCAGTATTGAAGAATCTCATTTTATCTCTTGATAAATCCTAACCTTTTGTAAAATTAGTATTGCGTAATATGACTTGTGTTTTGCTAAACCCTAACCTCACTTCTTTAAGTTAATTTTTGAAAACATAATATGAATTTAAAATTGTCATTAAAGTCAGTATGTTGAAAACAACCATTAAAAGTGTTTCGTGACGTCTCATAATTATATTGGATATGTAGAAGGTGATATATTATAGACTATTCAAGTGGTGCAATGGAGACGGTGATGATTGTGAAGTATTGGATATTCCAAGAGGCAAGTCTAACACGTGCCTTCCACTCCCGGAGGATGTCGAATATGTAAGTGTGAGGTCATGTCTACATGATTACAATGTTGACCTTGAAACTACAATAGTATATTAACTTTATTTACACAACATATTTGAACTATTGGTAAGTGCATCAACAACATCAAAACTATTGGATATGAATAGTGGGCTAAATTCCTTACTCTTCACTAAATGCATGGCTTCTAGGACAATCATAAGGAAGCTTCGACAGGTAATGTTGGATTCAATTGCTTTTAGGAGTGTTACCAAATTAATGCAATCCACTTAAGTACTGGATTTTTGTTCTATACATGGCTTATATGAATTCAAACTCCACTCACTATATATTGTGGCAAATATGCATGATGTTATGGCAAATGAAGTGCCTTTAATTAGAATTATATGCGGATGTGTGATAATTTATGTTAATTGGGTTGTAAGCATAAACAAAATATTGTGTTTTAAAACTTAATCATGTTTCTTTTGCAGGAGTTAAGACTTGCAAGACAACATGTTCATGCTGATATTGATGCAATGCAGGCGAGTAGTTAAGATGTTTATGTGCCATATTTGTTATTTTATTTTAAGTTAAAGATTAGGTGACATATTTATAATTGCAGTAATCATCAAAGATTATGACTTTGTTTTTGTAGGAGAGACACACTAAACATAACCATCACCGCCATGCTGGAAAAGAAATTGATGATAGGGAAGATGAGAATCAAATTGATGATGAGGATGATGAGTTTGGTGATAACAACGATAATGGATTTGAGACTTCATGTGAGGATGGTGAGAATGCAGTGGATGATGACAATGAGGAGGAAAAAGAGGAGGATGAGGAGGACGACGAAAACGAGGAGGACGAAACCAAGAAAGTGAGGAGGAGGACGTAAACGACCAGGAAAATGAGGAAGACGAGGTATTAGTAAAGGATACCAAAATCAAGTCACCACTCCCAAAAACCAAAAGAAAAGGAGCTGTAGTGAAAACGAAATGCAAAGGAAGGGAGGTGCATACTAAAGAAAAAGCAGCTACGATTAAATAAAAAGGCAAAGCACCACTACAAAAACGCAAGACCTCTTTGCCGGAACCAAAACCAGAGCCTATTAGTAAGAGGCTAAAGAAGAAAACTTAAATTCTATTATGGGTATTTTGTTTTTGTGGTATACGTTGATAAAATTGTGAACAACCACTACTACAAAAATTGAAATAGACGACAGGAAAACACCGTCATCTTTTTCTTTTTCAAACCGTCGTTAAATTGACAGTCATCTTTTTGAATGTCAAACTACGACGGTAATAAACCGTCGTCTTTACATTAATAGACGACGGTTATTTCATAAAAACCGTCTTCTATTACATGTAATAGACGACGGTTTTTAAAAGAACCGTCGTCTATTAATGTAATAGACTACGGTTTTTCTGAAATAGACGACGGTTTTACATTTTAGTTTTTTTTTCTTGTTTCCTATGGTATCAGAAATATATACTCAAATATGTTATTACCCACGGAATACATATATATACTAAAAAATTGGTTCTTTCATAAATAGAATATCAAGAGTACAATAGAACAAAATAAAATCTAAAAAATGAAAGCTGCAAGCTGCAAGCCTAATTACAATAATACACTAAAATTCCTATACCTAATTATCCTTCAAGTCCAGTTCTCCATATGTATATAGAGCTATACATTCATCATCACCACTTTTCCTATGCATTTCTTCAACTTTTACCACTAGGAGTAGCTTCGTTAGATCCACTTCCATGGCCTAGGAATCTGCTCAACAAGCCAAAATAATGTAATAGTGAGATATTAGAACCTTTAGAAAAAATAATAAACAGGAGCATACCCATGTAAACATAACCTTGGTTTAATTACAGTTTATTTCATTTCCATTCTGAGTTTGCAAACATGGATTAGACAATTTCAAGCAAGCAAGAACCATATAACAAGCTTTGACAAAAAAAGAAACATATAACAAGCAAAACATAGAGCACATTGGAGTATGATAATTACCCGTCGGGCTAGTTTTGCAGGATCAACAAGTTGAGCATGATCACCTGCAAATCATAATAAAATCAAAAAGAAAGCAGAAATGTTTTACGGACAACAGAAAGTAATGTTGAAAAGATATTACCACCTGAAGATACATGCACTTTAACCTTAGGTGTCTCTTGTCTAGAATCTACAGCTGTAAAATATATCTTTATACAGACAATCCAAAACGCAAACAATCAGCAGCAAGCAACAAATGGATGACATTTTTGCAGCAGTAGCACACAAGATTTATCAGGGATGGTTAAAAAATCAAGAAGAAACATAATAGACGTACTAACCTTATCCGTAATTGAAGTCTTTTCCCCAATGACTTTCCATGAAGCTGACAAATTGTTTTTTCTGAAGAAATCAAGGCTCAAAGGCCCCATGTCATTCGTGTTGGCTGCAATTACATCAATGACCTAAATGTTGATCCAATCAGTGTACTGGTTAGAAAGAAAACTCAACAAAATATAAAAATTGCCAGCACTTATATGAATGACATGTAGATACCACCTTTAGCATGAACCGATTGGATCAACATGGAAAGTTGCCTGGAAAGACACCACCTTTAGCATGAACCGCATCAAGAATTCGTTTCCATGCTTCCACTTGCATTTAATCTCAAGTGTACCACTGATACAATTAATTTTCAGTAATGAGATTGATGTATATAATTAAAGTTTAAAGAGAATTCATCAATGGAATGTTGGGAACTAGAGAGTGATGATGTTCTCTTTCTACAAAATATTTAGCAATTGTAGCTTCAGTAAAGTATTCATCTTGCAAAGCAGATAGAAATTCGATAATAAAAGGAGGGAGAGATCTCAAGTCAATGACTTGTAGGTATAAATAAGAAATTAAACCTCAATTAAGCACTAGTCTCATCTCCAATTCCACATTATGATTTATAAACATTTATAACCAATACTACAGTGTTAAAGCATACAGTACACACTCGTAATTACCGAACATTGGACTCCATGATTGGTTAATTACATCTAAGTAGACAGAACCAGATCTGCAATTACTCGGGAAAGACAAATCAGTCAGGTCATAGAAAATTAAAAACCAATAACCAATTACTCAAGTTCCAGCTGCTTACTACAAAAATAAGAAAGAAAGTACGTTATCAATTCCACAAACTTATTCAAAGCATTTGATAATCAGCAGTATATCACACCATTCTAAGTAAACTTAATACTTGTGCCTTTATTTGACCCAATGTGCTGGATACCAGTAACAATTAGAACTCAAAATATCCTAGAGAAGATAATTATACTCTGATGTAATGAGAGGTGATTTTGCTTTTTAAATTGCAGAATACTCACAGCTCATCAACATTTGGGTGGAAAATCTTGTTCATGAAGCTCAACTCGGATTTTCCAAACCCCGCCTTCATAAAGACCTGCAACCACCGCATCACATAGAGTATATTATACCAAAACGTCTTTTAAACAATGTCTAAACGAAAGCCAATAGGCATTAGAGCCTCAGCTACTAAAAGACTAGCGGAGAAAAAAGAAACATTCGTTTCCAAAACGCATTCATCTAAGAGCAAACTCAATTAACGTCTACCAAAAGACAAGGAAAGATGAAAAACTTTCCATTTATTGTCTCCACCTTATAGTCACTCATCATCCTTAAAAACATTGAAAGAGACATTAAACATAGCTTTATATTGTACAAGAGAGGAAGGCAGCAACATGATTTAAAGTACTTGTACCAACAAGACTACTTTGGTATACCAAACGGGAGGAAAACCATAAAGCATGCATCTTTGTTTTTTTTTCTTTTTTTAGTCATTAAAATCAGAAAATTTCAAAGGAATTAAGGAAAAAAAGAGGGGGACTTGCATCGATGTTCGGCTTTGGGGAGCTTCGAACGGAAATTTTCTCAACCATGGATCTGTCAAATTATCTTCTCTATTCCTCTGCCCTGCCTTGCCCTTTTGATAATGACCAAAATCAGCAACCCAATGACTGCAGCCGCACACATAACATAAAGGGAATACATATATATATATATATATATATATAGAGAGAGAGAGAGAGAGAGAGAGAGAGAGAGAGAGAGAGAGAGAGAGAGTTTGGCTACCCATGAGAATCTCGGAGTCTGAGAGCCATGGGAACCGAAGGATTCAAAATATCCTCGTTGCAAACAAAAAATCATGAAAATCTGCATCGGATTTTTAGACAACAAATCAGAAGAAGCCTAAGCTAACACCTAGAAAAGTAGATTCGTACCTTTTTGGCCCACGAGGAAGATCTAATCTAAAGCTTATGAAATGGAAGATGGGAATCCAGATGGTCGCGATGAAGAAGGGTAGCTTCCATGGGCAGCGCGAGGGAGATGGCGAACGCGGGAAGCTCGGTGACCTGAACGGCGCGACGGAGATGGTGACCAAGGCAAGTTCGGTGGACGGCGCGTGGGAGATTTGCTTCATAGATGTGAGAAAGGGTTTTCTGAAAGGTCGTGATATAGTACAGTGTTTGAGAGAGCATGGGGTCTCTGAAAAGCTCCCCGCTCGCGAACTTAAAAGTTCAATTTTGTTTAGCGCCTCCTAAAAACACAACGGTTCTAATAGGCTGTCGTCGTAATTTTAAAAATTAACCCAACGCATCAGTGTATTAGGTACCTTACCACGACGGTATTATAAAACTCCGTCGTCTTTTCAAAAATCACGACAGTTTTTATATAAACGGTCGTCTATTGGGTGTCGTAGTTTAACATAATTGTAGTAGTGAACAAAAGTGAGATTATATCTTTTGTGGTAAGTGTTAACTGTTAGCTTATGTAATTTGTTTGATGCTACAGACTTATTATATAATGATGTCAAATATGATCGTGTATTGTTCTCTCTCAATGGTCATTGAGTTAATTTTAAAGGAAGTGACCATAAGATGGAAATGACACTGATAGATTGGCTCACCCAAGATAAGAAGGAAATAATGCAATTGACAAACAGTTAGTTTGAAATTGCAAACGAATAATGCAATTGACAAACAGTTTGTTGTCATTGCAAATGAAGAATGTAATTGACAAACAGTCAGTTGAAAATTGCAAACGAAGAATGCAATTGATAGTCAGTTGGAAATTACAAAAGAAGAATGCAATTGGCAAACAGTCAATAGAAAATTGAAAAAGAATAATGCCATTGACAAACAGTCAGTTGGAAATTGCAAACATGCAGTTATCATGCGTGCCTAGTTTCTTCGCTTTTGGCTTGGTTTTCCACATGGTTTCACTTCCCATTCCAAATAGTTTTGTAACCCCAAAGAATGATTATTTTTTTTTTTTTTTTTTTTTTTTTTTTCAGTCAAAAATCAATAAAGTATATTTTAAATGCTATTTTTGTCCTGTGTAAATATTTTGTAAACATGTATGTAAAAAATATTAAAAAATAAATTTATAAAGGTAAGATGGGACATTAGAGAAGTAAATCAAGTCCTTATCCTTGTAAACAAAAGGGTTTACAATTAGTAAGGACTCGTATTACTCTGTTGGACATTTGTGTTTCATTATATTGTACTCTGTTGGACATTTGTGTTTCATTATATTGTAAAATCAATCCTTAATTGTGTAATATCGTAATTTACAAACATAAGGACATCTAGTACAATATTAAGGTAAAGTGGAACATTTGGAAAGTAAACTGGGTCCTTATAAACACAAATGTTTACAATATTAAGGTCTCGTATTACTCTATGTTGGACATTTGTGCTCCATAAGATTGTAAAACCCATCCTTAATCTTGTAATATCGTAATTTACAAAGATAAGGACATCTAGTACAATATTAAGGTCAAGTGGGATATTAGGAAAGTAAATTGGGTCCTTATACATATACACACAAATGTTTACAATATTAATGACTTGTATTATTCTATGTTAGACATTTGTGTTCCATAAGATTGTAAATTTCATCCTTAATCTTATAATATTATAAATTACCAAGATAAGGACATCTAGTACAATATTAAGATAACTTGGGATATTAGGAAAGTCCCTATACTTATAAACACAAATGTTTACAATATTAAGGACTCGTATTACTCTATGTTGGACATTTGTGTTCCATAAGACTGTAAAATCCATCCTTAATCTTGTAATATTGTAATTTACAATGATAAGGACATCTAGTACAATATTAAGGTCAAGTGGGACATTAGGAAAGTAAACTGGTTCCTTATACGTGCAAACACAAATGTTTACAATATTAAGGACTCGTATTATTCTATGTTGGATATTTGCGTTCCATAATATTGTAAATTCCATCCTTAATCTTGTAATGTCTTAAATTACAGAGAAAATGACATCTAGTACAATATTAAGGTAATTTGGGACATTAGGAAAGTAAATTGGGTCCTTATACTTATAAACACAAATTATTACAATATTAAGGTATCGTATTACTTACTCTATGTTGGACATTTATGTTCCATGGGATTGTAAAATCCATCCTTAATCTTGTAATATCATAATTTATAAAGATAAGGACATCTAGTACAAAGAAAAATGACCCCCAATACAATGTTAAGGTAAGAATGAACCTTGGAGTAAATTGGGTCATGATACTTGTAAACAAGGTGCTAGTTACAACATTAAGGATTGGTATTATACGAAGATGGACATATTTGTTCTATTATATTGTAAAAGCCATCCTTAATCTCGTTATAGTGTAATTTACAAAAACAAGGAACCCTTGTATAAGAATAAGGTAAGCATGGTCCTTGGTGAAATAAAATTGGTCCTTACCCTTGTAAACAAGGGCGGATGCACGTTGGGACAAGAAAGGTCGGATGACCCCTTGGAAGGCTGGAAAGTTGTTAAGGGACTCCATGAAAGCCCCCTTGGATAGCTGCTGGAAGCCCCCTTGGATGCCCGCCAACCACTCAACGAAAGTCCCAGGAGGCAGAAGCTTTGTTGAGCAATTGCGATGCGTGTCTGTTTTTTGTTTTTTTTAAACGAGCCTTGCCAAAATACGTTGTTTGGTCTAAGGCTCAGTCAAATTTTTTTTAAATGACCTTGCCTCAAAACGACGTCGTTTTGTGCCAGTTTTTTTTATAAAAAAAAGAAAAAAAAGAGAACACAGCCTTGCGAATCTGCACAGCAGCCCCAAACCCTTCATTCCCAATTTCACACATCCTCTTCCCATCCTCTCAAACCCTAACCTCTCCCAACCTCTGACAACCTCCATCAACTCTTCGACGGTGGCCCAGTGCCGATCACCGCAGTTGTCTGCCGCCCTTGTTTTCAACTACAAGTAAGCTTGGCAAAATTTCGGAACTTTTACACTAAGCCCCCTTGGCCACACAATCCTGGATCCGCCACTGCTTGTAAACATAGGGGGTTGTTGAGGCCCAAAATATTCACAGTTTGGCCCAAATAAATTCTTGGCCCAATGCGATGCTTTACCAAGAAGAAACCCGATTTGGGCATGCGAAAGTTCATCATATGCGCTTGCACACATGCCACGCCAAACGACACGCCACGCTAAGCAAGGAATTATCATTCCGCACCTAATCACGCCACAAGCTTAAGTGGGCCCCAAGCCACTCAAATACCCGGGGCTTGCTTGAGTGGGTTGTGGTATGGATGGTAATAAATTGTCATGAGGCCCATTGATGGACCAAGAAGTGGAGGTTCCGGGTTACTTGGGAGCCTCGGAACCCAAGCCCATTTCTTAGGCCCAAACATGTGGGTAAGCAGAAGAGAGGAAATAGCCCAATTGCTTCAACTAGAGTAGCCCAACCAAAATAACCCATTACTTTAGATAGCCCATAAAACCCAAATACTTGGTGAATTTAACCCACTTATTAGACTTGGCCTTCTATATTAAAGGGCCCATACCATTTGAATAAAAGGAGTCCAAGACCTTCAGCACTTGGCTGAAGCAGAAGTCCACGAAGAAAGCCAGAGATTCACATGTGAGGGGTTGCTGGGGGAACAAGTTCCAAGTGCAAGCATTCAAGAAACCAAGGGGAATTAGCACGCAGGGGAAGATGCTATCCCTTAAACCAGCAGGCGCACCCATTTTCTTTCCTTCATCAGATTTGGCCGTGAAAAGAGGAGGAAAGAAGAGAAAGAAGATGGGTGAAAATGGAAGCTCTCCTCTGAAGCTGTTGAAGCCTCGAGCTCCCAAAAATCCCTGATTTTGTGGGATTGGGCAGAACTGATTTTTGCCTCCATGAGGTAAGTCAAGCAAGAGGAGAAAGAAAGGAAGAGGAAAGCTTAGCTAGATTGGAAAGAAACCATTAGGGTTTCTTGGAGAAGACCCATTCCCAACAGCTATAAATAGGACCCCTTCTACCCAACACAACACAACCCACAACCTTCAGAGAGCAAGCTTTCTCTCTCACATGCAAACCCAGGAATTTTCGTGCTATCCTTCCTCATTTTCCTTTATTTCCCCTGTTTTGGCAGATTGACAGAAGCTTTGACAGAGTCACTGTCAAGCTGCCGGAAACTGCGAAAGTCACCCAAAACTCTTCACCATCCTTCTCCCTCTTCATCAAAGCTCCTTAGAGCCTCTCTCCCTCTCCATTAGAACCTCTGTACCTCATAGGAACCCACAGATCTCTCTCTCCTAAAGTGCTAAACTCATGATAATTTTTGCTCCCATGCCATAAGTCACTCATGCCAAGCTAGAATATTTATTTGTAATTTGTTGTCATTTTCATTGGTGAAGGTAACCAAGGAGTTTCCTAAGGCGTCATCACCCTTTCGAGACATCCTTGGGGCTTGATCTTCGAACTCAGACACAAGGGGACACTTGCATCAGATTGCTCTTTACAGCAGCCCAGCCCACTTGCTGCCAGGAGAGAAAAAGCCCCTACATAAATTGGCGACTCTGCTGGGGATTAAGCCACTATCTGCACCAATGCCTCCAAAGAAGAAGACCAGAAGCAATAAACCGGAGGAAATAAAGAGATAAGAGCATTCCCTCTTTCTTTTTCTTTTTCCTTTCGTTGGCTATCTACTTTGTAGAACAAACATAATATAGATTACTCACATGCTCCCTTTGCTTGTGTCTTAGATATCCATTCTCAAGCAAAACAATATCTTGTAAGAGGACTGGGGGCTTCAGCCAACGTGCAAGCCGCTGACCACCGTCGTCAATGGTTGAGGCTAGCTCTGCCGTTCACCTCTCCGCCATGATACATCATCAGAAAGTCTGGCCATCGCCGTAAATCACCTTCATAACAGCCCTCACCTCTCTAGAGTTGTGAAAACACGGTGAGAAAGGGAGAAGGAACACTTGCTCAATGCTCTCAGCCTCATCTCTGCAAATGGCTTCACCAAGATAAGATTTTTATTATCATGCCTTGTTGATCTCAATATAGCATATATATATTTGTTTGTTGTTTTAAGATATCCATAAAATTTATGTTTCATTGAACAAACTCAAGCATAGATAAAAGCATGTGCATTCAAGTCCAAAAAAAAAGATTGATTGATTAGTTGTTATTCATATGGTGCACCAGCTTGCATCATTTTCTTTATGTATTAAACCACCTTTCAATTTTGCATCTCTAGCAAAATTTCTCAGGGCCTTATTCCACGCACTATTCACTTATCTTACTTCTTATCATTTCGTATCGATCCACCTTTGTGTTAATCAATCCAAGTTACATATTGCAATGTAGATGCCAACTATACATGCTCAGTACTAAAATCATACTTGCTCAGCATGCTTATGTCAATTATGTTAGTCATTTGCAAGCTACCAGGCTTATATTATTTTTATGCTTTGATCATGCAGCATTATATCGGTCATGTGCATGGGACCCAAGCCTCCAAACAACAAGCAAGAAAACAAATGCTCTCATGTTTTCTACCCAACATCTCAACACACTGCCATTATCATCCATTCCTTAAGACAAATCTCTCTTTATACTTCCAGTCATAGAAGTTCAAGCACCACTGAAAGAGCCGCTGGAAGAGTGGAAGAAGAACAGAGCTAGTCAAAATCCAAACACCACTGCTGGAAGAGCCGCTGCCAGAAGCACATGCTACCACCGAATCATGCCAAACTGTCACCGTTGCAACAAAGGGATATCCCAAGTTCATCATGCCATGCAATGACCCAAACAAATACTAAGAAGGCCATGTTGCAAGAGTTTTTGTAGCCTATGCCCATCAAATCCTTTTCTGATGATTATGGTGCACTTGGGGGCTGAGGGAGGAATTCATTGCAATCACCACAGCAGCGATTCCAAAACCCCAAATGAGCTTAAAAATCCATTATTACCAAAACCACTATTCCCAGACCAAAAATCTCCTTGAAATCCCAATTATGTTACTATGACCTCCAAGTTCGCCATCACTTGTTGTTGTAACCCAACACATTTGCTGCAGTGACCACATACAAAGCTCAAGCTTCAATAGCCAAGTCCAAGCTTTTGGTTCCTAAAACATGTTCACAACAGCTGCAACAAACAATACCTAAGTTGCCATAACTGATATGCTCCAACGCCTCAAGCACTTTCTAAGCCTTGACCATTCCAATGACCAAGTTTAGGAGTCAAAACCAAAAGGCTATCGGGATGTCTCAATTGCCACAATTCCATAATCAAGCATCATCAAGCCCCGAGCCTTAGTCAAGAAATCCAAGCACTATGCTTTACTCAAGAAGGAAAACATCTCAATTCATGGCAAATGAAAGAAAAATATTGTGAAGGTAGTGCTATGATACTGCTGGAAGAACCTAAATGCTGTCAAGATGAAGTTTATTTTACCAAGCAATTAGAATTTTTGAAGCGATGTCAAGCTTTCAAGAAAAGGGGTGCTGGAAGCGTATTTTCCTATATTCATCCATTCTTCACCTGCAACATCCACCACCGCTTGCCATACTCTAAGGAAGATCTTACACGCCGAGATACATGACAAAACTCTAAGAGGCAAGCTATTGACAAGGACCCCTTGCCAAAACGAAGGGGAAAGTAGATGGCTACTGTCATTACGTGCTTTGATGACTTGCTCGACGATGACGTATTGTGCCACCTGTGGAAGAATGACCCAAAGCCACCGGAGGCTATGTGGGAACCTTATGGAAATATGAAGAAGGCCAACTAAGCAAATATTCAAAATCTGCAAGCTATAACACCCCATGGCTACTTGCTAATTGATGGGAGAATGGTTCCAGCAGCGAAGTATTCACATTGGACATGCTGGAAGAAAGCCACTCGGAGACTTCATTTGGTCATCAAGATTATCAAGAAGCAGCTGTTGTAACCTCTCATAACTTCACAGAGGTTGAAGAAAGTACAATGGGTCAGGAGCTGCAAATCACTCTTTGATTAGTTTGGTTATGAGCTGCAGGCAAGCAAAGCAGCAACTGTGGCTCTGTTAAATATCTCTACAGAGCATGGCATCCTAGTACAACACATGCCAAATACATGCCAACCTAAGCCACAAGCTTTCATGCTATTGCAAGTCATGCACAATCTTGGGCCCTTTCATACTTGGGGGCTTAATTTGATGGGGGTATTTATCAATGCAAAATGGCTCAAAGCCTTACTACTGAGTTGCTTTTGCACCTATCCTTTTGTTTTTGGCTTTTCAAATTTATTTCAAAGATGAACTCCTTTTGTGTTTTCACCATATGTTTTCACAACTTTGGTAGAATGCACCAGCATTATTGCATGCCAATGCATAAAACGATATTTGCAAGGAGAATGGAGTATTTTGGAAAAAGAAAAAAAAAGCCTCTAGAATTCTTCCTTGCTTTTACCTTATTCTGTTTTACAAAACATGTTCTTTGAAAAAAAAATAGACAAGCAAACTTCCCTTTTAAAAGCTAAGCCTTTTAGCAGTAACCATGCCAAGCAAAGACACTTGAATGGGGTCCCGAACCATCAACAAGCATCACGCTTAAGCAAAAATAGCATAAGGCACGAGAAACCAATCTATTCCAAAGAAGCACGCAATCTTGAGGTGCTGGAACAACATCTGGGAGTTTTATAAAACCTTGGTAAGAATCATGCACATGCTAGTCTGGCCCTTTTTAAGGAAGGCAAGAAGCTGCTTTTCAAACCCAGAGGCTAGATAAACCATGCAAAAGAAACTTTAGAAATTCCGCTCCTGTCAAAATTTTGGCAGCATATACCTTGTTTTTTAAGGATATCCAACCTGTCAGAAAATCTCAAACAGTTCACAAAGACGAGTTTTGCCAACCAAGCTGTATATATAAGATGTATGAATTACAACATGCCTCAAGCATTCAGAAATTAATGCAAGTTCCAGTGGTTCAGTAGTACATTACAAAGTCATAATGACATAGTCGTTAGATTATCTGAAAAGTACACAGCCATCGCAAAAACAAGGTTACACATGATGGAGATTAGTACATCCTATGGTATCAAGAAAGATGGAAGCTGTGCACCAAGCCAACTGACCCCAAGCCAAAGAAAACAACCTGCGAAATAAAAGGAGGCAGCACTGCCGGAAGGTGCAGGGCAGTGCCAGCAGCTATGTTGGATGTTCCAAGAAAAGGATGAGTATGAGGCAGCACTGCTAGGAGGAGCAGGGCATTGTCTACCCTTGCATCGGATGTCCCAAGAACATAGGGGCTATGGGAATCATGCCGCCATGCGCTATTGCTAAAGCCAAGGGGAACACCTGCGCATGCAGACAATCTTGGGAAAAGACACAGAGGAGGAATTTCCCGAACCATAATGATACAAACGCAGCAAGACGACACTGGCTCTTCGCCTACTGCAACATCTTCACAAGCATTCTTGAGCAATGGAGGGGCCTTCCCCTCTTCAATTTATCATCCGTTGAATAAAGGTGGCCACTAATAATTGACGACGGGTTAGTGGATGCCATGGCAGGTCTTGACAAGCGATGAATCCCTGCAAGAATTGCCAACAAAGAATACGCTGAAAAAACGGCAAAGCATAAAGCTAGTTCTCTGTGTTAAAGCCAAGCAATCTCCACACTAGCATGCAAGCCCTATGAACTTTACAAGCCAAGCAAAGCAAGTTATCTCATGCCAAGCGAAATGCATAAACAAAAAAAAATATTTTTGAAGCATCATGCAATCTATTACTCGAGCTCATGATGAGCAAATTTCCCATTCCATGCTCAATCAATCATTCCAGCAGACCCTTTTTCACAAAGCAAGTGTTACAAACTGAGCACTATTTACCTCATAGTAACCTTTTTCACAAAAACGAAATACCTACGAGTTACACATCCTTGCAGACCCATCATACACATGTTTATGTCTATCCCTATAAAGCCAAAAAAATAAACAGTTACCCATGACCAAATTCTAAGCTCATAAAGAAAAAAAAACCAATGGTGCTTTTCTCAAAGCTTTCAATAGCCTCTAATCCTATGCATTAATCATACGATTACAAGCATGCGCTCGTGATATAGTTCAACAACAAAAAAGCGGGTCAAGAACGCAGCACACGCAAAATATACGCCAAGCAGGGCAAGTCAAGCTCAGGCCAAAGGAAACACTTAAGCAAATACCCAAGCAGCATACAATTTATCCATGGCAAGCGAAATTTTCAAGCAATTCCCATAACAAGCAAATTCTTCCTCAAAATGCAAAAGGATTCAAGCATTGCAGAGCATGCACTCTATCAATTTCTATTTCCACAACATGGGAGAAAAGTCCAAATTTATTCAAGCATGCGAAAAACAAGCCTAGGCCAAGAGATCAGTCTATATCTATTCCTACAGAGTTAAAAAGAATGACCTGAGATTCCAGTGAACGAGCAAAGCCCATGGGCATGAAGAGCCCAACAAGCCCCTCGATAGATTCAAGAAATTGCAAAGAGGAAAGGGCATACCTTGTCAATCACCTCAAAGGACGACCTCAAATGCACCAAGAAAGAAGGGATGTTGGTGCTGGAAGAAGGGTAGTTGGTGCTGGGAGAAGGGTAGTTGGTGCTAAAAGAATATCGTATCTTCTATTTCACGTTACCATCTCCTTCAGCACCATTGTTGATCTCATTATTTATGCAACCAGCTGACCCATCATTGCAATTATCCCTATGTGTTTCTGCGCAGACTTTGGCACCATCATTATTTTCAGGCATACTTAAGAATTGGTCTTTCTGAAGATGGATACTTCGGCAACTAATACTTGCAAGAACTTCTTCTCATGGCTATACGACAACTCCTGAAAAATCACAAGCTTTATTCATGCAATTGCACTACAGCAAAATTTAAAGCTTTTCAGACAAAACATCTTGCGAAAGGCTTATGGGGGCTTAAGAGAATCCATCATAGCAAATAGCACATGCAAACTCCAAATGACTTGGGGGCTTCATGCCAAGCAAAAGAGAGAGACAAGAATCCTGAAGCTGTTGTAAATTTCAGTTTTCCTCTTGGAGGAAAGCAAACTGTTTGTTACTTATCTGGAGGAAAACAAGCTGTATGAATCTCTTCCAGCAACTCGCTTAGCCTCTTCCTTCTCATCTTCAGTCTACTTCTTCCAAAGATCTTCTTTGAAGCAAGTTGCAAAATTTACAAGCAGGCCTCTACTTTGTTTCTCGACCCTGAGTAAGCCAAAGAGAATATAACCCAACTCTGCAACCAATTGCTGACCTCAACAAGCTAACTTGAGGGCTTCATGCCAAGCAAATTCAAGGAAGTACACCATGCCATTCAAACAAGCAAACCCATCTACCTTTTTTGCCACACAGTATAAATCATCTCTTTGATTACAACAAGCCTAGATAATCTTGCATTATGGTGAGAAACAGTTTTCTATTTCCCCTTTTTGAAACAAGCCAAGTTACATTCTCCTAGCACCTACTCCATAAGCAAAGAATTTTTATCACCTACCCTATTTCAAACATCCTTCCAGTACATGCCTAATTTCAAACATTCTGCTAGTTTCAAATCTTCCAAAAGCCTTCATATCGCAAATCAAGGTGCAAGCAACCAAAACTCACCTTCATGCTACCAAATTCCTTGCAAATTAGTAAGAAGATGGCATTTCTCATGCTGTGGAATCTCTCAATCAAGCCTGAAAAATAAATAAGGGAGTACGTTGGTCAGATCAGGTGCTGGAAGGGAACTTGTAAACAGAAAGGGGGCACCGGAAGCATAATCGCTATTGAAACATATTTTTTTTAAAAGACAAGTGGCAAGGGACCAAAACTCACTTTCATGCTATCAAAATCCAAGAAAATTATATTTCTCATGCTTTGGAGTTTCTAAACAAAAGAATACTTTAGCCAAAATCAGAAGCCGGAAAGGTACTCATACACAAATGGAGGCGCCAGAAGCATAATTTTCTCATAATGCAAGCAAACTCATGTATCAAGCATTTAACAAAATTCACAAGGCTTGAAACCAATCCACATGCCAAGAAATTTCATTCCATTCAAGCATTCCAAGCAATTCGGGCATTTCAAGCAAATTGAAGAACTCATGCTCTTATGACAATACCTTTCAACATCATGCTGTCACAACAATATTGCTCAAGAACATGCTCTAGCAATACTCAGATCAGCACTCAATGCCAACAAAAAGGACATGCCAAATTCTCAACAAAAAGCAGCATGCCAAGCAAAACTTATACACAAGCTTTCCAACCATCCTAGCTAGAACATCCCACCTTTAGAAAATCACTATAAATCAAGCTTACAACCAACAAATCCCAGACTTTCCAGATTAGAACTAGACATATCAAGCTTCATTTTCCCAAAATTTCGTTGCATTTCAAGCTAGGGAAGCATGTCAAACAGATTTCCAAGACAGCCCACACAGCAGAAACTGTACAGCTCCAGCACCTTAACCCTTACTTTGAAATTCCACCGAAAATTCATTTTTTCTTCAAGTGATGCAAGACCAATTCCAACATAACCATTGAGAAGTCCATTTTTATGTCTCAAAAGCTCCAACTCAGATTCGAAAAGAAACATTTCAAAAGTTCAAAAAGCAGCCAGCAAGCTACTTTGAGATATTTTGACAAGCACTTGGCATGCATACCCAAGTGAGCTTGTATAACTCTTGTTTATCACCAAGATAGAATCCTAAATCAAAAGCTCAACCTTAGAATTCGATTTCTAGTTCACAAATTCTGGGAAATACAGAGGAACTCAAGCATAGAAGACAAGCATGCAACAAAGGCATCAACATCAACTCATGAACATGCTTTAGAAAAATGGAGGTAGAGAGCACTAGAATGGGTGGATGATCCTCAATTTTGGATATGTTATAGACAACATAATTTCAAGCAAATTTTGTGAAGCAAGCGCAATCATACGAGTATCATAAGTTAAAGACACATGCAGAAGAAAAATCTGCAAAAACTCACCAGCCATGGATGAATTCAGAAGTTGCAAACCAGCTTTGAGGTTTGGGTCTTGAAGAAGAAAGAAGAGAACGATTCCCAACAGCTATAAATAGGACCCCTTCTACCCAACACAACACAACCCACAACCTTCAGAGAGCAAGCTTTCTCTCTCACATGCAAACCCAGGAATTTTCGTGCTATCCTTCCTCATTTTCCTTTATTTCCCCTGTTTTGGCAGATTGATAGAAGCTTTGACAGAGTCACTGTCAAGCTGCCGGAAACTGCGAAAGTCACCCAAAACTCTTCACCATCCTTCTCCCTCTTCATCAAAGCTCCTTAGAGCCTCTCTCCCTTTCCATTAGAACCTCTGTACCTCATAGGAACCCACAGATCTCTCTCTCCTAAAGTGCTAAACTCATGATAATTTTTGCTCCCATGCCATAAGTCACTCATGCCAAGCTAGAATATTTATTTGTAATTTGTTGTCATTTTCATTGGTGAAGGTAACCAAGGAGTTTCCTAAGGCGTCATCACCCTTTCGAGACATCCTTGGGGCTTGATCTTCGAACTCAGACACAAGGGGACACTTGCATCAGATTGCTCTTTACAGCAGCCCAGCCCACTTGCTGCCAGGAGAGAAAAAGCCCCTACAGGGGTTAACAACATATAGGACTTCTGTTATATTCTTATGGGCATAGGGGTTCCATAAATTTATAAAAGGGATCCTTACACCTGTAATAGCGTAATTTACAAAGGAAATGAGCCCCAATATAATGTTAAGGTAAGAATTAACCTTAGAGGAATAAATTGAGTCATTATCCTTTGTAAACATGGTGGTGGTTACAACGTTAAGGATTCGTATTATACTGAAATGGACATACTCATTCCATTACATTGTAAAAACCATCCTTAATCTCGTAATACCATAATTTATAATAACAAGGAACTCTTATATAAGAATAGGGTATGTCTGGACCTTAGTGGAATAAAATTGGCCCTTACCATTGTAAACACAGAGAGTTTACAACATATAGGACTCCCATTATATTCTTATGAACATAGGGGTTCCATAAATTTATTAAAGGATCCTTACACCTGCAATAGCGTAATTTACAAAGGAAATTACCCCTAATACAATGTTAAGGTAAGAATGAACCGTAGAGGATTAAATTGAGTCATTATCCTTGTAAACAAGGACAATGGTCACAACATTAAGGATTCATATTATACTAAAATGGACATACTCGTTCCATTACATTGTAAAAGTCATCCTTAATCTCGTAACACCATAATTTACAACAACAAGGAACCCTTGTATAAGAATAGGGTAAGCGTGGACCTTGGTGGAGTAAAATTGGTCCTTACCTTGTAAACACAGAGGTTTTACAACATATATGACTTCCGTTATATTCTTATGGACACAGGGGTTCCATAAATTTATAAAAGAGATCATTACACCTATAATAGCGTAATTTACAAAGGAAATGACCCCCAATACAATATTAAGGTAAAAATGAACCTTGAAGGAGTAAATTCGGTCATTCTCCTTGGAGGAGTAAATTGGGTCCTTGTCCTTGTAAGAACAAATATTTACAACAGTAAGGACCAACATTACACTATTATGGACATAGGCATTCCAAAAATTTGTAAACGATGTCCTTACATTTATAAATTACTATACTTAGGTTTTACATAATGAGATTCAGTCATTTTCATGTTAATATTTAAATATAGAGTAAAATAATATTTTCCTTAGGTTTTGTGTGCTTAGAATGGTGAGGTGCACTAAAATCCATTATTTTTACTTGTCATATACGTTGGTCTTGTACGTGCTATCAAATATCAACACATCCCCAAAGCAACAAGAATTGTGTAGAGATTTAGAGTCTCTCCAAAACAAATTGCCAATCATTCTCCTCATCTACACTAAGCATGCAAAAAAATTCCGGCTTCGTATTGCCTTAGCATTCATGTAACTTATTGCTGCTTGTGCATCACCATCCAATACCACTTGTCGACGCTCCAATTCCATCCTATTATATAAATCCTTACTGGTGAACCCCACTTTCATGTATCCACCTGCTTGGTTAACCATATAGTCGTATGTTTGACTGGTTTTAATAGAGGCTTTTCTCATAGAAATAGATTGTGCTATGTCGGATTCCGTAACACATCGGTGGGAATGAAGAAAAGGCACCTCACGTGAGTTAGCAAGTCTGTGGCTATGTTCCTTTACAAATTTATTCACAATATAAGCATCCCGTTTAGGATAATACTTCATAGCAAATGCAACGTGACAATTCTCTCTAGTCTCTTTCCTTGGTGTACGAACCATATCCTCTCTATTCGTCCATTTCTTTGATCTACTCCCTTATTTTGAGCACACCCATTGTCTTCCCATCACAACCCCACCCTCGCTACGTCTCAAACGACTTCTTCTTATGCTAAAACCAATTGCAAGAGCATAATTCTAGTAAAATCTTTCTGCTTCCTCAAAATTTTCAAACTCCCTCCCCTCTAAATCAGCAATGCTCATATTTTGGAAGTTTAACCCATCATACTCAAAGTGTCTGCTAATCTCAATAATTTCTTTTGTTCTGCCGTCCAAAAACTGTGAAGTGGACATTTTCAATTTCTTCAAGTGACTCAGCCTCCGCAAAATAACCTACACTGTTAGGTACGGAGTTTTGGCCCTGAATTCCATTCTTTTTTCTTGCTTTTGCATCCATTTCCTGAAAATAGGCAACATGTCTTTCATGGTATAATTAATATGAAAATAAATGGATACACATCAATTGCATTTAGTAGAAGTATAAACATACAATTAAATTATGAAGGATTAGTCATTAATGAGAGATTCTACATTTCATAATTGCGCACATATAATGGCAATTGTGTGACAAGAATGCAAAGAGACTGATCAGTTTGTCAATTGCAAGACTATAATGCAATTAGAAGTAACTGTTTGTCAATTGCATTGACAAATCACATATGTTCTCAAAATTGAAGAGGCTACCAATAACATGGCAATATGGATACATTAATTGTAAAATCGGACTAACCAATTCGTAATTGGATTCAAAATGACATATTGAAGTACCTCTTGCATTTCCATTACCAAAATGCAAGGCTACAAATATCATGGCATTTGCATTACAAGTAATTGTAATAACATACTAATCAATTGGAAATTGCATTCTGAAAATAAAAAGGCTTCCCAATTGCATGCCAAGTATGTACACAAATTGCAAAAACCCCCTTACGATTTGGTAATTGCATGAGTCAAAGATGAACTCAATGTAAGATATCATCATATCATTACAATTAAGAAATTCTACCTAATGTTTTCAAACGAGTCACAAACTTTTCAACATCAACAATATGCCCAACATGAAATAAGAGAAAGATATTGACATTAATCATATTGTGTTTCTTGTTTGTGAAAAAACTCAAATTACAACGGTTTTATTTTCAGCAAAAAAAAAACCCATTAACCCCAAAAATAGAATGGAATGTTTTGTACTCACAATGACTTTGACGACAGAGCAGTCGTTGGCTTCAACAAGTTTTTTTGTTGTTGTAAAAATGGGGGCTAAGCCCAGGAAGCAACTAAGCAGAAATTAATGCAAACCTCAAGATGCCAATGTGATCAACTGATAAGTCCATAAATATACTCATTTATGTACTCTTTTTACTTAGGTTTTGTAGGAGAATTAGATTTAAAAGGGGCTTATTACTTTACTTTTCTGATTTTCAGCTTTTCTGCGCTCTTAGAAGGTTTTTAAGGGAAAATGAACTTTTCAGAGGAATTTTAGTGCAAGGCCAATTGGAGATGAAAGCTAACATCTTGAAGTTCAATCTGTGATTTTTTTAGAATTTTCTACCAAGCCAATTGGTACAGTATTACAAGTAAAGTTAGCCCACGTGCAAACAGGACAGTTTTGTACATGTTATGTGAATGTGAAGAAACGGAAGCCTTCCCGAATTTTTCAAGTTACGTGATATATATGGTTGGAAAGATAAGACATTTATCTTTCTGAAATATATTTTTAATGACTTTTCTACAAGGGCGAAGATCCCCAAATCGTGTGACAATTGGGCTGAGCTGTATTTCCCTATGGAGTTAGGAATTGTGATTTTTACTTTCCTATTTGGATTCCTTGTTTACCAAGACTTCTTGGACGACTTTTCAGTCAATCTTAGGGTTTAGAAATCTGATATAAGTGATATAAAAGGCCAGCCAAGGCCCCGATACAAAGGATTCACGTCCTAAGGAGATCAACTACACAAGAGGAGAAATCTGCCAACGAGTTCTTCTTTTCCTTTCTTCTTTTAATTTTCAGTTCTTATGTATTTATTTTTGAGTTCATCCAGGAACATAAGTAACTAATTTCTTGTTAGTTAGGGCTTAATCTTGAAGCCCTAAACATGATTTCAATTCTATAAACAAGTTTGAATGGATTTTCAGTTTCTACAAGCGTGATGATTTCGGTTTCTCTATGTTATGTGAATTCTAATATTTTGTTTCTTTGAGTAGCTAACTTTGAAGCATGTATTGGAATTAAATTGTTGTAGAACACATGTCAATTTCCATATTGAATGTGTTCTTGTTTGCAACGAATAATTGGGTTAAGAACTAGTTATGAGAAATCAATTCTTGAATTCCTAATAACAAATGCCATGTTTTAGGGTTTTTGTGACACTCATATTCTCTTTGATCTTAATGGATTCTTGATTTTTAATTTGAGTAAATGTCATACTAGATTTCAATTAAGAATACACGTATTGATGTAAATTTCATACACTTTACATACGCTTAAGAGAGAATCATACAACTCGAGTCAAATGCCATGATCTTGTTGTGAGTGTCGTCGTCATATGCTTGCTAGAAATTGATTATCTATTGTTGTTTATGGATTGATTGATTGTTTGGAGGTGGATAGTGAGTCCTAGCTATTGTTCTTGATTGATTTTAAACCAATTTCTCTTAAACTCTAATTTAAATTATGTTTTGTTTTGTTTTCCTTATTTTGTTTTATTCACAAAATCAAATCAAAACCCCCCTTGGTGTTGGTGTGTGTGTGGAAGTCCTTGTGGTTTCAATCTTTATTTTATTTTCGTGTTTAATTGTGTTTTAGTTTTCATTGATAAACATCTCTTTATATCACAATCTCTGTGGGATTGACCCTTGCTTGCTTACTATACTATCATTTGATTTGTGCACTTGCAAGGTTTTAATATTGTTGTTAAAAATTACCAACATCAACCTCAAGAACAGAAAATATTCCCTTAGTACGCATCTCTTCTGAATTGTAGGGGAAGAAAGGGAGAGATGATCGAGAGAGTTGCCTCAGCAGTTCTAGATCTTCTTTGCCCTTCTTTGTATCGTTCTATTTTCCTTTGTTGTTTTATTTGTTCTTATTCTTTTTTAATTTTTCTTTTGTTCTCTTTTACCTACAGCAACCATTTTAACCGGTTACCACCATTCAACGGTGTGGCTTTAACCCACATCCCCACTTACGCATCCCATGGTTCACAATAGGGGTGCATGGATACACCACACCACTGTAGAATTTTCGTGGGTAGAGAAGTCGGTTTAGTTGGTATAGAGAGAACTCTTTAAATTTTTTCTTTTTAATCAAATTGGATATGGTTTTAGTTTAGTCATGATGCTTTAGCAAGGCCCACTGGGACCTTCAAGACGTGGCCATGAGCATTGAGGTGGTTAGGTGCAAAATCAAAGCGAGACTTGCACCATGATTTGGAACAATTTAGAGTCTTGATGTGGCATTTAAAAAATAATCAGGTATAGAGCATTTACTCTTCAACCGAGCTTTTATTAGTAAAAATAAGTATGATACCCAAAGCTAACCACTTTGTATTGTAGGTTAATTGGAACCCATGGGGGACTGATGAATCTGAGATGCCGGACGAAGTAGAAAATATCATGCCTGCAAGGTGTAAACGAATTCCACTAGAGGGACAAGCTGGTTTTGAATGGTATTTGGGAGAGCAAGTGGCTATGCAAAGCTTAGGCAACAAAGAACCTCGAGTACCCAAAACTCCACTGGGGACAATGCTTTCGGATTATACACTCACTAAAGAGTCAGAGGTCAAGGATGCACTTAATGAGTATCCAGCTTCAGAATGGCTTGCAAAGTCATCCGACTATGCAAAGTACAGAGATGAGTACGTAAGGTACCGGCACTGTGAGGACTTTCGTGAAGCGGTAAGTTCTATACTGAACATGTGTTATGTACTTAAAACTCCTGCATTAAATTGATTTTTTTATAAATATCTTAAACCTAATATGTTACCTTGTTTCCACAAAAAGACAACCGAGAAATCTAGAAGGTGCGATTATAAGGGTTGGAAACATCGCTCCTCATGCATGGTCAGTGTGAATAACAAGCTGGGGCACTGATAATCAAAGTAAACTAGTACGGATACCCCGTGGACAAGATAGTACTGATCTACCATTAACTGATGGTGTAACGCATGTAAGTAGTTTCCATTGCATCATTTATTCCAAAATCATGGCTTTCAGTGTTAATTGTTGTAATTACATGTGCCTCAATGTAGATAACTGCTAAAACTGCAAGGCGGTCAACTGTGATAGATTAGTATAATAGCTTGGCCTAAGCATCTTGTGGCATGAGAGCTAAGCCTCCATGAGTTTAGCAATGGAGAGAGAAAGATTGAATTTCTTATGGGAAACAGAGGTTCAGAGCAAGAGGAGAGGGAAATTTAGGGAGATTTTGATGAGGGAAGAGAGGGAGATATGGAGATAAGGGATAAGTGGCTTAAGTAGATCTTCTAGCAGCTTGACAAATGCTTGGTCGCGCCTTTTGGATGGTTGTTTTGCTGGGTAGGAGGTGCCTTCTTTTATAGGCGCTGGAACCCCCAATTTTATCAAGTCTTCTCCTCCATTTTTCTTCACTTTCTTCCATTCAATCCTCTTTGGTGAAACATCCCCAACCCAAGCAGCTGGACTCCTTCATCTAGGTTGGGCGCCTCTTACTTTACCTTCTTGTTTTCCCACCAGAATTTGCAAAGGAAATAATGGGTAAGGGTACTGGTCGAACAGGTGATTTACTTCCATCAGCACATGGTTTTCTTGGTTTTTACGATGGTTTCGCTTTGATTTGGTTTTAACAATCGACACCTCAAGGAAGAAATATATTTTCTGAATCCCGGTTGTTAAAGATTCACCGTGAAATGAATAATATCAAGATAAACCTTAAAGGATGAAATGAGGCTCCCCATATTTTGTTATATTATATGATCTAGGTCGACAGCCCATAGAACCCAATATATGAGAAATCCCAAACCTGAAGTTTTGGGTATATAGTAGTTAATGCTCTTCACTACTATATTACAATATTATGAATTTTCCTCAATTTATATTTCATGCAAATTTGAAAAAGACAATTAAATTATGAGGTAGTGTTTAACGCGGGCCAAAAGTTCCAGACTTACATGCATTGAAATATGTATAATTTGAGAGATTTAAAGTTGTCATTTGAACCTATAAGGAACAAGGTTCTAAACGATCATCTTGAAAAGATGTGCAAACCACAGGTGCAAGTTTAAGAATTTGTCCAATCATTATAACAGGAAAAGAGCATACAACAGATAGATTCTTTTTACCTGCAAAGAATGAGCAAGCTCTGTAAAATCTATAAAATTCCATTATGATTTGGAAGTCTCTAAAGAAAGAGAACAATGCCTCTTAAGCTTAGCCATGAGCCTCTCTTAGTCTTCCAGAATCTTTTCATTGGAAATTTGCAGCTTGTCAAGCTTTGTGTGCTTATCTATGGAGTATGAACTCACCAGTTTCAACAAAGCCTTATTTTCCTTTTTAAGGTTTTCAACCTCTTGATGAGAATCATGAAGCATTCTCCTAAGAGATGAATTTTCAGTGTTCAGCTTCTGAATCTCGTTTGCTTCCATGTTAGAAATAGAAACAACACTTTGAATGCTAAAAGCCATTGAGTATTAATAGCCTCTTCATCAGACCTTCCTGTTAATAATATTTCATCCACAGGAGTAAGGAAATTCCTAGCTAATTTGATAGCAATTGTATCATTCAGCATCACAAAATCATTAAACATGCAAAGGATGGGCATCAGACTTAGAAGTCACAAGTTGTTTTGGGAGCAACATTTCAATTGAAACGTTTTGGGAGAGAAGAAGAGGAAGCCATTTTAAAAGTTTCAAGGAAAGTTTTAGAAAAGCTGAACTTTAGAAAATTGAAGGAATTTGAGTTGAAACACAATTACTCCAATTAGGTCTTACGAAGGCCATATCTATAGGTGGAAATGTGGCACATTTCTAGGATCCCAATATATTACCGGATCCCAATATTTCCTTTTTCTTTTCTAGATTTCAAAACTTTACATAGCTTTCATTAATGTATGTCGGCACTTTAACGGTTTCAAGGACTATTTTTGTCAAACTGATCTTGCTTTTACAAATTTCATGGAGTCACTTTTTCAAAAGTATCTCGAGAACCTCAAAAGTTTCTATAGTTAATTTGAAATTTATCATTTCACACTATTCCCTTTCTTGTGTATAAATAACAAACTTCATTGCATATCACATCTTATCCAAATGATACAATATCTACTTGTTTTCCCTATTAATGAGCCCTTGATGTAGTTGAGAGGCGAGACTATCTCTGATCATTTCTTTAGGAAGCTAGACTATCCTTGATCACGCCTCATGTGATCTCAAAGAACTATAGGGCAGTCAAGAACGAGCACATCACTCTAATCTCCTGAAGTTCTCTTAAGCTAGGATAAATGAGAGTACCTTGCAATCAATATCACAATTCTTTGTGTCTTTCCTTTCTTTTTATAACTCTCTGTTCCTAGGGGATTTTGTTTCTTTAGAACCTTCATTTGAAGAACAAATCCATGTTTGAACTTACACGGGGGGGGTTTTTTTTTTTTTTTTTTTTTTTTTTTTTTTTTTTTTTTTATACAGAAAGAAAAATTATTTTTACTCTTGCAGGATATAACTAGATCATCAAGCGTTTCATTATATTTGTTGAGTCGATACGAGCTTGAATGATATTTAAGCAAAGTTTCTCTCAACTAAGGATGTAAGCAATACTTGTGCTATTTCTTAATTGTACTCTTATTAGTATTTTGATATTTTGTACAACATCTTCAGTGGTAACCAAATGGGGAGATAAGAATGTTCCAGAGGAACGACTTGTATCATGACCATTCTAGAAGAATGGCTTGTATCATCCTAATATGTTTTTCATGAATACACTATGCCAAAAAAGGCCTTTAGCAATGGATAAAATCCGTTGCCTATTAACCATAAATACCGTGGTATTCAAGCCTGTTGCCTATTACTATGTAATAGGCAACGGATATTATCCGTGGCCTTTTTGTAGTTACAACATTGGATATTTGGTAAAATTCAATGCGTAAATGATTTCCGTGTGCCAAAAAAACGTTGACCTCTAATGCCTAAACCTGAAACAGCATAGTAGTTTCAAAAGGGAGGAGGCTAAAGAGGTATTACAGCATCAATGGTATCTGCTACACTGATGCGTATTATTGATTACAACATCACATAAACAAATAATGTTGTTGCAAATTATGTTATATGTCATCGCTTTTTTCTATTTTGCAGACATGAAAAGCCTCCAATAGTGTTGGTTGTCACATAAGTGCTGATGCTACTTCTAGTTTTAGGCATCAGTGATCATAGATGTCTGGTTATTGCTTTTATCTTTCAACTCTAGTTATTTCTGGAAAACTGAAGTTGTTATAAACAATAGGCATCACTTATGTAAGCAAAGTGTAGGTATTTTGGGTGTTTCACATCACACTTTACTTGGTTACTGTCTTAGTATATCAAAAAGGCATCATTTCCAAATCATGTTGTGTTGCCATTACTCATAAAAAAAATATTATATAAACAATAATTTAAATAAATACAAATTTATAAATAAACCCAATCCTAGACATGTATTTATAAAAAAACCCAAACACTATTTAAACATAGAAACACACCCAAAATCAACCCCAAAGTCAACAATTGTATATTTTTTGGGTGTGTTTATAAATGGGTTTTGAGTGTGTGTAATGATGGGTTTTGAGTGTGTGTTTATAAATTATCCATACTTGTCTATATATATAAGCAAAATACTTGAATGATCCATACTTGTCACATCCAAATCACAATTTTTCCAGCCCTTCACCACAAATTATCCATACTTGTCTATATATAAGCAAAATATTAGCTAGAAAGACATGTAAAATGAAGGAATGTTTAGCTCAATCAAAAAGCCATTCTAGGATATGAGTTGCCAATTCTTCTTGCACCTCATCCAATTCCATTTGGGTGTACGTGCCCTTTCGTCTAGCTCTATTTGGGTGGACATGAGTCTCCAATAAGGAAACCAATTTCAGTTTACCAAAGAAAGAACAATGCTCAATAAATTGAAAGAGAACCTTAAATTGCAACTTCCAACAAACTACCCAAACTGATAAATGATCTATCTTAGATAAAAGAACAATCAAAACATAAACGGACAAATTATGCTTATAAAATAGCAATATACAAGCTGGATTATTATTCTACCAACCTTGCACCGGCAGAGGCTATATATAATCATGTATGCAATTGCTTTTGTATTCAAACTGAGGAGCTAAAATGCAAAAGTCAAAGAAGGACTAATTTGAAGCTTTAGAAAAAGAGAAGGGGGAAAAAAGATTATATTGAAGCTTACCACATATATATGCAATCAGTGAAGTTGTTTTTGTGTAGAACCATATTATTATTATTTTGAGAAGATATAGGAAAGATATGATGCAAGAAGAGGCTTGTAGATAGATGCCCAACATTTTATACAATTATCAAGAAAGATATGATGCAATAAGATAACTAAATGTTGGTTCAAATTCAGATTGAAGATAATTTCCTACATATGACAAACTTATCATGAAGAAATAGTGGACGTTTTGAGCAGTTGACATCATGCAAACCACCTTTGTCTACCTGCAATCTGCCATAATTACATTAAATCATAATGTACAGATAAATTTCAGGGACAATGCATCTACATACTAGATGGTTCTTCACAAAATTCATCCAAACCTGCTAGGTTTCTGTACTTAACCTTAGAACATAGCCTCACTTAAGTTCAAGGAAACACACTACACATAAATCAGATTGATAATGAAGCTGTGTTTCCCTTTTTGTGTCATCTTCAAATTGCAAGATGTTTTTTTCATAAGAAACCAGACCTGTAACCAAATAAAGAAGGACTTAACCAACCACTTGTTGATCTTCAGCGTATAACTCATCATAAATCAACATGAACCAAAGATCACATCTAAAACTAAAAACTAAACAGCAATCAATATGAAACATATACAGAATTGAAATTCTCATTTATTGCAAACCAAACTACATGGTCCAGTCCCATCGCCTAAGCACAAGATTATCTAGAGATGGCATGTGTCAATGTATCAAAAGCTGGTCACTGTGATAAATTTTCATTGACAACACCTAAGCACACAATCATCAGTATATCCATCAGCTCACCGCTCTATATAACACCAACATACAGCAACATCATATAACTCCAAATACTAGGACAATGAGAAGAATAAATTGACCACCAAAACATTTACATAGTCAATGGAATTTCCCATGGCATTATAACTTAGCCAGTCTCTCCGTCACCTTAGTATGTACAATGTAAACAGCGAACATACTTGTGCTTAGTTCAAATCAATGACCTCACTAGTCTGCATTGAACTCTGACATTTTCCATCACTAAACAAAGGGTCGAGAATGATCAATCTAAACATCATGACATTATCACCATCAAGGCGACCTTTTTTTTCCATCTCAAATATGGCCTCCACTCCTCAGGTGGATGGACCCAGTTCTTAATGTAAATTCCAATTCAATACTACCTGAGCAAGTTAGCGAATTAATTATGATTTTTGGAAGTCAAAACATTGTAAAATAGTAATAATTAGAAGAGCATGACACATGGCAGTGTGTGATGCCTGGGTCCTCAGCTTTTCCAACAGGTGTCAGTATCTCATAGCGCCACGTGTCATTAATGTTTCATTTTTGTGAGTTTATCTTAAAAAATTTACGAAAAATCATAAATAAAAAAAACAGAAAAATACACCGAAAATTTCTACATATTCCTTGCAACATTATCTTCGACTATGATACTCAAAACTCAAAATTTGACTTTGAAAATTTTGAAGTAATAATTGGAGGAAGAGTTGTACTCATGAAGACTAATGATCTTCAACTTATTGTTATTGTTAGTATGGAAGCAAACTTGATTTTGTGAAATTATTTGAATTTTTCTCTTAGTCAAAATTATATTTTAAATCTCAAAAGATGTTGGAAATGTTGCAAGGAGTTCGGGGTATTTTTTGGGTGAATTTTTCAAATTTATTATGATTTTTGGAAGTCAAAATATTGGAAAATAGTAATAAATAGAAGAAAATGACACATGGCAGTCCCTGATGGGTGAGTCGTCAGCTTTTCCAAAGGGTGTCAGTATCTCATATCGCCATGTGTCATTAATGTTCCATTTTTGTAAGTTTATCTTAAAAAATTCACGAAAAATCATTAAAAAATTATAAAAAGACACCGAAAATTTCTACATATTCCTTGCAACATTATCTTCGACTATGATACTCAAAAATCGAAATTTGACTTTGAAAATTTTGAAGTAATTATTGGAGGAAGAGTTGTACTCATGAACAGGGGTGGATCCACAAATGAGCAAAGGTGGTCAATTGACCCCTACAACCTCTGAAATCCTCCATTAGAGCAGCCGAAGTTGACCCTCGTAAAGTGTTCGACGAAATGCCCCAAATGGGCAAACCTGTGTTTGTATGCAGATGGAGGAGAAGAAGTGCAGCGCAGCGCCCGCCTTGTTTTGTTTTCTTCGCTCGACGTCAAAACGACATCGTTCCACTAAAGTTTTTTATTTTTTATTTTATTAAACTTATACAAAAACGTGCACACCTTCTTTTTTTCTTTTTTTTTGTTCGCTCAACATCAAAACGACGTCATTCCACTAAAGGCTTTTTTTTTTAAACCTGGCCAAAACGACGTGCACAGGTTAAAAAAAAACAAAAACAAAAACAAAATAGCGCAACAACCTGCTCTATTCTGTTTTGCCCGATAATTCCCCCCTCCCCAAATGTTAAAACTCATTTCTTCTCACCTCTAAACCTCTCAACCTTCACTTCCTTCCCCCACATTTCCGGCAGCGATGCAAGCAAAGTGGTGGCGGCGACAGCAAAGTGGCTCAACAACAAATTACATAAGTGATTTCAATTTTCAAAGGGGGATTTGTCCCTCAAATTTGAAAGTATGTTATTCTAATTTCTTTATGCTTTAATTAATTAGTAAATATTTTTATATGTTTGTGTTTTTCTTGATTAGTTGTTATTGTTTGTTGTTGAGATTTTATTTTGGTTTGTTAGTTTGAATAAATTATGGATTTTGGTTTTAGTTGGTTAGTTTGAATAAATTTGTCACGCCCCGGACCCGGGGGTCAGTGGAAACCCCACGCTCGGTGCGTGATAAAAAAAATATAAAATAAAATAAAATAAAAGAAGATGAAGCATGGTTTTAAAATAAACTTTTCTTATAAAAATAGCTCCAAAATCTTACAACTTTACAATAAATAAATAAAGCTCTACTACTCTCATCTAATTCAGCCTCAACCATAGCTCCCAAAATCTTACAACTTTACAATAAATAAACAAAGCTCTACTACTCTCATCTAATTTAGCCTCAACTTGTTCAGTCCTCGTCTTGCCCACTAATTCATCTGAAAAATTAAACAAGTTGGGGGATGAGCAACGACCTCTCAGTATGGACATGAGACCTTACCACAGTAGATTGATATAACTAAATTAAGTGACATGCATTCATACATCCAAAATATCACATTAATAATAATGCATGAATGCTCTTCATCTAATCTCGTTAATTCATATAACTAGACAAGCAGACATGCACGTCCCATACCATGCTTATACCACTTGGTCACAAATGCCCATTTATATGAACTAACACCCAATTCAACTATCCCATATTTCCCCTTTTGTTAGTCATCCTGTCTAACTCCCTTTCGCCAGTCCCAAATCACCCAATAAAAACCATGTGCACTGTGGGATCCCTGAGACCTGGTACCTACCAAAAGTTAGACTCAACTACACAAAAGATCCTTCCCATTACCCTCTTTTCCATCATTATTTTCTCAATCCAACAACTCCAACGATGATATAATTATGCCTTCTATGTATCTCACAACAATGTAACATTTAAACATCACCCATGTACATATAATCATATCACGCATAATATAGTGCTCACGAAATTTAATTAGATCAATCCCTACCTCGATTCCAAAGCATTTCTCCAAGTTAAGAAAATACAAGCTAAGTCCTATATCTCTTCCAAGCATTTCAACATCATCACCTCTCTCTCTCTCTCTCTCTCTCTCTCTCTCTCTCTCTCTCTCTCCTCTCTCTCTCTCTCTCTCTCATGTTTTGAAACTGTAAGGTTATGTTCCTATTTATAGTAGTTATATAAATAGGATAAACTTCAATATTAAAATGATAAGAACATCCAAGTTTATCCAAAAGATAAATATCCTAACAAGATAAGATCATCCAAGTTTATCTAAAAGATAAATATCTTTAAAAGATCATATCGTCCAAGTTTATCCAAAAGATAAATATCATCTTTTATCTACTTAAAATACGGGTCTTCACAAAATTAGGGTTTTATTTTTATGTTAGATTATATCTTGGCTTGTTTAAATAAATTAGGGGTTTTGGTTTTGGTTAGTTAGGTTGAATAAATTAGGGTTTTACTTTTATGTTAGATTATATCTCATGGTTAGTTTGAATAAATTAGGGATTTTGGTTTTGGTTAGTTAGTTTGAATAAATTAGTGTTTATGTTAAATTATATTTTGGTAAATTTGATTAGTTGTTGAGATTTTATTTTGGTTAGTTTGCATAAGTTAGTAATTAATTAATTTTTTTTTAATAATGTTGATGCTTGAATGATTATTTCTACCAATTCAGTTATGGAACGCTACTTTAAGAGAAGGTTCGCATCAACTACTTCTAGTTCGGATAATGTGGGTAGTTCGAGTTCGAGAGATGTGGGTATTTCGAGAGACGTGGATAGTTCGAAAGAAAGTGAGTTGCAAGATATCTTGGCTAATCTTATTGTAGACCCTGGACTTCGACCTCAAATGTTGGATTATGATCCTAACATTCGAGATGAAGTTCGAAGGGCATATCTACAAAATGGTCCATGTCAACCTAAGGATCACACATTTCCACAAACTGATCTTTCAGGGTATGATCGATGCTTTAATGTCAAGTGGTTTGATGAGTTTGACTGGTTGGAGTACAGTATTAGTAAAGATACTGCTTTTTGCCTTTATTGTTCTCTCTTCAAATCCAATTTTAGAATTGGTCAAGGGTGTAGTGACGCCTTCACTGAGATGGGTTTTAAGAATTGGAAGAAAGATAATATTAGGCAACATGTTGGAGCTGTTGGAAGTGTTCATAATCAATCTAGACAATATTGTGTGGATCTTATGAATCAAAAGCAACACATCCGAACAGTTTTGATAAAGCAATCAGAGCAAGCTTGTATTGATTATCGTATTTTCTTGACAGCTTCTCTTGATTAATATTGCGTGAGATTTTTGTTGAGGCAAGGTCTTCCTTTTCATGGGTATGATAAGAGTGACACTACAAGCAACAAGGGGAATTATTTGGAGCTCTTCCAATTTCTTGCTGATCATGATGAGAAAGTGAAAGCCGTTGTGTTAGAAAATGCTTCCGGGAATCTTAAGTTAATAGCTCCAACAGTTCAAAAAGATCTTGTGAATGCTTGTGCCACTGAAACTATTAAGAAAATCATTAAGGATATGGATGGTGCATTCTTCTCTTTATTAGTTGATGAATCACGTGATGTGTCAATAAAAGAACAAATGGTGGTGATGTTTCGTTATGTAGACAAAAATGGGGATGTAATTGAGAGGTTTGTGGGCATTTAACATGTTAGCGACACTACATCAAACTCACTCAAGGAGGCTATTGACACATTGTTTTCAAGAGAGGAATTGAGCATTTCCATGCTAAGAGGACAATGATGTGATTGAGCTAGTAATATGAAGGGTGAGTTCAATGGTCTTAAAACACAGATTTTGAGAGAAAATCTTTGTGCCTATTATATTCATTGTTTTGCACATCAACTTCAATTAACTCTTGTGGCTGTGGCAAAGGGAAATGCTGATATTGCCACTTTCTTCACATCTTGCAATAGCTTGGTTAATATTGTTGGAGCATTGCGTAAGCGTTGTGACATGCTTAGAGATCAACTCCAAAAGGATATTACAGAAGCTCTTGAAAAATATACTTTTCCAACACGGCAATGCTTAAATCAAGAAATTTGTCTCAAGCATCCTAGTGATACAGATTGGAACTCACATTATGGTACATTACTTAGTATCATCTCCATGTTTAACCTGTGGTGAAAGTGCTTAAGTTGATTATTGAGGATTGCTCGACTGATGATCTAGGTGAAGCAAATAGGTCATTGAGAGAAATACAATATTTTGAGTTTGTATTTCAATTATTTTTCATGAGATCTATATTGGGAGCCACAAATGACTTGTCACAAGCATTACAAAGGAAAGATTAAGACATTGGGAATGCAATGACTAGTCAAAGTTTGCAAGGACCAACTACAACACATGAGAGAGAGTGCATTTGAAGCCTTGCTTGATCAAGTATCTTCCTTTTGTGTCAAACATGATATCTTGGTTCCAAACATGGATGATGCATATGTAGCTCAATGGAGATCACATCGAAGAGCTCCTAGAATAACACACCCCCATCATTATCGTGTGGACATCTTTATTCAAATCATTGAGTGGAAACTTGCGGAATTAAATCATCGCTTCAATGAGGTAAATAGAGTTACTTATTTGTTTGACATGTTTGAGTCTGGATAATTCATTCATAGCTTTTGACAAACAAAAGCTACTTCGTTTTGCTGAATTTTATCCTCAAGATTTTAATCCCCGAGATCTCTTGGCACTTGAAGATCAACTTGAGATTTATATTAATCATATGCGTACGATGATTGATTTTTCTCAATTGAAAGGGATTGGTAGCCTTGCAAGAAAAATGGTGGAGAAAGGGTTGCATAGAACATATAATTATGTTTATTTGATTCCCACATTAGCCTTAACTTTACTGGTTGCAACTGCTTTTGTGGGGAGAGCATTTTTTGCTATGAATATCGTGAAAGGTCCACTTCACAACAGAATGGGAGATCAATGATTGAGTGATAGCTTACTTGTTTATATTGAGAAAGATGTGTTTGCTTGTATTGATAATGAAACTATAATGTCACAATTTCAGAATATGAAAACTCGTCGTGGACAATTGTAATGTGGTTTTTTCTATTAGTGATGAATTAAAATATTATCATTTCATTTCTATGGGTATATTTTGTATAAATTTTTTTTATCCTTTAGAGGTTGACCCTTGGAATGAAATTTCCTGGATCTGCCACTGCTCATGAAGACTAGTGATCTTCAACTTAGTGTTATTGTTAGTATGGAAGAAAACTTGGTTTTGTGAAATTATTTGAATTTTTCTCTTAGTCAAAATTATATTATAAGTCTCAAAAGATGTTGGAAATATCGCAAGGACTCTGGGGTATTTTTTGGTGAATTTTCAGATTTATTATGAATTTATTATGATTTTTGGAAGTCAAAATATTGGAAAATAGTAATAAATGGAAGAAAATGACACATGGCAGTGCCTGATGGGTGCGTCGTCAGCTTTTCCAACGGGTGTTAGTATCTCATAGCGCCACGTATCATTAATGTTTCATTTTTGTGAGTTTATCTTAAAAAATTTACGACAAATCAGTAAAAAATCAGAAAAATACACCGAAAATTTCTACATATTTCTTGAAAAATTATCTTCAACTATGATACTCGAAAATCAAAATTTGACTTTGAAAAATTTGAAGTAATAATTGGAGGAAGAGTTGTACTCATGAAGACTAGTGATCTTCAACTTAGTGTTATTGTTAGTATGGAAGCAAACTTGGTTTTGTGAAATTATTTGAATTTTTCTTTTAGTCAAAATTATATTTTAAGTCTCAAAATATGTTGGAATTATCGTAAGGAGTCTGGGTATTTTTTGGTGAATTTTTCAGATTTATTATGATTTTTAGAAGTCAAAATATTGGAAAATAGTAATAAATGGAAGAAAATGACACATGACAGCTCCTAATGGGTGAGTCATCAGCTTTTCCAACGGGTGTCAGTATCTCAGCGCCATGTGTCATTAATGTTTCATTTTTGTAAGTTTATCTTAAAAAATTCACACAAAATCATTAAAAAAATCAGAAAAATACACCGAAAATTTCTACATATTCCTTGCAACATTATCTTCGACTTTGATACTCGAAAATCAAAATTTGACTTTGAAAATTTTGAAATAATAATTGGAGGAAGAGTTGTACTCATGAAGACTAGTAATCTTCAATTTAGTGTTATTGTTAGTATGGAAGCAAACCTGATTTTGTGAAATTATTTGAATTTTTCTCTTAGTCAAAATTATATTTTAAGTCTAAAAAGATGTTGGAAATGTCACAAGGAGTCCGGGGTATTTTTTGGTGAAGTTTTCAGATTTATTATGAATTTATTATGATTTTTGGAAGTCAAAATATTGTAAAATAATAATAAATGGAAGAAAATGACACATGGCAGAGCCTGATGGGTGCTTCATCAGCTTTTCCAATGGGTGTCAATATCTCATAGCACCACGTGTCATTAATGTTTCATTTTTGTAAGTTTATCTTAAAAAATTCATGAAAAATCATTAAAAAAACAGAAAAATACACTGACAATTTCTACATATTCCTTGCAACATTATCCTTAACTCTAATGTGTGAAAATCAAATTTGACATTGGGAAATTTGAAGTAATAATTGGAGGAAGAGGTGTAGTAATGAAGACTAATGATTTTCAACTTAGCGTTAGTATTAGTTTGGAATCAAACTTGACTTTGTGAAATTATTTGAATTTTTCTCTTCGTCAAAATTATATTTTAAGTCTCAAATGATGTTGGAAATGTCACAAGGAGTTCATGGGTCTTTTTTAGTGAATTTTTAAAATTTATTATGATTTTTGGAATTCAAAATAATGAAAAATAGTAATAAATAACAGAGAATGACACATAACAGTGCGTGACAGTTGCATCGTCAGCTTTTTCAATGGGTGTCAATATCTCGTAGCGCCATGTGTCATTAATATTTCATTTTTGTGAATTTATCTTTAAAAATTAAAGAAAATTCATTACAAAAATCAGAAAAATACACCACAATCTTCTAAAAATTCATTATAACATAATCTTCGACTCTGATGCAAGAAAATCAAAATTTAACATTGGGAAATTTGAAGAAATAATTGGAGGAAGAGTTATAGTGATTAAGAGTGATCTTAACTTAGTGTTATTGTTAGTAATGAAGCAAACTTGAATTAATTGTTTGGAATTTGTTTAAAATCAAACATTTAGTTTCATAATCGAAGATAATGTCACTTGGAATTTGTAGAAATTAAGGTTGGATTTTTTCAATTTTTTAATTAATTGTTTGAGAATTTTTAAAGATAAACATATACAAATTGAAACTCTGATGAGACGTTGCGCTACGCAAAATGATGCTCGTTAGAAGCATTGATGACGCACTCTTCCAAAAACCATAGTATTTCATTAAATAGCAAAAAATACACACCCCCAAAAATTCTACAAACTCAATGTGAAACTTTCTACGTCTTTTGAGTTCATCTTAAAATATTCATAAAAGTGCTAATGAAGACTTCTTAGTTAAAAAATAAAAATAATATTATGAAGCTTTAGTGAATAATAAATGAAGATATATGGAAGCTCTAGTGAATCCCTTTGAAGTGTTTACGATAGATATTTTGGTGGCAAACAAGTAATGATGTAGCGTTGCAATTATGGCTTGTGCCATTTCTCTATTATTTGTAAAATTTATCATTTTTAAAAATTATAAAAATATGATGTTGAAGCTCTAGTGACCCATATTTTATTGTGGATTTTAATCTTGATGTTTATCTATAGAAATTGCTTGATTACAAGATTGTACACGCCTCTGTGAAACATAGTTCAAACCCATATTCCATTTTATACCTAGAACATACAAAGTTTACATAAGATATACTAAAAATATTACGAAAACATGAAGATACAAACCCTGTTACCCATATCCATACTACTCACACTATCATCAACACATTAAGATACAGAAATGATATCTACTAACACTATTGTCAACACATTAAGATACAGAAATGATATCTACAAACATTATTGTCAACACATTAAGATACAAATGATACCTACTAACGCTATTGTCAATACATTAAGATACAAAAATGATACCAAATTGGAGGAGGAAAACAAGCCGCATGGAGAAGGAAGTAGAGCATTAGAGAGCCACATAGTAGACAAAAATCCACAATCATGGGTTTATTATAACTTTGAACTCTAGAAACTGCCTTTTTATTTTCATTATCAAACAAAAATAAAAAGGTGTTGTAACGTTTTATATTTTACTTTCAACACATGAAATACACCTAGATCAAAGATTCAAATGATTTACTGAAACTAAAACACAAAACCTGGAAATTTCAGAGCTTTGCTCTGAATCTGTACATCCATACATAGTCCATACACTCAAATGCATACACATGGAAATTTGATATAGAAAATAAACCTCAAGGACCCTTGCTATAGAAAATCATGTAAGACTGAAAAATAAATTAGATATAGTCTTTAGGAAACTCACAATACCTCTTGATCACTTAGGCCATCTCCAGTCATTGGCTATATTCCAAATATAGCTATAAAATAATGCAAAACCCATCTCCAGCCATGGGCTAAACAAAATTTTGGCTAAATTTGGAGGGCCACATTTGGCCCTTCAGCCCTCCAACCTAGCCACATTTAGCCCAACTTTGGCCTAGTCCTAGGCCAAATTTTTTGTGGGCTCCATGCATGTGCTTTTCATTAATGATGTCAGCTGGATATATATATATTTAAAAGCCCTTTTAATTCGTAAAAAAATTATAAAAAATTATTAGTCATGACCATTGGATGTCAAACTATTGAAACCCATCCTTTAAAAATAAAATAAAAATGTAGTCACCTTTTCAAATGTTTTAAGTGTTGTGGCAGAATTTATAGAAAGCCGTGAAAACGGCTGGATATTTTCTAGAAGGATCGACTATAAAGAATTTATTATCTGTCACGGTAAAATTTGAGGTGGGAATTCAAGAAAGAATTTATAGAAGGAAGAAAGATATAGACATGTGGGAGAATGGGAAAGATAAAGGTTGGACATTTTCTCCATTTCTACTGAAGATTTTAGGGTTTCGTTGGTAAAAACGGAGGAAGGATGGAAAAAAGGCGCGATTGGAAAAGGCGCGTCAAGACATGTGGGCTAAGCGGTAAGTGTAGCGTACCCATTTCTACGTTAAGCTTGCTTTTTCTCTTCAACCGTTTAGATTACTTTGGATGGCTGAGATTGATTCTCATATAAGGTTCTCACACAAGCGTTCTCACCTAATCCAAACTGGATCAACAGCCTACACTTTCTAACTCTGTTTTTTTTCACACTGATGCCCATATTGAGCAAGACAAAGTCTGGCCCAAAGAGCCTTTAGAGCAGTGTTGATCCATTGGCGGATCCATTAAGGGGCATAAAAGGGTCGGACGATCCATAGAGGCCTGGTAAGCTCCTTCGCCGACCCATCGCTGGCTGGTGTGCGACCCTTGCACGCCCACAGCCTGTTTGACAGAAGTCCAGATAGCCTGGCCGAGACAGCAAATGACCTGGATGAAACGACGTCGTTTCATGCCAGGTCTTAAATAAATAAATAAAACCCCCCCAGCCCTTTTTATTAGCCCAGCCCGACTCACCCCCAAATCGACATTTCTTCCTCCTCGTCAACAAACCCAACCCCATGTCCCCCCAGTTGTTGCCGCCGACTCCAGCTGCCGCCGTCGCTTCCAACCGCTGCTGCCTCCGCCTTTGCCGCACGTATTAGTGGGAAAAAGCTCATATTCAAGTAATTTTTGAACTCTAAAGCCCTAATTGATGATAATGCATAATGTGCTGAATTTAGTGAAAGTTATAATGAGTTATCACATGAATATTGTTGATTTTGTGTTTGGATAATGATTTATTGGATTGGATGAATATGTATATATATATATATATATAATGATTTGATTTGTTAGTTCCGCTACTCAACATTGCTAAAATATCTATTTTCAAATAAATTTTAAACCATAATCGCCAATTGATGATAATATATGAAGTTTTTAATTCAATTGAAATTGAAATCATGGTCTATTGAACTTGGTTTGATTTATTGATAGTATTTTCATTAATTATGGTTTTATTTTTAATATTTATCTTAATTGATTAGGGTTTGGTGTTTTGATTAGTTGATTAGGAATGAAAGTGCCATCGTTTAATTTTTCAATGTTATTTTCGTTAAAATATATATTTTTTTTTTTGGAACTTTTACACCATGACCCTATGGTCTAAAAATGCAAGAAAAATGCAAGAAGAGCTGAGAAAACTCAGAGCTGAAATCGTCGTGAGACTTCAGACTCCTGATATGATACCATGAAGAGAAAGATGAAAAAAAAATGAAGAGTAATTCTCATTATGATTGAATAATCATTACAAGCTGTATTTATACAGCTCTACAAGAGCTTAACCAATCAAAACAGACTATACAGATTCTGGTAATGAGAGAGATTAGACTCTAGCAGACTGGGAGCTATAATCTCCTGTGCACCTCCATACTATGTGACAGATGAGCCATCCGATGATGAGTCCTTTACAGCCATATTGGTATTTGTGGTTATATAAATCATAATTCTCATAGGAAACAGGTGAATTTAGACTGCTACTATCCGGATTGAGGCAATACAGAGACGGATTTTAACAGAAGGCATAGTGATGCGACTTGAATTCAGTTGAACAAAAGTTATAGGGTCCACCTTAATTCAGACGTGGTTTGCTTCCCGAGTTTTTCAACTGTTCGTTGCATATTGTTCAGTGATTAATAAGTGCTCCAACAAAGATTGCAATGGAAAGTTCAATTGTTAAGATTTGGTTGTTATTGCTATGTTGGTCTCCATGTTTACATGTTAGTTCTCGTCAAGTGTAACTATTACACTTGTCATAGATTTATTTGCCCATGCTTTTACTCTTTTAGTTGGTAATTTTTCATCTTCAAGATGTGAAAAGAAAGAAAGAAGTTAACAAATTGTTTGTTCTGCTAGTGTTATTTGTATTTTGGTTTACCTTGTTTCGCTTCCACTTATAAATTCTAGTATTCTACTGTTATGATATTCTATTTTTCCCTTTATTTTCGTAAACTTGCTGTCTTTACATGTGGTGGTAGATAAGGTATATAATTATTGTGAAAAGTTCCCTTTACATTCTTAACTTTATGTTGATTTACACCCTTGAATTAGTGTAATGTTATCAGAACTTGAGTTTGAACATCTTCTATGCATAAATAAGATATTTAGATAAAAGAATTTTTCAAACTTTAGCAGGGGAATGTACTACGTAATCTGTGTATCTGCAATAAGCAGTATCTGTGAACCTTGGCTGCTGAACACATGGACTGTAATTTTGAGCCCCTAACATAGACTTTGTTACAGCTTTGGGAGATGGGATCCATTTTTCTAAAACTCAAAGGAATTCTATTTTATGTATCATAATGCATCTGCCAGACTATTGAAGCTATAACCATTAAAATCCAGTAGCTGAATTCTTATTTTACCCCGTTGAATAGTTTCTGTTTCTTAATTTTACATTGAATTTTGAATTTCGACATTTGTCATGCATATAGGTAAAAATAATTTTCTTTGTTGTGTGATAATAATTTGCATGCGCATGTGGCTTTTTAAGTTTGTCCAATATATGGGGCCGAGGGTCTTCAATTACCACTACTAATCTCCTGCTGACACCTCCTCTAGCATGCATGAAGTGAAGGGAAATAAAATGTTATAAAAAGTTTAGTGATTTGTGTATCTTTGAAACAATTGGACTGATGAAATCTCTCAGCTGTCTGACCCAACCGGGATGTATAAGATCCAAAACCAGTCTTTCAGTATTGAGTGGTATTTCAAATTTAAAATTTCAAGAATGCGAGAGTTCTATTGTTTTCTAATTTCCTGATACCCACTTAGTCAAATCTCTTGCCATCTTCACACATGATTTTGGGCCTAAGGCCAAGTGTGTAAATTTATTTAAGTTCTTAATTTTGGTTGCTATGTTTTACATTTTTTGTTTTTCATTTTGACTGTCATTTTGAGGTATATTTGTTTCATTGTTCTCCTGTTCTAAAAACTGATTCAGTAATTGCTTATCCAAAACATGTAGCAATTATGGTTTTGGTTCTAATCGAGTACACTTGCATCAATGTTTCCAGCCTTTGAGGTATCTTACCAGGGACCTGTTCCACCATGGGTGATTTTAGCATTCAGATTAGCTCCAATCTGGTTGATAAGCTTGTTCATGATGCTGAGAAGTCAAAGAGAAAACCCAGAAGAACTAAAATTAAGGTACCACGAGAACCTCAACAGCCCCAAACGAAGACAAACCAGAAACAGGTTTCTGATGATTCTGAAACACTCAAGGGGACAGGTGCTAAAGGATGGCCTCTTCAGCCTCCTATATTCGTGCCTGTAACCCCTCCTTCACAATCTACCTATGCGGAGTTAGATGCTATCAGATCTGTTCTTCAAGAGAGCAGCAAGGTTCTGGAGCGGTTGCAGAAGCAGGAGGAGAATATGGTGCAGGAAGTGACACAAAGAGCAAAGGAACTTCGTGATAAGGAGTTCAAGCTTCCATTCCAGAAGCCTATGCCCTGCTTAACGGAGAAGGATGCTTGCTTGGCTTGCTACAAGGAGCATGCCGACAACCCTCTGAAATGCGCTGGTTTTGTCAAAAGTTTTGAAGATTGTGCTCGCAGAATTAGGCAGCAAGTGGGTTCAGCAGAGAAGTAAATGATTTAGAGAATTGTTCAGGTCATATACTCGAGTGCAAGCTGATTTCCAAGATTTTGGTAGAACTAAATAAACTAAACACTAATTACTAGTGTCCTTATTATTGGATTGCTTGCTCTGTTCTTATACTGTCGTCACAATTGTGTTAATTTTTTTATTTTTCTACTGTTTCTAAATTCACGAGTGCAAGTGAAATGCTCACTATTTTTTGGGTTGGAAATTCTCTTGTCGCTTCTCACAATTGTGTCTAGCCTCTACTAATTTTTAAGGTTAGACACGGACAATTGCCGAAGGAACTATACGGCCATGTGTTGTAACAAAAACACTTTGTATTTACAGCACTTGGAAAACTATCAAACTCTGCTCTACACACGAAAGAAAAGATTAACGACGCAATCTTGGCATTCCCAAAAATAATTAATTACTTACTAAAGGATAAAGAGGCAAAATCTTTGGACAGTCTTTCTCAAATCCAAATCCTCATGAACAACATGAGCTCATTTATAGTAATTAATAATGATATAACTCAGTTTTGATTTGTACCAAGTTAAGTAGCAGAGCAGTTATTTCTTAAGCTCTACAATAATATAATTTTCATTTAGTAAAGGGACTCTGGTCTGGTATTTTGTTTTGCTAAGGTACTGATCATGCATGATGCTGTATTTACAAGTTTTAGATGCTGTTTTTGATTGTCATATTGGTACCTTTGAATGAATAACCTTGTGGGCTCCTGGGAAATTAACATAAAAAGGAAGATATAAGCTGTGTATGAAATAGAAAATCTAAAAGACAAGAACCCAATTTGAGTGGAACAGGTTGAGCTGAAGACCATTTTGGTCAGTCTTTGGCAGGCAAGGCAACAATGCTTCTGTATAAGGCTATCAAGCCTGAGTCATGGAATGGATAATTAGTTCATTTGTAATGGGATGGGATACCTTTTTCTGCTATAAGATTTGAAGTTAGGAAAACCAAAAGAGGATATGTGTTGCCTATAAAGTTTTTCTTGATCAAAATTGAAGAATTTGCTGCCTAAAGATTCAGGGTAGTGTGCATAACTTGACTAAAGCATATGTGCTCCCCACTCTGCAACCCAAGTTTGAATTCCCCTCCTCGTAGTTTAGAGTATATTAAAGTAGAATATCGCTTATTTAAAATATATCCTTCTATTGAGGAGTCCTTCAATAATTTTATTCAGGATAGTGCTTGATTTAATTGCAGAGTTTATTTATTGGGATGGATAATTATAAGTTCATAACTGATGAGATATTATAGCTAGTTCTCCAAGTATTTAGTGACACAAAGAAGGATGTCTAATAAATTGTGCATGTATAACTGACATTGTAATTTGTATTGTATTACCTGACTTCATTCGTATAGGTGCATGGGATGGGACATTTCCCATGAAAATGTGTCTTTTATTTGCTTATACAGAAAAAAAAACAAACAAATAAACAAACTAACAAGTTGTGAAGAAGCATCTTCTATATCAATTACTGTGTGAATTAGTGCATTTGCTTCTATGAAGATATTTTGAGGAATAGAGTTTCACTTAAACTAGATTATGGGAAGGAGGTATGGGGTGTTATGTTTTCCTATTTAGATCGGTGCATTAGATACTAAGTTATATCAGGTTTGAGGCCCAAAACCTAGTGAAATAAGGAAGGGTTTTGAGGCCTATTAATGGGTCCTATTATATTTCCATTTATGCGTGAACCGATTAAGTGGGCTCGGAAGATAAGTCAAGTCGGCCCTCGGTAATGAGTAGAGACGACTTGACCTAGCCCTATATAAGCTAAAGGCCCTGCTCTCATCAGACACGTTCTCTAAACTTATTCTCATCATAAAGAGAGAGCTGAAACAGATTCTGAGAGAGAGCAGAAGTCTTGAGTCGTTCCTGTCTTTACTGGGATTGCTGCTGCTACGGATTGGATGAATTCAGAAGCTGTGTACTCAAGGAAGATGGCTCCAGGTATGTCTTCATGTCTTTACACGTATTACATATTGTGTGAAAGATCTTGTTTGTGTATTAAGGAAATCTAATAGTTGGTATCAGAGCTTAAGGTTGTTCGCACATATCTGTAATCATTGTTCAAGCATGTCTATCATGATTTCATATCTGTTTATGCCATGCTCAGTTATTTTGGTTATGTTTAATTTTTTGAAGATGGTTTAAACATGTTTATGAAAATATCAAGAATTTGGAAAAGCATGTTTTGATTTGGTTTTCATATTTTCAAAACTTTAAACATGTTTTTGACCTGGCAGATCACCTTTAAACCCTAAAAATGCCTATATGTCACAGTTTTACAGTGAGTTGTGTTAATTAGGTCATTCCCTATTCAGAAAGGTATTTTGGGTCAAAAATAGACACTAAGAACCCCCTAAACACTGTTCACGGCAGAAATACTATTCATTGCAATTTTAGGGTTTTTCCTTGTTGAACTGTGTTTTGTTCGGTTATTTTTCTGAGCCAAATAGATGTTTGCCTTTGTTCTAAGAATCAACAAAGTTTTCATAACAAAACCAAACCTAAATACTTAAACCCTAAAGAAATAACCAAAAATTGCATCATACCTAAATTGCTTGATAAGGTTCTTTAACAAATAGAATCTGTCATGTAATTTATTTGTAATTGCATAAGATAACATGTAATTTGTGTAAGCTATAAGTAATCTCTTGTCACAAAGGTGTGATACTTAATTAAGGACGCTTGCATATATTATTTGTTAGTTTTGTGAATAAAGTTAAATTGTTTTCTTTTAACAAATTGAGAATCGGTTTCTAGGAAAGTAATATGTTTTTGTTTGCAAATCCTTACAGCTTTAAACAATCCCTCAATCAATTTCACACAAATTAAAAGATTCACTAGATCAAACTTCAATTTATGGACGTTTGATTTTAAAGTTATTGTCGGAATGAAAGAGATCGCTTATGATCTCACTCATGGCTATATTTAATTCAAGTTAGCCTTTTCGCTTATGTGTCTTGTAGTACAACTCCTAGAGCTTAAGGGAAAAGGAAAAACATCTGGTGTTCAATAGGTGTCACTCGTGCCAACTTGTCACGAATGACATTCTAGTAAAGAATATAGTGGAGTTAATTAAGAAGCAACACGAAGATGAGCTGGAGCGAAAAAGGGTTAAGGCGCAGTGAAATCATTGACCATATAGAGGACCCATAAGGATATACACGGCTACAAAGGAAAATCTCAAAAGTCTTAGGATCGCTATAAAGCTCAGTGTATGCGCTTATGAGAGAGGACGAAACATCAATAAGCTACTTCGATACAAGAATCTCCTAGTGCAATTTGTGAAACCATCGCCCCAATCTGAATCACCTGTTGAGATTTTTGATGCCACCATTAATAGGGAGATAGTGGTACTTGACCCATTCCCTATTAAGGAGAACAACACTTTCATGGTAGCAAGTTTGTGACAAGGAATTTTAGATAGCTACCTGTTGTTTTAATCAAATTTTATTGGAGTAGTTGGTTTTTAAGTTGGATTCATGATTTATTTTAGAGGTGGATGATGTAGTTTTCAGTACCTTAAAGAGAAATTCAATTTCTATTTCAAGATTATTAAGACTTGGTTTTAATTTGGTTTCAATAAAGATGTTGTTTGTATCTCAAAATTCAAAGATAATAAAGATGGATTATATTGTCTCAATTACAATAAAGATAGTGAAGTTTGAATGACATAGGCGTTCAGGGCACATTTTAAAAGAAAGAATGAAAATTCTAGTTAAGGAACAAATCTTGCCATTATTGACTTTCAATGACAAAATTTGTATTGAGTGTGTCAAAGGAAAACTCACTAAGACTAAGAAGAAAGGTGCAACTCGCAGTAGTGATCTTTTAGAGATCATCCACACAGTTTTTGTGGACCTTTCCCCATCAAACAATTGATGGAAATCGGTTTTTCATCACCTTTATAGATGATCATTCTTGTTTTGGTTATTTGTATCTCATAGTAGAAAAGTCTCAAGCTCTTGAAATGTTTAAGATTTTCCAAAATGAAGTAGAAAGGTAGCTTGAGAAAAGGATCAAAATTGTGAGGTCAGACAGAAGGGGTGAATATTATGGACGTTTTGATTAAGAAGGACGACGTGCTGGACTTTTTGCTAGGTATCTACAAGATAATGGGATAGTTGCTCAGTACACAACGCCATGAATTCCGCAACAGAATGGTGTGGCTGAGAAAATGGATTGAACCTTGAAGGACATGGTTCTTAGCAAGATTTCTAGAACTGGTTTTGCTACGTTTTGAGAGAGGCGATTAAAACAACAAACTATAGAGTGCCTAGTAACTCCGTACCTAAGACACCTTTTGAATTTTGGACTACCAGAAAACCTAGCCTAAGACAAGAGAAGAAGCTTGATCCTAAAACGATAAGATGTAGGTTATCCCACAAGGTCAAAGAGTTTTATATTTTATTGTCCAAATTATGGTACCCGAATTGTTGAGACTGATTGTGCAAAGTTTATAGAGCATGAGGAGAATGTCACTGGGAATGAAGACTTTATTTTTAAGAAGAAGGTGATGTAGCTGTGATTGAGAATGTTGAACCACAAGAACAAGCTGTTGAGAATCCTGACCTGGATGATCCACAAGAACCTATACAACTGAGGAGATCTGACAAACCAAGCTGTTAGACAGAAAATTTGAAGAACCAATTAAACCACAAGAACAAGCTGTTGAGAATCCTGACCTGGATGATCCACAAGAACCTGTACAACCAAGGAGATCTGACAGACCAAGAAGATCCACAGAAAATTCAGATTATGTGTACTTACAAGAAGCAGATTTTGACAATGGAGATGAGGCTGATCCAACAAGTTTTAGAGAGGCTATGGAGGGTCAGAATGCAGACAAATGGAGGGAAGCGATGTTAAATGAACTTGAAAGCATGAAGAATAATCAAGTATGGGAATTAGTTGAACCTCACAAGAGCCAGAAGTTGGTAGGCTTGAAATTGGTATTTTAAAACAAAGAAATATAAGGATGGAAGAATCGAAAGGTTTAAGGCTAGATTGGTAGCCAAAGGATGTACCCAAAGGGAAGGAATTGATTATACTGAGACGTTTTCTCCAGTTTCCACCAAAGATTTTTTCCGCATCATTATGGTTTTGGTAGATATTATGACCCACTTTTACATAAAATGGATGTAAAAACTACTTCCATGAATGGAGAACTTGAATAGGAAAATTTTATGAGACAACCTTAAGAGTTTGCAAAGGAGGGAAAAGAGCAAATGGTTTGCAAACTTGGCAAGGCAATTTATAGACTAAAAGTAGGCAAGCAAGAGGTGGTATTTCAAACTTCACCAACTATTTCCTCTTAGATTTATTTTCTGGTGCTGTATGTCGATGACATACTTTTGGATACAAATGACCACAATTTACTGAAGGACACTAAGGAACTACTTTCAAATAATTTTGAGATGAAGGATTTGGGAGAAACTGGGCATTGAGATTCAGAAAGACTGAGCTCGAGGCCTTCTAGGCCCATCACAGAAGACATACATTGAGAGGGTACTCAAGTGTTTTGACATGATTATATGTTCTGGACAGAAAGTTCTGTTAGCTAAAGGAGATTTAAAGAAGGAGCATTGCCCAAGAATAAAGAAGAAGAAGATGAGATGAGGAACAAGCCATATGCTTCTCTAGTTGGAAGCATTATGTATGCACAAGTGTGTACAAGGCCAGACCTAGCCTTGTGCATTAGCAAGATGATGAGATTTTAGTCAAATCCGGGAATGCAACTTTGGATAGCTGGAAAGAAGGTTCTAAGGTATCTACAGAGAACAAAGGCTTATATGTTGATTTACAGACGCACGTTTCGAGTTCAACCATGTTTTCAAAATGCATAGCTTGCTATGAAGCCACTTCTCATGCAGTATGGCTAAGGAATTTTATTAAAGACATTAGGCTGGTCGACTCGATTTCTAGACCAATACAGATATATAATGACAACAGTGCGGCTGTTGTTCACTGCATGAACAACAATATGTCATCTAGACTTCAGCATATTGACAGAAAGTATTTAATAGTGAGGGAGAAGGTAGCGGACAAACTAGTCAAGTTTGATCACATCAAAACTCAAGAGTTATTATTGTTGCTAAGTCATAAAGGGGTACTTTTGAGATATTATTGTTTTAATAACATTGCGGATTGACTCTTGCTAAGTCGTAAAGGAGTACTTGTACTGAAATGCATAAAGATTCACATTAAGGAACAGTACATATTAAGGTTCACGTTGTAGGTGCTTCATGTGTTTTGAGATTGCATTATGTGATTATAGATGGTCTGTTTTTAATAAAGAAAGCAGTGCTTGTCTATAGTTCGTTTTGTTTAATTGCCTTTCACTATAGCTTGAGGGGAAGGACTTAACTGTTTTAAACTCATGACCAATAAATATTATCAAACCTTTCGGAATATAGAAGCTTAGTGTTCTAGTGCTTGATCTAGTGGGAGAATGTTATGTTTTCCTATTTAGATCGGTGCACTAGATACTAAGTTATATCAGGTTTGATAAGAGTTTAAATTAAGTTGTACCTTGAGGCCCAAAACCCAGTGGAATAAGGAATTATTTTGAGGCCTATTAAGGGGTCCTATTATATTTCCATTTATGCGTGAACCGATTAAGTGGGCTTGGAAGATAGTCAAGTCGGCCCTCGGTGAGGAGTAGAGACGACTTGACCTAGCCTTATATAAGCTAAAGGCCCTGCTCTCATCAGACATGTTCTCTAAACCTATTCTCATCATAAAGAGATAGCTGAAACAGATTCTGAGAGAGAGCAGAAGTCTTGAGCCGTTCCTGTTTTTACTGGGATTGCTGCTGCTACGGATTGGATGAATTCAGAAGTTGTGTACTCAAGGAAGATGGCTCCAGGTGTGTCTTCATGTCTTTACATGTATTACAAATTATGTAAAAGATCTTGCTTGTGTATTAAGGAAATCTAACATGGGGTTGTATAGTTAATGAAACCTTAGGTAAGAAATGCATACTAAAATTCATTTAGCATGCTTAGGTCAAGTCAGGTACCATGCAAGGATAATAAAGTGTTGGAAGATGTTGTAAATTACTGCTTCTTTTAACAATTCAATACACTATCTTGTAATGTTCAAAAGCAAAAGCAGAAGTAGGATGTTGCTGACAAAAAAAAAAAAAAAAAAAAAAAAAAAAATGTGTTCTTCTCCCACAATTATATTCCTTTTAGTGTTGTTAAATCCATACATTATCAGGAAATTGTGGATGCTAGCTGTGAAAGCCTGAGATCTACTCTGTTGGAAAAAGTGAAAGGCTTGCATATGAGATTCTAGTGTTACTTCTTTGTTCCAGTTTATGTTGCACGAACACGGACACAAACACAGATACATACCTTAACAGTAAAAAATTACAATTTCAAGTCAGAAGATGAAACTGCACAATGCGAAGAAGATCACTCCACAAAATCACATCAAAATCACGTAAGAACGAACAAACTAAGCTCGAAATAAGAGGAATAAGATCGCAACAAAGCTCAGAATCCCACAAATCAGATCGCATGCCAAAACTGACCTTGATTCTACATGCAAAAGCAAAATTATGAAGAAAACATGAAAATCAAATCAAAGAGAAAATCAAACGAAAACATGTCAAAAGATCAGAGCTACAATTGAAAGCCAAATTTCAAATCGCGTATACTTTAAACCTATAGTGTAAAAAAGTCATTTACTTTGCAAATTTTAAAGTTGGGCTAGGTTTTTAAAAAAGAATGGTACTATTGTATTTTCAGTGATTATTTTAAGCTGGGCTAGCGAATCTGGGCCTCCTCTTTGGCTAATTCAAAACAAAATTCGAAATTTTGGGTATTAAAACCCAAACAGAAATACTTTATGTCTCAAATACAAATTAGTAAGGATAGTTATGTTTAATACCTAATTTTTCTTCTTTCTTTAATTGTGGCTTGTCCAGGAACCACATACGCAAACTGCTAACAAAGGTAACATCATGATTTCGAATAGAGAGAAGAGCATAAAAGGTTTTGCTGAGTGATCAAATCTGATACCAACCTTTTTCACTCATTCATTCTACTAAGATAGCTCGATTGGTCCATATAAATGCAATATAAATCATTGTATTCTTCATTGACGCTAAAAAGGTCTGTTGCTTTCTTTCATTTGTTGATGGTCTTCTCTTCAGTCTTCTACGCAAAAACAGAGACATGGCCTTCTTCACTGAGGTATATATCTTATTACTTGATTCATGGTTGTAGGGTTTTTATGTTGTTACTGGTATCTCAATATGTAGAAGTCATCACAAGTTAGCCTTATTGTTGCGTTAGTAGCAGGACAGGTGTTTGATGAAATGTCTGAGAAAGCCATGAAAATTGTGAGGGAAACAGGAATTAAGAAAGGATGAGGGTGTATGGGGTCCTATGCTTAATTCATGTAAAACTAAGTTGTCCATGGTTTGCTATGAACTCAGGATGAGGCTAAAAAGTTCAAAACATAATAGAAAGAAACAATCCACTACATCAAACTTCAGGGAAAACTAAAAGACACACTAGCATCATACAAAGGGTTTTTAATTATTAGGCACTAAAGACTTCCAAACTAAAACATTGAAGATGGCAGGTATTTCTCCAGACACTTGAACAGATCACTACTAAGTCAAATGGCTACTTCCTTGATGCTCTTGATAATAGACGAAACAGCATCTTCTGTATCCAAATTAGCTGTGGGCTGCCCTTCATTTTCAGCATTATTTGCAAGCAGGAATGCTTTCGCACAAGCCCTTTCTTCTTTTTCAACGTCCTCGTTGGAAGTCTCTCCATCAGAATTTGAACATGATGCTTCTGTCCCTGCTAGATCTTTTAGATTCCAGGTGAATTGTGAATGAACCATGGGGCTGTCAGAGTTCATCCATCTAGATGCAGAGTCTGAACTTATCATCAAATTAGTTTGAGCTTCTATCCTACAGTGATCTGTCATATGAGCATCCAGGTTTTCAGAGAATGCAAATTCACAGGGGCACTTAGGACATTTGTAGGGAGTATGTTTGCTCCTATGTAAAGGCCTTCTTGTGCTTACACCATTGGTTAGGCTTGGATCAGAACCCACATTGTTCTGCAGCTGAGCAGCTAAGGAATTGACAATAGGATTGCTAGGTTGGTAGCTTCCTAACTCAGACAAATTGGTTCTCTCCACATAAAGATCAGGTTCATTCCAAGAGAAATAGGAGAAGTTCCTTCCAGGAAAAGATAGACTTACAGGTGTGTGAGGAAAATCATTATTTCCTGTAAGTTCAATCGTACTGAGCCTCGTAGGATCTTTGAGTTGATTATGAGATGAGGTATCATAACAAAGGTTATGAGAAACCTCAAAAGCTGCTAAGGAAAAAGCCATTGATCTTTGTTAAACATATTCTGGTGGACCTTGCTTTCATAAAAAAAGTTCATTTGGTTTTGCAGAGGTTTTTGTTCAATCATAAAAAAAGAGTCACTGATTGATATATAAGTTGAAAAGTAAATTCCCTCAAAATGGGCGATTCAATTGAAATTACCTGAAGAGAAAGACGGCTGCCTAAACCAAAGAAGGCTATTCTCATTACTTTGAAAGCGAACAGTTTGTGACAGGTCTGCAATAAATTTATCTCTTCTGTACGCGGCAACAAATTTACTCAGACTAACTTGGCTCATGCCTAGCGTAAGTTGATTTTGAGAGGGTGAATTGTCACTGGAGCATGAAGATCGAGAAGTAGTCACTATAGTAGCAAATTGTTCGTTGTTGAAAACATAGTTTCTTTCCCCAGAGTTTTGTAGAGGAATCTCATTGTCGTTAATTTCGAAGTGCAAACCGAGGGGAATTGAAACATAAACTGGTTTTTCCATGAAGAGAGAGGAAGAGAAAGTAACTGCTACAATGTAATTGGTCTGGAAGATGAATGAATAACAGGCGAAGCAATTGTTTCATTGGAGCTCTTTAGACTGAGTTCAAATAGCTAGGTCCAAATTTTTAAATGGAAAGTTATCTTGAGGAAATATACGGAATTCGGCAAGACAACGCAATGACTTGCTATAGCTTTTCTCTACAAGGAAATTTATTTAGTCTCCACAGGTATGGGAAGAAATGTTTTGAAATGAGAAATATTTTTCAAGACATGGGATGTCATTTGTTAGTTGTGTGCATTCTAGAAAAATCCTATCTGGTTACTCATTAAGATTAGGAAGATTTATTTTTGTCCAAGTCCAATGTTATGGAATTTATGAACTTGCCGAGGTTAAACTTGTCATGTGTACTAAAGTTTGGAACCGTTACAGTCTACAGATTCCATGTGTGCAGAAGTGTAATCGGAGGTTGAAATAAAAGATTGTCATCAGTCGAATATGATAATGAAATTCTAGAGTTTCACTACTTATCTCAACTACTTCAATGTCAAAAGAACCAAGAAAATGATATTAATTAGATAAACATGCTGTTAACATAAAGAACATGAATTAAATTAAAATATACAAATTTATAAATAAACCCAATCCTACACATGTATTTATAAAAAAACCCAAGCACTATTTAAACATAGAAACACACCCAAAATCAACCCTAAAGTCAACTTTTTGGGTGTGTTTATAAATGGGTTTTGAGTGTATGTAATGATGGGTTTTGGGTGTGTTTATAAAGTGTTTTGGGTGTTGGGTTTTTTTATAATTTCAACCTCCATTTTGGGTGTTTTCTACTTACTGAAAATTAAATTGATGGAATTGAACACTTTGAAAGGAAATACAGCTTAATGTGAAGGCTTATACTAGAACTTAAACTAAGGAAAGTGGAGCTACTCCTAGGATAATTTGGCTTGAAATTTTGTTTTTTTTTATGATACCACTTGAATCCTGCAATCTTAGGGATTGGACCTGATGATCCTTGCAATTGGCATTGGTTCTCCTTGATTACATCATTAGCAAAATTGTTACCCAAAACCATCTCAATCCTTTAAATCGCCGTTGTGAGGCCTAATTCATGCTTACTTCTATATTGAGATTTTCCATGTTCACTTCTGGCTAATCTTCTAGATTGCATGTTTTCCTTCCAATGCTAAATTTGAATTCGAATCTGGATGTATACTCTGTGTTTAGACCAAAGGCGGTTCAACGTCATGGCCTTGCAATCATGTTGCTTCTGGATTGTCTTTAAGGGTTGTGGTCGAAGTTGTCACTTCTGGGTTCAAAGAAATCACCCTAATGCTTGTGGCTGGAATTGGTTGGTGAGGCCACCGTACTCATTTGGCTGCACTGTCAACTCATTCTTTATTTTGCTTGAATCAGATTTCGGCCTCGCTAGAATCAGCCTTAAATCATCTCTTGGTTAGGCCATGTCTTTATGTTGACTGATATATTTATTTCAATTATCCCAGTTCTCATCCGAGACTCATTTTGGATGCTAGATCCCAAGATATGGGTATTAAGAAGCTGAAAAGTGAAATGGGAGAGGTTCCTACTTTAGAGGTTTTGGGGTTTGCTTCTCGGCTCCAGTTAGTCTTGGGACATATTTAAGGCTATTAAGAAGCTGAAAACTGAAATGGGTTCAGTATTTCAGTTATAGCAGTTAGTTTGATAATGCAAGCTCAAGGCACACGCCATCCTCTGTGATACTTGTTGAAAGCCTCTCTCGTGAATTCTGAACAGCGTAACATCCTTCAGCCAGTGCCGAAAGAGCTACTATGCAGGAGTTGGTTGTGACTTGAACCAGGTTTATAGGGAACTTAACAGATTGGCTACCCGATTTTGGGTAGCATTCCCTCATGCTGTGAGCAGTTGCTAATAGATGATTTGGTTCTTCTGTTTATACCCCTCATTTTTCTTATTTTATAGGCCTCCTTTAGTTCTGGTCTAGTTTTTCCTTGTTTAGGATATGTACCGTAACAAAAACAAAAAATTACCAATTATTAATGAGTGAATAACGCTTTCAGTAAATCAATTTGAAGTTCTAAGATACACGATTAGTAGGGGAAAAAAATAATGTAGGTCTTGACTGTGGAGATAAACCTAAAATGATTATTTGGAAGCCATAGTGAAACTCACCTCATAATTTTACTATAGTTCCCTTGGAAAACATTATCCCTTTTGATTTGCATTTAAGTGTTAATTTTATGTGTTCAACAATAGGATCATTAAGATAGTTCTGCAGTCTACTTCATGTTTGGGAGCGCATGAAAACTAACCTAACACAAGTAGCTGCTTAAATAAAGACAGGAGGCTAAAAAAATTATTTATATATAAAGAAAAAAAGTTTGCACAAATTAATTGAGATATTAATTCCCGTAAAACAATCACAAGCAAACAATATATAAACCACAACAATAATTTTTTTCATCCCTTTTGGCAGTTCTACAATCTATTTAGAAGCTAAATTTAGCACAACTTTGATAGATATGGCAATGTCTGGTTCACTTAGCATACCTTGCCTTATAACCCATGCAAAGTAAGCGCCTTGGCCTGAAATGTACAAATGTCATCTTGGTGAGTTGATTAGATACCCTTTTCTCCCCACTGCAGTGGGCTGATCCCCCAGACTTAGAGATTAGTCTCCTTAGTAATGTTGGCTTTCTGCTCAATATTGCTGAACTTTGATCTCTTGGCTTCTTCTTGTCATCATCTACTTTCCCGAAAGAAGCACTCAGTGAAAGCCCTTGATTTTCTGCCCCTTGGTTTCCTTTGTACAAGGAGCACTTATGTTCCTTTGATCTCCACTTCCTTGAACAATCTTATTCTTAGGTGTCTCTTCTACTCTGCAGAGAGGTCTTGCCATATTGAGGTCACTAAATCTCTCATTATAACCATTTTGGATAAGTCTAACTTGTCTTGCAAATTCTAGTCCTTTGGGAAGAGCCAGCCTTTTTTGACTTTGCCCAACTTGTTTCCTTGGTTCCAGCTGACCCGCAGAGTTTGCAGAAGGTGAGTGAATTGGTGTTAGCTGGCCAGTTTCCTTGTTCTGTTGGTCATTCAAGCCCACCATGTTATGATCGTGTGTCTTTTCTTTCCCTCTCTTTTTCTCCTCCCTGACACGCTCCAATGCCACTGTGAATGGATCAAAATCATCATTCCACAACCTCCTGTACGAAAATGGCAAATTCAGAACAAAACTGGGAGACCTTGGGGAAGATGGCATGGGGCTCTGGCTGCCACTCCTTTTCTGATGAAGACGTGGTGGAAGTTTGAGTGCCGGAGGTGCAAGTGGCATCACTTTTCCATCACAGAAAAGCTCATCAGCAAATGACATGGTCATCGGAAGGGAGTCCCTGCACTGCCTTTGTTGCCTAATTTGTTCTTGCTGTTTCCTGTCCAACGAAGCCTTCTGCTGACTTTTCACGTTATCAAACTCGTCAAGATTGAAACTGCGACTGGTTTCGAATTCAAAGTCATCGAGATCGGAATTTGCATCTTGATAGGGTGTCATTGGTGGTGTCATGTACTCATGATCACTGTAACATGCATCATATGGAGTGTTTGATATTGTTCTTTTCCTAGGACTTCCCGGGACACTATAGAACAAATTATTTCCAGGGCTGCATCGAGCAGGGCTATTTGGGGCACTCACATAGGAGGAGAAATCATCTGGGATTTCCATGAGAGGTTGAGAATGAGAGATATATTTGAGATTTCAGAGTGAGAAACGTAAAGAGAGAGGCAGCAGCTGCTTCTGATCAATAGGATGGTTAGTTTTAGGAGGGTAGATTGAGTGTTGAGCTTCTCACTCCTGAATTGAGGGAGAGCCTCACTGAATCAGTCATTCATTTATATCAAGCATTATTTCCCATCTTCCAAACTAATCTTCCAAGATTCTTTTTTTTATTTTTATTTTTGCCAGGAATCTTCAACGATTTTAAAAACCTAAATAATCTCCCTTTCAACACACTCAATTCACTTCTAGGGTCAAAAATGTGTCTTTCAAGGGTTATTCTATATGTGGCTTTTTGTGAGAATTTTGTGCATAATTTTGTTGTCATGCTGATACTCTTGTCTTTTGTATTTGGTTCTCATGCCAATTGCTATTTCTCCAAGACACCCCTGATCATCATCTAATTACCTTGGATTTTGTTTTTTCTTCACTAATATTTAGTAGTTATTAAATAAGATACAAAACAATCACAAAAGAGCATCAAAGCACCACAACTTCTAGACAAAGATTTCACTTATAAGTCAAGTCACGTACTAGATTGTGCTTGAAATGAATTCTTAATGGTGAAGATTATCAACTTAAAAATAATATACCTTAAATCCTGCAGCTTTCTCTAAGATTATGGGTGTCTTTTTTTTTGTCAGAATGGAAAGCTTAATTAGACTTGGGTTATTTAAACATTCCTGCAGCTTTCTCTAAGATTATGGGGGCTTTTTTGTTTTCTGTTTTGTTTTAAGATTATGGTTATTTGAACATGATATAAAAGCTAGGATTATGAGTATTATTTGAGCATTCCTCAGAATGAGTATTGTCTTGTTTTAAGTGTGAGTAGAGGGTCTGCTTTTTAAATTGTTCTCATCTATGGCCCCAAAAAATGAAAGGGGAGCAACTTTTTTTTGGACGAAAAAGGGGGCCAACCATAGCTTTCATGTGAGACACCGGAAAAGAGGGCTGAAAATAAAGGAATTGCTCTTGGCATTGGTTTCCTCACTCACATACAAATCAAATTATGGCAAATCCAGGAATTTTCTTTTTTGCGGTCAAGAAAAGTCGACTCTTAAATGTAAGAAGAAAAAAATACAATCATATAAACATATAGATGACACAAACTAGTAACACAACACATTCTATCTAGTTGCTCATATCAATGGCACAGACTAGTAACACAACACATTCTACCTAGTTCCTCTCCCCCCGGACCAGTCTTAGCATCAAACAACTTGCCCCCAATAAAAATTGGCACCTACTGAACCTTTAATAGAACCGCCAGTCCAGGACAGCAAAATGAAGCTTTGAATCTTCAACTGTTTATTGAGGGTGGGCTGTCAACTGTTGATGAATAATCTTAGACAAAATATGTAACTTCTGTCAATGAATTGTTCAAAATTAAGAAGAAAAAAAAATTATACTTCAAAATGAGGCGTTTGCGCTGATGATTTCCCTGCCAAAAGAATGGAATGACCTTAATTATTTCCTAAAAAGGTTCCATTCTTTTGTGCTTCCTCCAAAAATATTATGTAGATGATAAAAAATTATAAAATGAAATGAAAACAATTTCATTGATGCGTAGCTATTGGTGTTCATAATGTCATACTCATATGATAATTTGGTACTCTCTAATAAATAACAAATTGGTACTCTTAAAAGTGCATTTATTATCAAGCACTCATTCTTACAGGGTCTTCTTTCCCCTTCTTTCCAGAAACCTCTTCTTCCTCTTCTTCCAACCAGAACCCCTCTAAATTCACTGCAAACTCCTTTGATTCCAGGGGGTTTCCCTTGGAATCATCTCTTTTCGGCTAATAAATTGGGCACTCTCCCCCCGTCATGGGCACTTTCCTCTTCTTTCACTCTACGGTTTTAAGGGCTGCTTCTCAGCCTTCTGGGATGATTTTGGCTTGATCTTGGTAGATCTCCACCTTTGCCCTCCTGTTGTCTGTATTTTTGAAATTTATGAGTTTGGTGGTTGTTTTTCTTAGATCTCTTTTATGTGGAGGTGGATTTTATGAATGTGGTGGTATCTACTATGCTCTGGTGTTGTGGGATAATGAGGGATGCTGGAGATACTATGATTTTCTCTGAAATGTCAAGTTGAAATTTGAGTGGTAATGCTCTTTCACTTTCTAGTGTTTCCAGTCCCAAAGAAGTTTCAGAGGTGGTTATCTGTAGGAGCCAATATTTCGGCTTCCAATCACAAGATGCCACATGAACAAGAAGAATATCACCTAAGTCATTAGAGCAATTCCATCGGTTTGGGCAGAAAAGGCCCTCAGGCAAAACCAGCCCTTACTCTAGCCTAGGTTTGATGACATCAGAAATGACGTCAGTAACAAATTTTTTTTAAAACAGAACCTTAAAAAAAACCTAAAAATTTCATGATTTTTTAAAAATAAATACTTAGTCATATTTTTCACTTCCTACACTAAAACTCTATACAAATTCCTCTCCTCATATCTCATGTGAATAGTGGTTGTCATGGCAATGGATGGAAACACCACAAACCTTTTACAAGGGCTGCCACTATTCATGTGAATAGTAATAGTCATTGACTCCCGTTGCCCTTTGTCATGGCAAATAGATGGAAGTGCTCTTAATTAGGCCTATTTATTTGGCTAATTAATTGAGATAAAAAATAGGGATATTATCTTTATTGGGGAATATAATCACCAATTAAAGATAATATTACCAATTTGGGATATTATCATCAATTAGGGATTTAATCCTAATTAAAATCCTTAATTGATTCAATCTCTCAATTTAAGGGAAAGAATATCTTCCTTCCAAATAAGAATTATTCTTTGAAAAACCCTAGATGACTAGAGTCCTATAAATACATAGCCACATTCAACATATGAATTAATTTCAAAACACTACGAAAAACCCTACAGAAAACCCCTATATCTCGCTTTAGTCGTCGGCCACCCCCTAGCCGCATGCCACTCCCTCTCTCATCTCTCCCACATGCCTAAGTGCCACCACACAAGGCTCCGGCCACCCGGCTCTCCTTGTGAGAGAAAACTTCATCCTTTTTAGCTATTGACGCATCTTTTCTCAAAGATCCAACTGAACAAACTTAGGCATCGGAGGGCCTTTGGCCAACACCCCTCGGGTGTGGTCTTTTACTCCTATTTGTTTCGCATGAACCAAGGAAGAGAGAGAAGAAATCTCAAAGAGTGAAGGATCTACATGCAAATATTCTCCCATGAGAAATTTACACAAAAATTTTGGTGCTTTCATTGAGAGTGCGAGTTATACTCAACGCATGCTCTTGAATAAAAGGAATTTGTTTCCTCCTTTTCAATTGCTGAACTGATCCAAACAACCATGGTTGGAAGCAAGCGCACGAGAAGCAAGACCGTCGCAACGATCCAATCCATGACGGATCCAAGCCTCCATGACGTCACGGCATCACGGTAGCCGCTGCTTTCTGCCGCCGAGGCCACGACCTAATACCTTAGTGGCACTATGGCTCCCGCCACCATTCCAGCCACTATCCTCCCTCTTGAACATGTTGCCAAAAGCGTCATTCCAGCACCAACCACCACACCACATCACGGCCACACGGCCAGCATTGCCTTGCAACGTGTCGCTCTAACAGCCACCTCCCTCACGGCATTGCGGCTGAATCCACCTCGTAGCTACACAGCCCCGTGCTTCGAAGGACCTTGCCGCAGCAAGCCTTCGTTGTCGAATCTGATGCATTCCACCACGATGACACCGCGGCACATGGCACAACCGTCGTCCTTAACCATTTAGGTGTCACCGCCACCTACGGCTTGATCTTGGAACAAGTACATCCATTTCATTATTTTCCTTTGCGCTCGAAGTACACTCCCGTGTATACCTCCAACGAAACCCTAGCCAGTGTGCAATTGGGCTCCACACAATTCTCTCATCCCAATCCACGAAGTCAAGCAGACCTTAGTCCTAGAGTTGACCAGCTTGCTCAAAGAGTGGACAACTAAAACAACTTGGTTAGACAGCTTCTCAACCAGATTGACTTGGTCCAAGACCTTAGCCTTGGATCGCAAGACGAAGAGAGAAGGATGGACGAACGCACCCATAGGCCGTTCGAAAAGTCCCATGCAAGTCGAGTAAGACCAGCAAACAAGAGAAGGACAAGAGAGTGCCACGTTGGCATGTCACAAGCATCCTGAGCCTCACCAGAAGTAGATCGAGTCTCCGATCGATATTAAGTCCGAGAGTCAACGTGCATGAGAGGTTGGGCTCACGATCCGATGTTTACGCCCACCTAGGCCCACAGAGAAGCGTTCATGAAAGGCTAGGCCCCAAGGAGATCAGCCTCACAATCATTCCCATGAAATATGAGAAGAAAGACTCCCACCTACTTGGTCCCAAAAAACCAGCTCACGACGACAAGCTACGGAGGTTCCCTCGCATGCTCAGTCCACCAACATGTTGATTGTGTTTTAGTATTTGGCTTTGGAAACACACAAATAGCAAAAAACATCGTTATTGTCATTTGTTTAAGAGTCTCATCAATATTTGAAATAAATTAAATACAAACAAATAAAACACCATGTACAACAATTGGCTTAGGTTTATACAATATAAATTGTAATGCAATGTGTGTTTTTATGTTACTCATATAGTTGTATTTCATACTTATACAATAGAAATTGCAATACAATGTGTAATTTTATGTTACTCTTATATTGATGTTTTTAAATTTATACAACAAAAACTGCAATGCAGTGTGTATTTTTATGTTACTTTTATATTGGTAATTTTAGACTTATAGAATATCACAAGAACGATTATATTAAAATTATACAAAAGTTAAACATCTATGTCTGTTTATAAACTTCTATTTTATAAAGAAAATAGTTATTTTGTACTTAGATAAGTGAAAAGGAGGAATAGTTACTTTACCTCGAGGACGACATTGCCGTCGCTCTCTCTGACTTGATCTCTCTACCTTGACGATGTCACCACTGCTCTTTGTCTCGATCTCTTTGCCTCGATGACGCCGTTGCACTAGGTCCATAACCCACCCTCCCCATTGCCTCGATGGTGCCGCCACCGCTCTCCCTTCTTCTCTGTTCTTAGTTTGTGTGTGTGTGTGTGTGTGTGTGTGCAGATTTGGCAACCAGACCGATACCATCACCACCATGGTAATCGACGTTGTGCAGTTCAACAGTGGTTCAAATTTTGGCTCTATTGCATGACCTTGGCTGGTTGCGAGTTAAACCATTTTGGTCACCGAAAACACCCCTATTGATGGTGATGGTGTAAGTGCTCGTTAGCTAGTGGACATCGGTGGTATAGTCGGTAACTAGTGTGGTGGCGACGAAGTGGCCAATCAGAGGTCCGGTTGTCGGCGTGGCACAAGGTGGTGGCCCTTTTTTTAAAAAAGGGCAAAAATGTAACTTTAACCCACAAAATAAATAGGCCTATTAAATTTGGGCTTACCTTAATTATTACAGTGCACCTTGAAACATTGGTCAATTCTCACTTTATCCTCTGGAAGTTAAAGTGACCCACTTTATCCCCTTGACCAGGGTTTGATGTTCCATAGTGCCCCCTACCATCAATTCCGTCCAAAAATCTATTAAGTTTGATAACGTGGCATGGGTGTTTTAGTAATTTTGTGCACCTAAGTTTTTTATTCACAAAGTGGAACCCACCTCCACAAAGTGAGTAATGTGGCAAAGTGGAACCCACCTCCATCATGGATTAAAAAAAAAATTATAACTTTAAAAAATTAAATACAAACATAAATTTTAAAACTTTAAAAAATTGATATATATATATACATATCTCTCTCTCTCTCTCTTCGTTGTTTTGTTGTTTTGTTTTTTGGGATGGGAGGCATAAACTTGAAAGTTGATTAATGGGTATGGAGGTTGGGGTTCTGTGGGAGTGGGGTAGAAAAAACAGAGGGTTTTTTTTTTTTTTTTTTTTTTTTTTTTTTTTTTTTTTTGTGTTGGGTTGAGGAGGCCGGGGGGGGGGGGGTTTTTTTTTTGTTTTGGGGGGTTGTTTTGATTTTGTTGTGGGGTGTTGGGGAGTGGGGGGGGGGGGGGGGGGGGGGGGGTGAAAGAGAGGAATAGGTTCTGGGTTTCTGCTCAGAGAGGGATGGGTTGCGGGTGGGGGGTGATGGCTTTCCCAAGTTCTGCACAGGGAGAAGGGTTGGTTGCGGGGTGGGGAGGTTACAAGGACAGAGAATGAAGGACGTCCCAATCTTCCCCCACCCCCAACAACATTGATGTTCCCCTCTCCCTTAACTCCTCTTCTCTACCCCTCTCTGCATCCAAAAAAAAAAAAAAAAAAAAAAAAAAAAAAAAAACAAACGGCGGCAAAATCAGATAAATTTTCCACTTGTGGTGCGCTCGTGAGACAACTAATAAAAAACCAACACCAAATGTTTTGCTCACCTTGGGGGGGCAGGATGCCATTGAGGAAGCGAATCAGGGGAGAAGGGATGGGGTTGGGTTTTTTTTCCCCCCTTCTAAAATCTATTTTATTTTCAATTTTATGTTTATATTTTAATTTTTTTTAAGTAATTAAAAAATATAGGTGCACAAAATTACTAAAATACCCTTGCCACGTCATCAAACTTAACGGACTTTTGGATGGAGTTAATGGTAGGGGCAATGTGGAACATCAAACCTTGATCAAGAGGGCAAAGTGGGTCACTTTAACTTTCAAGAGGTAAAGTGAGAATTGACCAATGTTTTAAGGGGCACTATAACACTTAAGCCTATCTTAATTACTAAAGATTTTATTCACCTCAACCTAAATTTTCTCCCTCTCTTTTCACGGTTTTTCCTTTTAGTTCATAGTCAATCACTAATAGGTGTTTGAAAACTTTCCTAAATACTAATAGGTGTTTAATATATATATATATATATATATATATATATATATATAATAGAAGTGTGTGATAGGGCTTTTTTTAATTCACGTGTACTACGCTTGTCTTAAAGTATATGCAATAATTAGGATGAATGCAATTTTAAGTTGATTAGCAATATCATCATATTCAAAAGCGAAGCAATAATTTCCCAAATTCCCAATACTCAAGCCAATGGCTAGACTTGGTCTGATTTGCTTAGTTCTAGCTGGATTCATGGTTCTTCAAGCTATGGCTAATAAATCTTAGGGTTTGAAGCTAAACCCATTTTGCATGTGCTAGGGGATGGGGGTTGGGATCACAGTGGATGTGGCTTGGGGCTGGGGCTGGGATAGAGTGGGGAAGAATGAGATGAGGGTGGGTACGGTTGTTTTTTTATTATTTTAAAATTCTTATTTACTCTAAAAATTTTGCATGTGTTGTTCACATGATTAAATTTGATAGAAAATTAAATGGTGAGACTAATTCGCTGAATAATAAAGAACATGTGAACAATTTGAACGAATAATTCAGTTAATGACCAAAATATAAATCGTGTATAAATTTCGAGATCATTTGAGTTAAAAACGCTTTGTATTTTTAGAAAATAAAAATAAATATCCCCAATCAACGTCAAAACAAACACCAGCAGGTGCCCGCGGGCTGCTTGATAGGATGAGATACAGTTCGGAAAATGAAATTTGAATGAACTGGTGGAGGGAGAGAAAGGGGCTCTCTCCAATTTGATGGAACCCCTCCAACTCATAACACCAACAACACAAAACCAACCCATGACCTCACTCTCACTCTCACTCTCTCTCTCTCTCAAACTCAAGCTCAAACGACCAAACCCATTCTGGTTTTCTTCTTACTCTCAGCTCAGAGCCTTTTGTACGTCTCCACTATCTCCATCAAAGCCCATTTCTGCTTCAGGAAACGGTGTTCGGGTTAGGGCCAAGGTCTCTGACGCTCAGCTCAAAGACAACTGGTTGGCTTCTCTCTCTTGCCCTTTTCCTCAAATCCGTGAAAACTTTGACGGCACCGCAGATTCGACCCGTACCAATTCGGATTCCAGTTGGGTCATTGGGGTCGACCCGGATCTTTCTGGTGCTTTGGCGCTCTTGAAAGGCGATGAGTCTGGTTGTTCTGCTCAGGTTAACAGCCTGCCCTGCTACCTCTGTTTCATTTTAATTTTTTTTGCCTCTTAATTTATAAAAACAATTTTTTAGTTTAATGGCAGAGTTTAGGTTTTGGGTTTACACTATAATTGTTTCCCTCATCTGAAAAGGTCAATACTTGAAACCTTTATAGAAAAAATGAGGTGAGCTTGAGTTCTCCAATCCTGGGTTCAATTCTGATTGTTCTTTAAAGGGAAAACAACAACTGTGATATGTCCTTCTTCTACTCCCTTTTCACTTTGACTCTGTCAGATTATGCCTATTGTGTTACATCACTTACTAGTATGATAGTATCTTTTTTCTTAAGATGTTGGAAGCATAAATTGTTAGGTTTAAACATGGCTCAGGAGCAAGCTTTCATGGAAAAAAATTATCCTGTTGTTGACCTTCCGTGTTGTAAATGTGTTGTTGCTGTTTTGGTTCTTCCAATAGGAGTATAGGTCAGTTTTTTGTTAGTTGATTAGGGAAGTTTTAAACCGTTTAAGATAAATTGTTTTACACACTTCATGTCTTTGATAATCTTGTTATAATGGCTTGGATTTTTTCTTATTAATTCAAATATGTAATCTCTTTTTCCTTTGTCAATGTTTCAGGTATATGATTCTCCACACTTGAAAGTACTGGTTGGTAAAAGAGTTCGAAGACGATTAGATGCAAAATCCATTGTTCAGTTGCTTGGGAGTTTCAATGCACCCCTTGGTAGGTTTCTGTTGTGAATTAAATTATCTCTCAAATTGTTTTCAATGGATGGATTTCCGCATTGGGGTTCTTTTAGTTTTCTTTTTTGGTTGAGGGTTTGAGCTTGTTTGACTGACTGGTGTCTTTTCTACTTTTTTTTTACTGGTGGACCATTGTAGCCTTAGAGGCTTCATGTTACTGTGGTCCTAATAGTAGTATTAAATCTGTAACACATTGTGCAAACATTCAGTGTTTGGAGTTAAATGTATGGTCTCCTGTTTCCTTCATTCTTTCCCTTTATCCTCAATTCTTTTGCATACTGAATTGCACGTTCATGTTTAAGGGACAGTTGCATATATAGAGCAGTCAAACCCATATCCACAAGATGGAAAGCAGGTTAGCATGATTTCTCTTAAATGATATTTTTTGTTTGTCTTAAATATGTAATCACTTCTTTTATATAGGTATTCCTTCTTATTTTTCTTGCAATGCTTTTTCATAAATTATGTCATGGTTGGTTCAATGTTATCTCCAACAAAGCAAAACCTTAGAAAAAAATCCAGTCCAAATATCCCATTGCCCCCATAACTCATCAAAAATTAGACTAGGAGCATTACAGCAGATTGTGATAACTTTTTCTTTGGTATAAATCATGACTACACTACTGGCAAGGCTGTTCAAACTCTTAAACTTGATTACAACTAGATTTGGTCATTGATATAGGAGATTACTAGCGGGCTAGTTAATCTTTAATAATAGAGCCCATTGTGCTTGCATATGACAAAGAAAAGAACATAATCATATTACAGACAAGAATCCCATGCTAACTACTACCCAAGTAAAGAAACAACTTCGCCTCTGCCTGAGTGGTTGTGCTAGACACTAAGCCAGATTGTGTGATGACCCAACTTGCACTTTAGCGAATGTTCAAAACATTAGAGTTGTTTGATGTCTGGAATCAGATTACCTCTACATTCACAAGGCAATGACCATAGATGTTTAGTGTGTTCCATTTTGGCCTGGAAAAATATTAAAAGTCAGGGATGTATTATCGATTGACATGGACATGTGTAAATGAGTTTGCAAGCATGAGGTGCCCAAATGGCAAATCCTGAAAATTAGACACATATGTAGACATGTAAACTAACTTGAGTTATATAAGACCATACAAAAACAACATAACTAGTAGTACAAAAACTCAGAAGTTATGTTTTTTGACCTATCTTTGGAAGGAGGAGCAAAACACTTCTAATATGAAAATAATACAATTATGTTGAATACAATCTCACAAAGGTGGCTGCCCCGAACTCTTTCTTAGATTTTCTTCTCAAACAGTTAGGCTCTCTCCCTAAGGGTGATGTTTGAAGTGATGGATAAGTGAATCAGTTGTGAAGCAAGGAAGGGGGGGTTTTTTAAATAGGCATCGAGGATAGGTGGACTTATAATGAAGGTTCTTTCATTTCCCTAGTGTAGGCTCATCACCTGAAGGTTTATCGGAAATTCCAACAGTCTTGCACCAAATCGACATTCATTTCACTGTATACTTAAATAATTAGATTCGTCCACCCTTTATATGAACCCCAACATCTTCCCTTGCCTCCTTTATTCATATTTCGATATCACAACCCATGGGTAGTACTTATCCCTTACAAACAAAGGACCTACAAGGAAAAGGTTTCCAGGTTTTCCAGATATTTATATATTCATACTTGTAGATAGAGACGGTTTTCAGCCTCTTATTTTAGTAATGAGCACTTCCACTGCATTGTTTGTTGATCAATTCCTGCTTTTTCTTGCAAGTTCTGGTTTGTTAACTGTCCTAGATGGCTGAGATCATTTCAGGAAAAGTGAATAAAAATAAAAAAGCGAAAAACTGTTCAAATTCTTTTGATTCTTGCTGAGAGTGCTTTTTCCATTTTTTTTTCCTGGATAAAGGGATGGTGGAGTGGAGGCTTTGGGTATGGACTATGGATTGGGATCTTAGTTGCCTTGGGGTTTTCTGTTGTTCCAGTATCATCTATTTCGTGGAAGAACAAATTTGAACTCACCGAGGCATGTCTACAAAGGTTGGTTGGTCCCAATTACTTTTGCTTTCACAGCCTATCTATATCAGTTTAATTGCCCAAAAATTTATTGATGCAACACTCTGAATTTGATTAATTACTTCATATTGAAGGTTCCTTATCCCAACACAATTTGAAGAACGGAAGTGGAAATAATTGGTTGGATATCATCCCTACACTTGAATGGTGGACCCTCTATTGCAACCATTCTATATTTAAAAAACTAGCAGACCTCGTATCCTTGTAAAACAAAAACTAGTAAACCTGGTAGGGGGCACCAGTAAAGTGGTTCCTTTGACCTTAGGCTATGTTTGGTTGGCAGGAAAAGGGGCTTGGGAATTGGAAATCATTTTTTTTCCATGTTTGGTAAGTCCAAGCTTGGGAAAATATTTCCTTGCTCATGAGAGAATAAGGGAGAAAATTAAAACCTTCATCCACCTTGGGTTTCATTTTCTGTTCCAGTGGGAAACCAAGACAAGCATTAATTAAATGAAGTTTGTTTCCAATCCTTGCACAAACCAAACATTGGAAAGGAAATAAAATGATATTTCCTAGTTACTTTCTCCAGCATTACCCATCCCTTGGGAAAATATATAGGGCTTGATTTCTCATCAATTCCTTTCCATGAACCAAACGAGACCTTAGTGTTTACTATGGGAATTTGTAAATAACTTATTAACTGCAGTCATACATAAGTACATGTGCCTATGTTGGTTCATAAACGCCTATTTATGTATTCCCCTGACCACATATATTGCTATTTGAAATTTTCTGTATCATCTTGTAGTTTTGTCCCATATAATTTGCTTCATGAGGCTCTCATGTTAATTAAACTACTAGTAATATCTAAATTGATGCATTGATAAACACTGTTCCATTGGTCATTTCACGTAGCATCTACGAATACTATCAACTTCTATTATAATTCATGAATGCTAAATTTTGACTTGACAGGATGATAGCCGGAGGGTTGCATCTGCATTATTTCCATCATTGAGTTCCGTGTTGAAAAGGAAAAAAGATCATGGTATTAATTTGATCGTCTTAATTACACACACACACATATATATTTCTTATTATTCTATGCCATTAAACAATAATAAAAAATAATCTAAATTGAGAAACTATGGATCACATATTATTTTGAAGTTTTGTAAGCCATTTAAAATTGGACAGGTGAGTTCCATCAAGGTTAACCTTCTAATCATATGATACTTTCTTCTTTCTATCTTTTTCTTCTAAACCTTGGCCCTATGTTTCTGTTGTAAGAGAGTTAAACCTAACCTTCCAATGTTGTGGAAAACCAGAATTTGAATTTTTTATTTCTTTCAATCACAAACTCCCCTTAAATATATTGCTTAAGTGAGAAATATTTTTAAAAAGTTCAAATATCATAAAATCCTAGCTCCATTGACTTTTAGCATTCTCCTGATTTTTCTTGATATTTTAGGGAGGGCTGAGGCACTTCTCATTGCTGCATATGGAAAAGGGCTAAAGATAAAGTCAGACCTATCATGCAACCCAGAGGTATTGGTTCCCCAGATTGGCAGATTGCCATAGCACCCTACTTTATCTCCATAGCTTGTTTTAGTTTCTTTTGGGCGTCTGTTTTGAAGAATATGAAAGATGTGTTGTAAGCCAAGGTGAGGAATGATCAATCCAGCAGCTTGAAAGACTCACTCTTCTTTAGCATCAGGATTTGTCTTAGATTCAGAAAATTGGCGTGACCATTTATTAGGTTTAATGTTACATGGGTCTAGGGAACTTTTAACCTTTATTTTAAATACCTAGACTGTATACATGGGTCTAGGGAACTTTTAACCTTTATTTTAAACCCATTCACGCTCTTCTTCTTGGGATCCCCTCAAAGGTTTGTTCAAACTCGACATTGATGATTTCAGGATAGGTCACAATGGCTTGGTTAGAGCCAAGTTTTGTAGATCAAAAGATTGCAATGGCAGTTGAATTATTGGCTTCATCTTCATGGCTAACCAAGGTTCTTGTAAATTGGTCTAAGGTAGATCCTGCTTTAGTTATCACTTTGTTCAGATGCACTGTGACTTGTTTATGAATGTAGAAGTTTTTTCCATAGGAGCTGGAGTAGTGACTTAATTTATGTGCATAAAGAAAAACTTAAGCTGCTGATAGTTTGGCTAAGTTCGGCCTTGACTGTTAATTAAGTTATAATGTGCTAGCGCATCTTCCTGAGAGCCTGTTGGTTCATTTTCATGATGGCTGGACAAGTATAAACAGACCTAGATATAGTTGTCTGTTTCCCTTGCCCCCATGCAAACGAAATTTTTTTTTGAACTGTAAAATTGCAATTTTCAAAACTCTTTGTAATGAAACTACGAGTGTTTGGTTGAGGAGTGCCTCATACAAAACCCTTTTATTTTTGGGGGATTCTTTATTATACTCAATACTAGGGCTTAAATTATAAAAATATCCTTTAAGTACCCAAAGTCCATTTACAATATAACAAAGAGGTGTTTAACTTTTTATAAATTACGAAACCGCCATCAATTTCTTAAAACAAATCCAACTCTAAAACCTCATAAAAAAAATATCAGAACACTCAATAGGGCATCAAAGTAATTTAGTAATCAAAATTAAATTTAATAGGGCCAACTGTCATTTTTTGGGTATTTTTTTAAGTTTATTTATATCATTAGTGCTAAGAATGGGTGTATGACTAAATATATCTTTATTTTTCTACACATCTTATATCATCAAACTTCAATTTGGTATTAAAAACTACATACAAACCTATGTGTTAAAACCATGGGAGAAATCAAAACTGAGGGCTCTATATGGTTCAAGCCAAACCAACATCCACAAAGCCTTCTCTTTAGATTCCAAGATAGAAACAAAAAAAATAAAAAATAAAAAGAGATATAGATAAAGAAAGAAGCTTCGTAGGATTTCAGACTTGCTTTTACTCCTGAACCCACAGCATACATCTCTCTCAAACCTTACAAGACGAGAGCCCAAACTCAAACGTAGAGAGAGACTTTGCGGAATGACGCAGATACCTATCCTTTTAAACAGATGATCCAACAAATATACACAATTTGAGTTGAGTGCGGTGTATTATGGAGGAAGTAAAAGTAACACGGTGGAAAATGACATTTACTTGTAAATTAGTACTCTTAAGTTAACATCCCCATGATACATTGACAATATATGTGAAAAAATCTCCCTCCCCCCTTCCTAACTTCAGCAAAAAAATCCTAAAACAAATTTTTTTTATTTTTTATATATAAGCGATATTCTAATTTAATCTAATCTAAACTAAAGGGAGGGGAATTCAAACTTGAGTGCAAAGCGAGTAACACATCCGTCCTAACCAACTTGTTTTAGTTACACATGAAGTCATTTAGCTAACAAAGCCAACCTTTTACCTTCCACCTTTCCAAGACCGTGACTACTTCAACGGGCTTGTTAGAAGTCAGACCATGGATTGAATTGAACCCACTCGCAGAATACGAAATACCCCTAAACAATCACTTTTGCTTGTACTTTGCAACTTCCACTGTCATCGTCAAGTGTGAGCCATAAGAAAGGTTCCCTCTGCCTGACTGTTCAAAGATAAATTCGAGTACAAAAGCTATGTAGAGCAATTGCGTGTGTACAAAATGGATGCATGTAGAGGCAGTAAATATTGAAACCACTAAAGTTCCACACTTCACACAACCCAGTCGAGCTAAAGAAACAATAAAATCGGCAGCTTCGTTAGCCAGCCAGCTGGTGTGGTCCAACACCAGCTTAAACCACGGCTCCATATTTTCACAAGGGGAGAGATTTCCCGGTCGTCGCACGAATGGGACAAAATGAGATCAATAGAATCAAATTCTACAACTTTGAGCCTAAAACGATTCATCTGAGCCAATCTTGTATACCCCTTTCCAACTGCAAACGCTTCAGCAACCAAGGAGAGGACCAAGACAATGACAAAATGTACAATAGTCAAAACTCTAAAGCTCTGAACATGAAGGATATTTGCTAGCCAAGCAATTTCCCTAGCCATTAGAGTTTTCAATGATCAGTGACAGTGTGATATCATCAAAGGAAAAGTCAAACATATACTAAACTATAACTTTAAATCTGTGCACAACGACCTTTGCAATTAACAGATAACAAAAACCCAAAGGATAAAAATATGTCAAAGAAATGCACACTACAAAACAAAATTATGACTTTTCAAAAATCATCAACTGGATTAAGGTACCACAGGCCATATGGAGTTTACCACAGCAGTTACTTCCCTCTAATTAAACCTCAGTTCAAATCATTAACAAATTGTGTATCCCAGTTATCTTAAAATCTATTTTCACATGATATTGGTACATTCAAAGTTGGGATTCATGGTAGAGAGATATTGAACTGCAAACCCCATCCGACCCTATTGGAAGGGAAGTTTTATACTAAAGGAAACTGAAAATGCAAAATCCAGACCTACAGTAACCTCTCAAAGAAGCAAAATACAGAATGAAAACTATCCATTTCTGGTTCAACATAAAAAGAAAAGAACACCTGAATCTCTCTTTCTATTTGTGTTGACGATAAAATGTGAACGCAGTAGTTACTCATCCTGTTTTTTAAGGGTCACCTCAAAGATGACTCCTTTGTGATTTCCCACGACAGATCGAGTCCCAACTAATTCATTTATCTGCATCCCACACCGCACAGCCTCACTGATGACCAGCGAATCCATGCTACAGGGGGAGAAAAATGCAATTGCATAAGAGAGGGAAGGGAATTATAACAACAATAATTAAAAGGAACACTATACACAGGGAACTCTAGCAAGCTGAAAAATTAAGTCCTGATATCAAAGCAGTAATGAAACTTCTTCACATGATAAAATTTTGAACTACACCAAAGCTTGAATTCTAGGTGAATTTGTTAAGAGGAGTAACAAATGGGTGTAAGGCACATTAAAATGATGAAATGCTGAAGATTTATGGCTTTTATTCCGACTCTAATGGGTATAGAATATATAGGACATAAGCACCAAAAGCAAAACCATAACATATTTTGCAATATGCAAGCAAGAGGTAGAAGCGCCAAAAAATCTGGGTTTTTATAGCCTGATGACGGGATTATGACTAAAAAAATTAACTGATAAAGGGATCTTATGCCATTCCCAGCTCACCGCTTCGTCAACACATACAACACTAATCCAACACAATTTCCTCTTTGAAAATTATCAATTTAAGATTACCAGTGGTATTGATTCACTTACATTCAGCACTAAATTAAACAAGAACTTTCCAGAATAAAATACTTTTGAATCATTAGCTATGGATGCAGGAAATGGTATCTACACTGTGCAAGGGTAAGAATGATTAATCACACTACAGCAACAGTTATTTAAGTTATACAATCATATAACTGTTGCTATAGGAATTATATTCAATAAAGTCCTTTCCGAAAAATGTGAAGAAAATAGAAAGTAAGAACAAGTTGTGTCTTACATCTTAGTTCGGGATACGTAGGCTAGTATGAATTTGCACTGCCCTTCCTTTCTATTTCGAAGAAGTTTTTCCACAGTATCGAAAAGCAAACAAATGCTTGACTGTTGAAAACGTATGCATTGTCAAGGGCTTTTTCTTTTCTTTTTCAAACATGCTCGAAAAAGGGGAATTCAATGGTGGGATGCAATGTATGTCTACTTATTTCATATAAAAGAAATATTATAGGGAAAAGTTCAATGAAATTCACCCATGTTATTTGTTAATTGTTTCAATTTGATCCATGCATTTCTAACTTGAACAATGTCAACCTTGCAGTTTTGTGTTTGTCTCAACCTCCGGTCCATGTGATGCTGATGGAAAGCAGGTCACATACTGGACATATGAGCAAAGGCCAGAAGTGGCATCACTTTCGGCTATTTTTTATAAAAAAACTTACAAAGTTCTCTATCTATGTTCCGCTTCTCTCTCTCATTCTCTCTAAACTTTCTTTAACAAACTACATACATGAAAAGCTAACTTTACCCAAGATTACGTAATGCAAATGCAGCACCTCCTCATCTATGAGTGTTTGACCATGGGCCTATAACCGAACCGTGAACAGATAACAAAACGACAATCAATTAAGAGGTGAAAACAGAGGCTACAGAAACGTGATATTAAATGCATCAGTTTTGGGCTCTATCATGTCAATGTATGGTCTAACTATAGAACATGGACTATCAAACCGAAAAGGTGCAAACATGTGCCAAAAAGAAAAAGAAAAAACAAGGTCCTTCAAATGCAGGTGCACTCTTACTATACCAGCAATTAATATATTCATGTTGCTTAACTTAAAGGCAAAAATAACTATTGTGGATATATATGTCAGCTCCAAGAATCAAATCAATTCCATCTGAATACGTTTGTAAAATGTGGCCGATCTGCTCAGAATTTCCCCATTCTAGTTTCTCAGCTACTAATCCTGCATATACATGATTAAAATAAATTATCAACGAAGTTCACTACACATCCTCTATTTTCAGATTTTTCTCTCACCAGAACAGCATTTAGAGTTCTCAGAAGATGCATGCAGCTCTATATTTTTCTTCAGGATCTGAGACAAAACATAAAACAGTCAAATAACTAGGAGACTATAGATGACTTATCAAATCTCCTGGCATTACATTTTAATACCATGACCTTGCCTTGAGAACTTCCTCATTATGATCTGTTAATACAACTTTGCTACAAAATCTGCTGCAAAGTATTCCAGTAATACCTGCAAATTAGAAAAATCAAGCTACAGAACCAGCCTCAAAATCACACACCATATACACACACAAACACATAGAGGTCGTCTGTTTTTTCTTAACTAACGGAAAAAAAACACATGTTTCATAACTTTTCAATAAGATGTCAATAGTCTATCAATAACATTTCAAACCTATCAATATTTTGTCAATAGTCTTCAGTAATTTTCACTTAAAACACATTGACAAATTATTCACTATTCCAATGTTACCTTACATATGATTTTTTTCCCTCAAGTTAAGTAGGAGTGTGATGCCCTCTCTACAAGCGCCCAAACGTGCACAGACATGCAGACACACAAACACGCAGACACACGCAAATGCGCACACACACACACATGCAGACGCACACACGCACACGCACAGAGACATGCACACACTGAGTTAAGCTAAATACAATTACAAAGCCAGATGAATCAACTGAAACTAAATTGTGCGCATGCATTCCACATATTAACCTTGCTCCAGCACCCTCAAGTACCAGGTGCTTTTTGTTTGACCTCTTATTTTCCTAAGTCACTCAACATAATCTGAGCTATGTATTTTTCTTTGTTAGTAATCAGTACTTTCAGCCTCTACTCATCTCATGCATTTTTAATGTTGAAGTAAAAGATTACCTATAGGGAAAAGGAAGGAAATTCTTAGAGAGTACATACCAACCCCAGAGCCTAATTCCAGAACAGTGCATCCTTGCAGAAGCTCTGCATTCTTTGAAAGGTAATCATTCAACAGCATTGCCCCAGGCCAAACCAGTTGCCCAGTCAGATCAAAATCAGCTGTTTCAAGAATAGTTAGAACTACAACCTGGAAGACTAAATAAATAAACAAATAAACAAATAACCAAAGGAAATCACAAGTAGTTTGCAATTTAATATGATGCCCATATTATTAGTCAGATCAAAATCAGCTGTTTCAAGAATAGTTAGAACTACAACCTGGAAGACTAAATAAATAAACAAATAAACAAATAACCAAAGGAAATCACAAGTAGTTTGCAATTTAATATGATGCCCATATTATTTGAACAATAGAAAAAGATATGGGAAAGACATGCTTCACAAGATAAATTTCATGTTCGTGGCATATTTAAAGCATGCATCATGTATCACAGAACCTCGAATGTATGACTGAAGGAATTACTTCAAATTTCCGCTTTAAATTTTCAGAAAACTAAGAAATAAGAACTGAAGAAAGATACTCGTTGACACCTTAGAAAATTCTATTATACTGCACTAAGCTGTCAACAAGATCGACTACCCTTCAATTTATTTTCTTCAGTGAGAAATGGCAGCAGCAAATACTTATGCATCCAAATGAATAGTAACAGCAGCTGATTAACGTACACAGAAGTTACATGGTGAATAACGCATTCAAACTTTCTGCAGGCAGAAATAAAATACGTGCTCAAGTTGAAACTACTATTGTTTGTTAGGAAAATTTGTAGTTAATAACATTTATCTCCATACAATGCAAATTTTCTTTTCACCTAGCAATCAAGATTTTATTTAATTTTGATGCTTAATTAGAGTATGAGATACTAAGTAGGTGATGGTGAACTCTTACAGGGGCCAGTCAGTTATGCCAGGTTTGGTGATTACTAAACCTTCCACCGTTGAGCTGTAAACAAAGTTTAAAGTAATAGCTTCATTCAGATTAGACTCTTCTCAAGTTTTGAGGATCCAATAGAGAACGATTCATAACCCTTATTAGTTAAGGTTTTTTCAGCTGTGTAAAGTTCAGTTGCAAGAATAATAAAGGGTAATATATAAGAGTGCACTAATTACATGAACGGTTCATATTGTAAATCTATATAACTAACCAAAAAAAGAAAAAAAGAATGCTGCTATTTCCACCCCCCGTCCCATTTCCCCACCCACCTTATCTTCAGACCCACCATGTAAATTTGAAAAAACACGATCCTATCTTTCCACCCACCATTATTCCTAAAATACCCTTTAATTATCAATTCAAGCAAATTCTCTTTGCTAATTATTAGTAATTGAGATATGGAGAGGATCAAGTTGTGTTTGATGGACCGGATAAATGTTTTAGTCTAATATTTTGATTTTCTGGATCTTTTAGCTTTTTATTCTCTACCCTGTAGCTTCTTCAAATATTCTAGATATATATACAAGAAGGAAAAAAAAACGTGTTAATGTTTAGTCTTGTTTATGCACAAGATGTTGCACAGTTTATCCAAACATCCACGTGTTGTTTTCAAGGAGGCCAACATCAAATTGTTCTACAGGAAGTTGATAAAGCTACATTTGAGTCTAGATGGTCTAATGTAGTGCACAAGTACATTCTGAGATGGTAGAATTTAAATTTTCCTTGAACTAAGTTCTTTATGTTTCATTAAAATTTCTTCATCATCGATGTGCCGTCATATGCTAGAAAGCTAAACATTAACACCTGACCTCTTTGTCTCGAATCACCTTATAAATATGGAATCTTGAGCAACTGAGTCATACGCTTTTTTTATTTTTTTGTTAAACAGTAGAATAGGTCGGTTACCTGAGTTGAGGTTTTTTCCCTAAGTACTTAGTAATTTTACAAAGGGGTAAATTTGTCTTATATTTTTTTAAGATAAGGTGGGTGGGGAAATAGGACATGTGGATGGAAATAGCAGCACTAAAAAAAATCATGGTTTCTGAACTGTCCTGGTTTCTTTAAGACGTGCACAACACAAGCAATACAGTGTCGCATTTTCAGAAGACCATTGTTTGATGGGTAAGTTGGCTGCAATATGCCAAAACTTCAGTTTCAATCTAAAAATTGTATGACAGAAAATTGTTTGAGTTGCTGGGTCACAATCAAAATGGAAGCAAAAAATTATAATTGAAACATTAGAGAGAGAGAGAGAGAGAGAGAGAGAGAGAGAGAGAGAGAGAATCCACTTATACTCATGTGCAATTGACTTATATGGGTTCATGCTTTCATTATTTTCAGTTAAAATGGAAAACTAAACATAGAACAAACTTACTTGAAGCAGACTGGAGGCAAAGCAGCTCAATAACTTGAGACCCAAATGTGAAAGTGGTCAGCTGGTAACTGCACCATTGATTAACCATTGCGAATTGAATTATCAAGCTTTTTATATTTTAACAATAATATTATTATTATTTTCACAAACAAAATCACAAAAATTGTACAGAAATAAAAAAGGAAATAACCACAAAACTTAAAACGACTGTATCTTCCTCTTACTTGTCATCGATGAAGAAAGATTCATCTAAGCAAACTATGTCCTCTTCTTCTCCTTCTCCTTCCATTTGCAGCATCCGCTATAGAAATTTTCTTTCCTCTTCTTCCACTCTAACTCTGCTCCTAGGCGCCGCTTTTTCTGTCGCTCACTGGACTGGACATGGACCCGAGACTCTACAGAGAGAGGAGGTATTGGGCCTCTGGGTAAAGTTTTGGTGCTCAAGTATTTTCCCTCCGAGTTTTTTTATCCTCTTTTTCAATAATATAAGTGATGTACTAAACTACAAGGGGATACAAAAAAATTAAAAAAAAAATTAAAAACTATAAGAAAACGAGGTTTCTCATACACACAAGGTGTCATGAGAATTTGAACTCGTCTATAAGTTAAAGCCATTTATGCCACAATGACAATTTATTTACCTCTTGATCAAGGGCAGAATTAGCCCAAGGGTTACTCTGGGCTATAGCCTAGGGAAGGTTTTGGGGAAAAAATCATTAAACATATATAGCCTAATATTTTAAACCAAAAATAAATAAAAATATATATATAATTGCATATCCTACCACACCAATAGGCATAGTCAAAGATCTTTCACATTGTATTTGGTGTCAAAGTTTGTCCCAAACATAAATTTTAATCCTTTTTCATTAACGTATCTCCATAAAATAAGCATTTTTCTAAATAAAATTCATCCTTTCGTCAATAATATGGCTCTAATTCCATTTTTTTCTTGTGTTTAGAACTAGCGTGATTTATATGATTTAATGTATACTTTTATTTCTAGAAAAACTATAGAAATTGTTAGTACAAAAAAAATTATCGTTATATTTTAAGCTAATAACTTTAGCTAGACCACCCATTAAAAAATTCTTGGTTCCACCCTCACTCCTTAATGGTTGTAGATGTGGTTGATATTGTACACAGCCCGTTAACATGACACAAATTCATACGAAAATTTCAGTATTCAGGTATGAGTTATCGGGTTGTGTTGATAACGGATCATGTTGTGTCAATTAGCGAATACCCGTTAACCCGTTAAGAGCAGGAGAATTTTTGTAAATTTGTATCTCTTTCATTTTTCTCCTTCTCTTTCTTATCTTTCGTCTCTTCCCCCCTTATTCCCTCGACTCTTTCTCTCCTCCAACTCTCTCTCCCTCTCTCTCTTTCACTCTCACAGTGCCACCCTCTCTCTCCTCCTCCTTTACCACTCAGCCAAATTGAAATCTGCTCAATTTGGCTTCAAGGTTGTAGTTTAGTTACAAACAATATTGTAGAGTTTTTTAAATCCTTCATGGATTAATCAAATTAAGTTAAATGACTTACTTTTCAGTTGTTACGTTCTAATCATATATGTGTGGGAGCAAATATTCCAGTTTCCAATCACAAGGCGCCACGTGGACAAGAAGAAAATCATCTAGGTCATTAATTGGACCCATTTATTTGGCCAATTAATTGAGACCAAAAATAGGGATATTATCTTAAATATGAGATATTATCTTTATTTGGGAATATAATCACCAATTAAAGATATACAAATTTATAAATAAACCCAATCCTAGACATGTATTTATAAAAAAACCCAAGCACTATTTAAACATAGAAACACACCCAAAATCAACTCCAAAGTCAACTTTTTGGGTGTGTTTATAAATGGGTTTTGAGTGTGTGTAATGATAGGTTTTGGGTGTGTTTATATGTTTAAATAGTGCTTGGGTTTTTTTATAATTTCAACCCCCATTTTGGGTGTTTTAGTGAAACTCCCTTAAAGATAATATCACAAATTTGAGATATTATCTTATTTTGGGGATATTGTCATCAGGTAGGGATTTAATCCTAATCAAAATCCCTAATTGAATCAATCTCTCCATTTAAGGGAGACAAGATATCTTCCTTCCAAATAGGAATTATTCTTTGAAAAGCCCTAGATGGCTAGAGCCATATAAATACATAGCCACATTCAACAAATGAGGTCATTCTAAACCTAGCTCTAAAAACCTCTCTCTCTCTCTCTCTCTCTCTCTCTCTCTCTCTCTCTCTCTAATCGTCGAACACACCCTAGCTGCTAGCCACTCCCTTATTCATCTCTCCCACATGGCTAAGTGCCACCACACACGGCTCTGACAACTCGGATTTCCTCGTGAGAGAAAACTCTGTCCAGTTTAGCTATTGCCGCATCTTTTCTCAAAGATCCAATTGAACTAACTTAGGCATCAGAGGGCCTTTGGCCAACACCCTCTAGGTGTGGTCATTTACTCTTGTTTGTTTCGCAGGAACCGAGGAAGAGAAAGAAGGAAGCTCGAAGGGTGAAGAATCTACATGCGAATCTCCCGTGAGAAATTTGCACAAACATTTTGGTGCTTTCATTAAGAGCACGAGTTATACTCACGTGTGCTTTTGAATCAAAGGAATTCATTTACTCATTTTCATCGCTTAACCAAAGCCTTCCAAACAACCATGTTTGGAGGCAAAACGCAAGAGAACCAAGGCTTCTGTCATGACACAATTCGTGACGGGCCCAAGCTATCCATCCCACGACCTCACAGACGAGGCCGCAGCTCTGCCTCCCGACACTATACCTGAGAGCACCGCACCAATTGCTCCACCGCTTGGCCTCATGGTCCATAGTGGGACCTCCCACCATGGCTATTTAGTCTTCGCCACAAGTCACGGCTTGGTTTTGGAGCAAGTGCTTTCGTTTCCCTCTTTACCATCATGCTCAACATACACTCCCGTATGCATCTCCAACGAAACCTTAGCCCATGTGCAATTGGACTCCACACAATTCTCTCTTCATGATCCACGAAGTCAAGCAGACCTCAGTCTTAGAGTTGACCAGTTAACTCAAAGAGTGAATGACCAAAACAACTTAGTTGGATAGCTCCTCAACCAGATTGACTTGGTTCAAGACCTTGGCCTTGGACCACAAGGAGAAGAGAGAAGGATGGACGAACGCATTTATCGGCAGTTCGAGAGGTCCAATGTAGGTCGAGCAGGAGCAAGCAGATAAGGAGAATGACAAGAGCTTATCACTTAGCGTGTCGGCATGTCGCAAGCTTCGGTGAGCCTAGCTCAAAGTAGATCGAGTCTCCAATCGAGATTAAGTCCGAGGATCAATGTGCATAAGAGGTTGGCCTCACGATCCGATGTTCACGCTCTTCTGGGCCCATAAAGCCTTCACGCGAGACTAGGGCCCTAAGGAGATCAGCCTCACAATCATCCCTATGAAGTACAAGAAGAAAGACGCCCACCTGCTCGGTCCCAAGAAGCTAACTCACGACGATAAGCTACGGAGGTTCCCTCGCAAGCTCAGTCCTTTAACATACCCCGCAGGCAAGACAGTTGAGGAGATATGCTCCGTAGAGACAACGAGGAGGTAAACCAATGACACTCGAATCATGGAGGACACCAATGTGAATTGCAGGCCATGCACACACAAGATGTCGAGAAGCTAGTAAATGACCGACTTCAAGACTTGAAGATTGGAGGAGATTTTGAAGATGCTCTGCGCAAGGAGGTGGACCAAGTGAACTTCTTACCATTCACCACCCAGAACGAGTAGACGGCTCCACGAAAGCAATTTTCAACACCTTCTTTCACACACTTCAAAGGGAATTTCGATCCTGAGAGCCATCTAAAGCACTTCAAAAGTGTTATGATTCTTTACAATGTCGAACACGTGCTAATATGCAAGGTTTTTGCAATGACCTTACAAGGAGCAGCCTAGGATTGGTTTCATACACTGCCATATGGTTTGATCAGCAGCTTCAAGGAACTAACTTTCATAATCACCAAGGAGTACACTTCTTATCGGATGATCAAGAAGACCCTTGACCACCTGTTCAACCTATGCAAGAAGCATGATGAGTCCCTCCGAGACTACATAAAAAGAACCCTGACCACCTATTCTCTTATGGGGAGAGCCGAGTGGCCGAAACTGTGTGTTGTGGCCAGAGCTGTGTGGGAGAGAGGAGAGAGAGAGTGGCGGCAAGAGAGGGTTTTAGGATTCAAAAAGAATTACCTTGAATGCCTTGTGTAGCCATGTATTTATAAGCTCCTTGTATGCTAGGGTTTTGAGAGAAGAATCCTTATTTGGTCAAGATTATTCTTCCCCAAAAAGATGATAGGAATTAATCCAAGAGATTTGGTGGAAATTGGTTCCTTGATTTAGGAAGATATTCCTCTATTAAATCAAAAATAATTTCTCTAATTAAATAGGATTGAATTAGGGTAATTAGTTGACCGAAGGAATATTCCTTTTTCACATGTCATCTTCTTATTGGCAGACGAAATATGTGTTCCCATAGTGACAATGGCATGTAAGTGCTTAATATGTATTTTGCCAACATGGCTTTCACATAAAACACCATAAAGTATCATTTTGTTCAGCAACAAGTATTCTTGGGGCTTGGAATTGTTAATTATGTGAATGGGGGTCTTAGTTTTGGTTCAATAAGCTTAAAGGCTTGTCTTAGCTAGGGAGAGCTTTGTTGGGTTTTTCGCTTCATGGGAATTAATTTAATTAGTTTTAAAGCCATGTATGGTTGATGGGGTACATCATAGAATGAATTTGAGTGAGTGGAGGCAGGCATAAATGGTAGAAAAATTGAGTTGAAAAAATCAGAGGGTATTGAAATTTTCAGTTGCAATTTTAGTCTAGGTTCCCTCAAAATTTTCCGTTATTATACAATATCTTTTTCTAAAGTTTGAGTTTTTAAGTTTGGCTCTACTATATGCTTATGGATGCCTGTGATCTCAATTATTTAGTTTTATAGTTTCCCATGTTCTTGCAAGAATCCCTTAATCATGAATTATTTTTCTCCTCATAGCTTGCTCATCATGTTTTGCAGTGGCCAACCTGGGAAAGAATGGAAGCAACCAACAAAAGGTGATCATTGATAGGTGTTTAACGAGTCTTTTAGTACTTACACTTTGGATTTTTAAGGTTTTGACTGTTTTGAGATTTACTTTCAATTTGGTTTTGAATTCATCAATTGCAGTGTTGTTTCCTTAGTTTTTACTTTTTACACATGTATTATGATTAACAATCTACATTGTGCCATCAAGTTTTGTAGACCAAATGTTAATTATATCACAATGTCTGAGAATACTTATCATTTTGGGGAAATAAAAATTTGACGTATAATCAAACAAATACTTCATGTAAACAATATATCTGTTGAATTAACGTTGCACCAACCCAAATTATAAGTTAGGTTCCAGATAACTTTGGCCATTTTGGGAGTAGAGAGAAAAGAGGGTGAGAAAGAAAGGAGGGGATCAATCCTTGGCCAGCGATGAGAAGATTGGGTTGCCGCCAGTGCGGTAGGCTAGTTGGGTGATTAAAAAAAAATATAGAATTTTATTTAAAAAAGTTTAGGCTTGTTTTTTGATATAACCCCTAAAAAGCGTATTTGAGTCTCACCTTACCAACTAAAACTCATTTTGTCTCACTTTACCCCATTTTTCCCAAAATATTAATTAAATATTAAAAATTAAAATCAGATGAAATAATTAAAAACATAAATAAATAAAAAAAAAAAAAAAAAAAAAAAAAAAAAAAAATTAATTATTTAGAAAAAAAGAAGAATAAAAAAAAAAACAACAAAATCATCCCTGAACCTAGCGGTGGGCATGGTCCGAATTGGTTAGGTTTTACTCTCAAACCATAGTTGAACCAATAAGAAAATAATAGTCCGGTTTGGTTCAGATTAGCATAAAACCATAATGAAAACCGAACCAATCCAAACCACTCATAATCAGTTTGGTTTGGATTGGTTCAGCCAGTTTGTGCCTAACACAAAACCATGTATTTTTCAACTTGCTCTTACATTATAATGCTAACATTTTGCCATTATATCATTCCATGAAAGGCTAACACAACAACATTCCATTTAATCAAAGGCTGTCCAGTTTTCAGAATGCATCTAATTTCACAATTTCCATCAAAACAAACATTCTAAAGTTCATAAGAAATGAATACAAAATGATAAAACTAAAAAATGAAAGACTGCCCAAAATACAAGTTCATAATTTCCATTCAATCAAAGGTTGTCCATTTTCCAACATGCATCTAAGTTGTCAATTTCCATTAAAACAAACATTCTGAAGTTCATAAGAAATGAATACAAGATGATAAAACTAAAAAATGAAGGGCTGCCCAAAATACAAGTTTATAATTTCCATTTAATCAAAGGCTGCCCAGTTTCCAGCATGTCCCCATACTGCACATAAAAGCAGTTTCAATCAACACAAATTTTAGGATAAAAGATTATCAAAATAAGAAATGAATAAGAAAATTACCATAACTACAAGGTTGTGTATCAATAGAGAATCAATCAATGAAAATGTGCACAGGCGCATTAGCATTTGATCTCCGCATTTCTATATAAGAAATACACATAATCATATATTTAGCTTTAGCAGAATAAAACTCCCACGTTATAAGCAATTAATCGAGAAAAATATATATATCTGACTCAATGGTTTCATAAAACTCCATCTCCTCAATGGTGGGCTCAACTTTTAAAGATATTGAATTGGACTTCAACCAATTTTTTGTACAAATTAAAGTCTCAACCATAGCAGGACTCAAGGAACTGCGAAATGAGTTAATTGTTCTCCCTCCCGTGCTAAAGTAGATTTTCAGGCAACTGTAGAGACTGGAATTGCAAGCACATCTCTTGCAATGGTTGCTAAAACTGGATATTTACAAGCATTCACCCTCCACCAATTTAAAATATCAAAATGTTCAATATCTTGTTCTGCATCATATGACAAATATCTATCTATCTCATGAGATAGAACCACTGCCTCTTTATCTTCTTGTCTCTTTTTCCACTTTTCCTTCATAGCCTTTTTCCTATCACCTCCAAAGCTTAAGGAGCTAGAACTATCAGTCACTAAGCTGCTGCCAATACTTGAAGATGTAGTAGAAATACTAAAACTTTGAGTTTGAATACTAACGAAACTTGCCTTGTACAACCTATAAAGTTTAAACAAAAGATCCCTCATACCAACTGTCTTCTCGGCAACATAAGCATTATTTTGCACATACAAATCAGCAATATGCATTGATAAATTGTGCAATTTATACCTAGGATCAAGAACAACAGCTATCAACAAGAATTGGTTCACACTATCAAGTGATCCCCAATACTTGTCATATTTCAATTTCATATTTTGAGCCATGTTAGATGGAAGAGCATTGCCTACTACACTCAATTCTGCCAATTCATAATCAATTGCAAATAAGTCATGGAAAGTAGTATGGGTTGTTGTGGGAAACGAATTTTAGCAAAACCCTAGATCAAATATTTCCTTCAATTTGGGGATTATTTGGCCTCATTAGGAGTTATTTAATTCAATTGGCAATTATTTGATTCTTACCCTAATTAAGAATTTGATTTAAATGAAATCCCTAATTACATCAATCTCTCCAAATTGGGGAAGAATAATTCCTTTCCAATATGTGGAATTATTCTTCCGAAACCCTAGCCTTCGAGGCTCCTATAAATGCATGGCTACACCAAGGGTTAAGGTACATCTAAACTTATGTCTCAAAATACTGCAGAAAACCTCCCTCACAAACCCTAGTTGCCATAACTTTTTCTCTCTCTCACACAAGGCTCCAGCCACCATACATGGCTCTGGCCACCCGGTTCACACCATACATACATCTTCGTACCCTTTTGTTAGCTATTGTTTTCCTACAAACACTCGAACTAACTTAGGCATCGTAGGGCCTTTGGCCAACACCCCCGAGTGTTTGGCAGGGAGGAAGAGAATCGAAGAGGAAGACGGAATCTTAAATGACTATTCTCGTGGGATGAAAATTGGTCCCAAAAATTAGTGCTTTCATTGAGAGCACGAGTTATACTCAACGCGTGTGAGAGGAATCCATTCATCCTATTTTTCAATCCAACGAAGCCTTCCAAACAACCGTGGTTGGAAGCAAACGCCCTAGTAGCAAAACCACCATAATGGGGCACTCCGAGACGGCCTAAATGTCGCTGCCACCATAAGGGGCAGCGGCTGTACCTATTTTGCAGCATCCTCTGGCGGCTGCAATGCATTTCAACAACCTCCCATGGCTACCGACACATCGCATCAACCTCCCGTGGTTGCCCATACCTTGCCGTAGACTCCAGAAGCCTTAGAATGGCGACCAATGGCCGCTAGAACGGCCATACATGCGGCTGGTATTCCTGCACTTCTTTTTGCAGTGCCAAACCGTGGCCCTATGGCCTTCTCCACCTTGCAGCAGCAAGGACCAAGCGACGGTGCCGTTATGGAGAAAATTTGGACGTTCCCTCCTTTGCAACCATACTTGACGTAGGCACCCGTGTGCACATCTAATGGAGCCCTAGCCCATATGCCATTGGGCCCGATCCACACCTTTCTTCCAGACCTACGCAATTAAATGGGCCTTAACTCATGAGTCGATCAACTCACACTAAGGGTAGATGACCAAAACAATCTAATTGGCCAGCTACTCAAGCAGATCAACTTGAATCAAGGCCCTGACCTTGGATCCCGTGATGAGGAAAGAGGGATCCATGAGCATATCAGGGAGCATTTCGAGAGATCCCAGACTAGTCAGACATAAATAAATGGGCAAGGGAGAAAACGAGATCGTGCCAAAGAAACGCAGACATCTGCAAGCCGTACTATGAGCCAGTCGACTATCCATTCAAGGTTAGGTCAAAGACTTGTTCCACACCTTATCATATGGGTCGATCAGTAGCTTCAAGGAGTTAACTTACATCTTCACTAAAAAATACAATTCTTACTGGACGATCAAGAACCCTGACTACCTGTACAATCTGTACAAGAAGTCCAATGAATCTTTTCGAGATTACATCAAAACATTCAAAGCAAAAAAGACCAACATTGTAAGATGCGATGACTGAATCTTGTCCTTTGCTTTCAAGAAAGGTCTTCCAGCTGAGCACGACTTATACTTCGAGCTGACTATCACTCCCAACTAGACTCTGGCAGAGGTCTTCACGACTGCGGAACTCTACGCACTCTAGGATGACAATCGAATCGCCACGAAGAGTCTACCAAGTAGGAAGATCCGCCAATCAAGCAGGCAGGTCAAAGAAGCGACCAGTTTAGTAGCAGGAACAAAGACAAATGCAAGTCGTGCCCTCAAGAAGACGCTACGCTACGCTGAGCATGACTTCCAGCAATCAACTGCTAAGCTTCATGGACACCTACTCCGGCTACAATCAAATCATGATGCATGAAGACGACAAAGAAAATACCTCCTTCATGATTGAATGAGGTACATACTGCTACAAAGTCATGCTCCTTGGGCTGAAGAACACCGGAGCAACCTACTAAAGGCTAGTGAACAAAATTTTCAAAAAGCAAATCGGCAAGACTATGGAGGTCTACGTAGACGACATGCTAGTCAAAGCTCCCTAATGAGCAGACCACGTCAAAAACCTTGCCAAAGCATTCAGCCTACTCCGAAAATACAACATGAAGTTGAACCCGAGCAAATGCATATTTGGAGTCTTATCCGGTTGATTCCTGGGATATTTGGTGACCCAAAGAGAAATTGAGGAACTTCCAAATCAAATCAAAGCCATACTCAATATGAAGTCGCCTGCCACAACCAAGGAGATACAAAGTCTAACAAGTAGAGCAACAGCTCTCAACCGATTCATCTCGAAATCTATTGACAAATGCAGACCATTCTTCAAAGCCTTGAAGAAAGGGCAAAGGACAAGTGGGACGAAAAGTGCGAAGTGGCCTTTCAGAGCTTGTTCATCTACCAGGAGAAGTGGACTTTGCCTCCCTTACTCTCAAAATCGATACCAGGCGAAGACTTGTTCATCTACCTAGCGGTGTCTGACTCAGCTTTCAACTCAGCTCTAATCCGAGAAGAGTTGGGGGCATAACATCTGGTATTCTACACTTCAAAAGCTCTTCTCGAGGCAGCAACTCGCTATTTGAAAATGAAGAGACTCATTTTTTCGCTTGTAGTTTCTGCAAGAAAACTAAAGCCCTACTATCAAGCTCATTGGATAATTGTTATGATAGAATTCTCCTTGAGATTGATCCTTCACAGCCCCGATGCCTTTCAGCGGCTCATGAAATGGGTCATCGAACTCAGTTAATACGACCTCCTCTACCGGTCGAAGACTGCTATTAAAGCATAAGCTTTAACAAATTTTGTTGTAGAGTTTACTTTGATAGCCGAAGAAGAGAAGTTGGTCACGAAAAACAAGAAAAATTGGAGAGCAGACGATGCCTCCCCTGTCGATCCAAACCTGCCAAACAACATGTGGTAGCTGCGCGTAGAAGGACCATCAAATTATAAGAGAGCGGCAGCATGTGTAGTCATAATCACCCCAGACGGAACTTTGTTGGAACAAGCCATCACACTAAGCTTTCCTGCTTCAAACAACATGGCAGAATACTAGGCATTGCTCGCGGGACTATGCCTAGCAAAAGAACTGTCAATCAAAAGATTGGCCATCTACTCAGACTCCTAGCTGATCACGAATCAAGTCTCAGGCGAGTACATGGCAAAACATCCAAGAATGATCCAGTATCTCGACAAAGTCCATGGACTTTTAAAATAATTCCTTACTTTCACCATCCAACAAGTTCCACGGGCAGAGAACATGCATGCACATGCATTGACAAGCTTAGGATCAGTGCTAGATATCTAATTCAGACGCTCCATCCTGGTCGAACAGCTTAACTGACCAAGCATTGACGAAATAGAGCCGATCGACACAATGCAGATTGACGAAGACCCCATTTGGGAAGAACTCATCGACTACTTGGTGAATGGAAATCTGCCAACAAACAAATCTGAAGCTAGGAAGGTCCAGCAGAATGCAGTGAGATACTACATGTAAGACGACAAGCTCATTTGCATATCATACTTTGGCGCCCATCTCACCTGCATAAAGTATTTTTAAACACTTGAGGTCCACTGCAAAATTCACGACGGCAAGTGTGGCAACCACTCTAGGGGCAGGTTACTCGCCCAAATGGCTCTAAACATACACTATTTCTGGCCTACCATGGCTATGACTCTACCGAATATGCCAAGAGATGTGATCGCTGTCAGCAATACCAACCGGTTCCTAATTTGCTTGCTGAAGTCTACAATTTGTAGAACAGTCCATGACCATTCATGCAATAGGCTATTGATCTAGTGGTTCCCGTACCGCCAGCGCCTGCCAAGAAAGACACGATGATTGTCGTCATCGACTACTTTACTAAATGGATTGAGGCCGAAGCTCTATCATCTACCAAGGAAGCTGACGTGGAACGATTTATGTGGAGAAACATCATCTATTGGTTTGGCTGCCCGCAATCGCTGGATACCGATAGTAGCTTACAATTCATTGGCAAGCAGATTATCGCATTCTTCTCAAAATACAAGATCAAGCAACACCTGTCTACCCTGAGGTACCCCCAAGGCAATGGTCAGGCTGAGGCATCCAACAAAATCATATTGGGTTGACTAAAGAAGAGATTAGAAGGCGCCGAAGGGAAATGGGTAGATGAGCTCATTTGGGTACTATGAGCTTATCATACCACCAAGCGAAGATCATTCTCTCTTGAGGTGAGCAGTGTTGATCAGAACTCCAACCAGATGAAGCTTAACCTCGACTTACTTGAAGGAGAACGCGAGATAGCCATTGTCCGAGTTGCCTCCTACCTACAGCAGCTAAAGTCTTACCATGACAAAATGGCCAAAGTCAGACAATTTCAACTAGGCGACCTTGTCCTCAAAAAGAATTTCATCATTGTGTCAAGGCAAGGGTTAAAGAAGTTGAATCGCAACTGGGAGGGCCCTTACGTGATCAGTTGGTCCGGGATAGAAGAAGCTATACACTTGACACCATTGATGAAAAGGAAATTCCACGACAATGGAATGCTTACCACCTTCAAAGATATTACCTATGATGATTCCTCTTATCTGCTCAATTTCAAGCAGATGACTGAGCCCTCCACATTTCTAAAGAAGAGAAGCAATTGTTGGAAATTCCAGGTTCTTTAATAGAGCGACGTAATCTTATGAACATTAATACAAGTTCAGTTTCTCATTCTAGAATGTTCAAAAAATAAAAATAAAAATAAAAATGAAATACAGTTGCCTATAAAGAGCGTCCAAAAGGAGACGCAAGGCGACGACACCAGAAGCGTTCTCCGGGAGATGCAAGGTGCGCTAGGAATTTCCTAAAGGAGGTATCTAGGTTCTTATATGTTTTCTGAGGGAAGCAGGATGGTCACACAACATTTTTTGGGGAGTGCAACCCACAAGAAGCGTCTTTAGGAAGACGCAGGGTGCGCCAGAAATTTCATAAGAAAGGTTTACAAGTCACTATCTATTTCCTAAGGGATGTTAGATTTTTACATAGTTGCCCATAAGCAGCGTCCTTTAGAAGATGCAAGGTGCACCGGGAATTTCCTAAGGGAGGTATCCATGTTCCTATATATTTCCTAATAGAAGCAGGATGGTCGCACAGTGTCTTTTGGGGCATGCAACCCATAAGAAGCATCCTTAAGGAGACACAAGGTCACTATATGTTTCCTAAGGGAGGCAGTATAGCCACACAGTTACCCATAAGTAGCATCCTTCGAGAAACGCAGGGTGCCCCATGAATTTGCTATGGAAGGTATCCAATTCACTATCGGTTTCCTAAAGGGGGCAAGATACTCACTTTGCACAGGGAACAAGTCAAGGCAGAAAGTCTCGATGTCTCCATCTTCAATTACATAGAAGGGAGTAGTCCCATTTGTGCAATGCAGGTTACCCAGCTTGTAAGCATCTATGATGGCTTCGAACTTGGATTTTTCATTAGACTTGTGGTAGGTGCGAAGTCTAGCCAAAAGCTTGTCATAGTTAAAGAAGATGTCAGCATTCTTGTGCTCAAGAGAAAGTAAGCATATTTTCTACTAACCGAGTCAGCAGCAGAAGAGCTAAGCTCAGAATCCTTCTCGGCATGGGAACTCTTCAGCTTAGATATCATCGCCCTTAAATCAGACATCTTCCTCTCATAATGAGTCTACTTGGCAGAAAGCTTGCTAGTCAGTTCAGCATTCTTCTTCTCAAACTTGTTGAGCTGAGTAGAAGAAGAGGTAACAACAAACGAGCTCCGAATAGGGTATCAAGATCGCCGGCTTGACGGATATGATTAACCAGCTGAGAACAAGTGGACATGCTTGACAGAAAGTTCATCTTGAGCAGATCAGATATGCTTGCATCTCCGACAGGATTGAACTTGCCCACCTCGAGGTTCGCCGCTAGCACTGCATGAGAACCCTTTGCTAGTGCGAATGACGCTCTCGCTTTCTTAGCCTCCACCAACCTCACCTCCAAAAGGAGTCAATGAAGCTGAATCAACCCCACACGTGATTGCCCGTGACTCAATAGCTAGATGACCTTTAGAGGAATATTTGCATCTCTCTGCCTCTCATCGGGTGAACTAGATCGTGCACGGACTACTTCGCAAAGCAGGTCATGGTCTTCAAGCTTGTTAACAAGAGGCTTGAGTAGAATATCCCGAGCGTTGCTCATACCGCCAACCTTCCTGCTATCTGCACCAATGAGATGTTTAACCCTGGCAGATGACAGGGGGATAACTCCTACTTGTGTCTTCTTAACAAAAGATAGCTTTGGCTTCTTCCTCAACGGACACATTCTTCACCCACGAAGAAGCAGCTTCATCTCTTGAAGACTTGACCGTAGGCTTCCTTTTCTATAGGGGTCCAACATTACACTCCTCTTGTCCAGCAGGTAGATCATCAGGGTCTGGACCATTCTGCTTTCATCTCTCAACATTTAGGCAGGGGACAGCCCACCGACTTCTTCCCGATACTCGCTCAATAGCCAACACCACTCGCGAAACTTCTAGGGATATTTAGAGCTCGACCAACCTTAGCCATGTTTGCCCCCAAGATCCAACTTCTTGCATATGTCATTCACTGCAAGTAGAAAATAGAAGTTAGTCAGCCATATTTCAAGAAGTTCAAATAAAAAGAATACAAATTTATAAATAAACCCAATCCTAGACATGTATTTATAAAAAAAACCCAAGCACTATTTAAACATAGAAGCACACCCAAAATCAACCCCAAAGTTAACTTTTTGGGTGTGTTTATAAATGAGTTTTGAGTGTGTGTAATGATGGGTTTTGGGTGTGTTTATATGTTTAAATAGTGCTTGGGTTTTTTTATAATTTCAACCCCCATTTGGGTGTTTTAGTGAAACTCCCTAAAAAGAAAGCATATCAAAACAACGAAATGACGTATTGTTGCAATAGGTGATGGGAACAAATGGACCATTACCAACATTCCCTTCGCACCGTCCGCTGACCTCCAACACATTGTTGTGCCATACTTGATCTCCTTGATTGATATTGTTGAACAACTTGGCATGGCAGATGCGAACTTGAGCGTACTTCTCGTAGTGCCTCACTTCGCAGAAGTAGAAGAACTCTTGCGCCGTCAGCTCCAGCTTGAAGAAACGACTCGAATTCTCAAAACACATGATCGCCTGGTAGACGTTCGGAGTGCACTGACTCGGAGCACACCCTATGACGCAAAACACCTCCTTGAAAATCTTTGCCAAAGGGAATGTGAAGCCCAGGGAAAATAAAAGGGACGGAAGGTAATGATCCTAGCATCCGGATAATTCACATCCACGCAAGGCACATCGTTAATCAAAGGCTTCGCCAGCTTGACATGCACGTCTTCAGGAATGTCAGAAGCATAAGTGGCCTTCCACTTCTGGAACTGAGCTTCAGTCGTAATATGGTGCAGATAGCGACGAACCTCTTCTTGTATACTTGGGAGCCTCCCTACAGATACAAAGGAACTTGAGAGCTTGGTGACTTGCTACCATTTTTGGAAGACATGATCGACAACTGCAAGACAAAAAAATTTTGCAAGTTAGAATAAAAAAAATAAAAAAAGGAGCAGGCAGCCAAAAAAAAACAAGATGGCAGCAACAACAAAAATATATATTTTGAACATCTTGGACCAGCCCAAGCCGTAAAGGACCAGTGCCCAGGCCTGCACAACCCCAGTGCCTAGGCCTTTGCTGCTTTCCAGCCCGCCATGGACTTACAATCCGACCGAGGCCAGTGCAGCGCATGAGGCCCTCCTTGCTTCGCATCAACGGGTACCTCCTGGCCCAACTCTAGTATGCGAGCCCAACACAAGCCCATGTCACGCACGAGGCCCAGCGTCTCCATGCTCTCTCTTCAAGCCTAGTGAACGCAAGCCTAATTTCATCATGCTCTCGGCCTTCAGCATATGCTGGCCTAGCCAGCTCCATTCCCGCTTCTGTTAGGCCTCTAGCCCTTGCCCACAGACTCGCTGCTCAACCATGAAGCCATGACAATAGCAAAAACACTTGGTTGGTCCACATCCTTGCTGCCAAAAGTTAGAACTAAAGAAAAAAAAATTCCAAGTTGAATTACCTTGGATGTGTGGTGAAAATCAATCCCTCAAGCAAGCTGGAACAGTTCTCCAAAGTTTTCTCTGTCTCACTGACAAAGTTAAGGGGACAAATTTGTGATGAGAAAAATAATGGGGAGGAGCTTTATATTTATAAGGATCAAAATTCCTTGACTTACAAGGAATCTCAAGCCCATTCCAACTGGGTGTTCAGAAAATTAACAAGTCAAAAACCTCCTCCGAGCAAGAGCCCAAATCCAAGAAGGAAACCCAGTTCGACAGTCAATCCACATCTCCTACATGCCACCTCGCTCCATGCAGAAGCTGGGGGGCATTTGTGGGAACCGAATTTTAGCAAAACCCTAGGTCAAATATTTCCTTCCATTTGGGGATTATTTGGCCTAATTAGGAGTTATTTGATTCAATTGACAATTATTCGATTCTTACCCTAATTAGGAATTTGATTTAAATCAAATCCCTAATTACGTCAATCTCTCCAAATTGGGGAATAATAATTCCTTTCCATCTGTGAAATTATTCTTCCGAAACCCTAGCCTCCGTGGCTCCTATAAATACATGGCTACACCAAGGGTTAAGGTACGTCTAAACTCCTATCTCAAAATACTGCAGAAAACCTCCCTCACAAACCCTAGCCGCCATAACTCTTTCTTTCTCTCACACAAGGCTCCGGCCACCACACACAGCTCCGACCACTTGGTTCACACCATACATACATCTTCGTACCCTTTTGTTAGCTATTGTTTTCCTATAAACACTCGAACTAATTTAGGCATCGCAGGGCCTTTGGCCAAGACCCCCCAGGTGTAGTCCTTTACTCTGTATTGTTTTGCAGGGAGGAAGAGAATAGAAAAGGAAGACGAAATCTTAGACAAAGATTCTCGTGACACGAAAATTGCTCCCACACATGTGACATGCAAAGTGGCACTACACCTCAAAGTGAAGTCATAAAAACTTTTTAAAAACTTGACAAAGACAACAGCATTTGCCCAATCCTCCTCAACTGGTGGCGTATTCCCTTTACCAAAGCTTTTTTAAATTTCAAAGCAGCTTCTAGCATCATGTAGGTGGAATTCCACCTAGGTGGAAAACCCGAATCCAACCACTATATTTAATATTTATTTTTTAGGGCTAACGACCAAAGATACCCTGATGGTTTAGGGTCATTCTCAAATTGGGCCCCAAGGTATCAATTTTATCAATTGACGCCCTTACGTTTTTAACATCATCCAATTTCATCATTCCGTTAAGTTGACCAGACGGTCAATCGTTAAATGTTGACGTGGCACATGAGGTTTTTTGGGTTTAGTCAATCAATCATGAGCTTATCAAGGTTTTTTTAGCTCTTCCATCTGTCTTGCAAAGTGTGGAATAGTTGTTGCTTTTGCAGCTCCCCAGAATTTGTCAGACAAAGCTTTCCTTTTGAATTGTAATATGAAGTTGGTGAAAAGATGTCTTGCAAAAAACCTGTGTTCACTATTAGGAACAACTTGCTCAAAAGCTGGTAATAACCTTTTTTGCTTATCTGATATGAAAGTGTATCCAAACTGATTAACAATCTCTACATCCTTTACCAACAATTCCAGAAACCAAACCCATGAGTCCTTGCACTCAGACTCAACCACTGCATACGCAATCACCCATTTTTCATTATTAGCATATATACCAATTGCTGTTAAAAATTGCCCTCCATATACACCCTTCAAGAAGCAGCCATCCAATCCAATAATGGGTCTGCATCCAGCAATAAACCATGCTTTACATGCAGTTAGACATACATATAACCTTTGAAACACTGGATGACCCAATTGTTCATTGAAATCACATTGAACTTTGGTTGTTGTTCTTAGATTGGTCTTCCTTAACTCTTCACAATAATCCCAAATTCTGGAGTATTGTTATGTGTATATTCCATTAATCTGCCTTAATGCCCTCTCTTTTGCCCTATAAACTTGTTGCCTAGAAACTCCAGTGTTATAATCATTCTCCACAGTCTCCATGAATGAGCTAACTGGCCAACTTGGATTGCTCTTCAATGTTTCCATATATTTGGCACTTAGCCAACTAGACTTGACAGTGGGGTTCTCCCAAACAATACGACAAGTGTGTTGACCCTCATATTTCTTAACCTACAAGGTCTTCTTATGCTGTATTTTGGAAGCATATATCTCCTATGGACAATCTAGATTTGCATAAATTGCTTTTATCTTGAAAGCCTCACTTCTCATAAATACAACATCCCTATTCATCTTTATAAATTGTTCTTTGACAGCAGATCTAAAAACGTTACAATCATTTAACTTCATCCCAACCTCAAACTGTGGATCCCCCATGTCAGTTGCCGGATTCAACTCTGGCCATCTATCCTTCATTGGAGTGTCATCATCAGAGTCATATTTATGATGCACATTATCAAAATCATGCTCCTCTGAATCCAGTTCGACATCTGCATCCCAATCCCAAGATTCAACCTTAGCATTTGTAGAGTCTGGCTCTTTTCCTTTTGCCCCATCGCCAACCCACTCAATATGTTTGTCCACCCATTCATCAAAATCGACATCATCATCACAATCATCACAATTGAAATTAGGGTCTGCAAAATTAGAGTCAAGACTATTTGCTGACTCCTCATCATCATAGACTGTGGTCCTTTTCCTTGCTTTTCTTGTCTTCATTGAATGACATCTTAATAACTTGCTCTTTTCTACAATTGCTTCAACAACCTCATTCTCAACTAGTCCCTCAGTTACTGTATTGGACCTTTGGTCTTCTTTATCACATGTTTTCTTTACATTTTTGCACCTCCTTTTACCAAAAGCTCTTGCCCTCCTTTTCCCAAAAACAGAATTGACTTTACTTTTCCCTTTGTCTACAAGGGTATAAGATTCCCTCTCAACTGCTTTTTCTTTTACTGTTTGCACTGCAGAAGATTCCCTTTCTACTGCTTTTTCTTTACCTTTTTCAGAAACACCCCATCTTGCACAAGATTCCCTTGCCTTTTGTGTACCCCCACCACTTTGTTCCCCATTTGGGTCTTCATTAAACTCTTTTATCACAACACTTGTTTTATTTATTTTTTAAATTTTTTTTCCTGTTGTCTCCATTGTTTGCATTTCTCACCAACAGGAACAATAGCCCCATAATTGCCATCAAGCTCCTCAATCACAACGTAATTGCCATCAAGCTCCTCAATCACAACGCCTCTATTAGGCACAATATCAACTTCTAAATCAACAAACAGATTTGATCTTGATTGACTATAAAACCAATCCTCATTACTATCAACCTCATGATGTAGGAAGATGTCTATTAGCCTTGTCTCTGGTACAAATACAAGCATGTCTATGACATCTTGATCATCATTAAGCTTTGTTAGGCCACCATTTCTATAGGTAGGGATACCAATAACTAATCACCCCATCATAGTCTAACTCCTTTATCATATGGTCTATCTAAGTCATTGACATTCTATCCTTGTCACAATAATCAAACCAAGCTACATTGCCACAAGCATAACAGTTACCACAAATTTGACCACCATGGTACATTCGAATATAAAACAATTCATGATCACCTACATATTACATGTTCCAAACATGGGTTATTTTCAGTTAAAACATAACACACAACACAAAACACAGTATTCACACACTACACAAAAACCAAAACACAGTTTTCAATTATTTTCAGTTTAGGACCATTCTAGAAAAAGCTAAGTTTTTATTAAACAACCCTTTTCACACCCTTCCACCTAACACTTTTGCCTTATTAAAGGCAGACACTTTGACCTTATTAAAGGCGTACATTGTCAACACATGCTTACCTTGAAGGACCACCTATATTCGAAATCTGCAGAAGGACCACCTATATTAGACAAAATCTTTCATACTTCTCCCACTATTCCACGCATATTATAAAACACAACATTCAAACCACAATAACTCTTACAACCTCTAACCTATTCACCACAGATAACCCAAATCGCAAAAATTTAAAGCAACTTACAGTACGAGAGATGCAGAGCGCCTGGAGCCTTGAAATTTCTTCTCACTTCTTCGAATTGTAGATCTGAGCTCTTAGCTATGGAGATTTATGATTGAGGTTAAACTAAGGTTGAGGACGAACGACATTTTGGGGATTTTTGTTTGATCTCCAGCTTGCAAAGCGTGCCCAATTTGGGCACGATTTTTTTTATTTTAATTGTCGAAACCCAAAATAACCCTTCAATTGACATGAGCGGAATGGTCAATCCACTCGTGGGGTGGGTCCCATGGGTGCCACGTCAGCATTTAAATATTGACCGTCTAGTCAACTTAACGGAAGGATGAAATTGGATAATGTTGAAAACGTAAGGGCGTCAATTGATAAAATTGATACCTGGGGCCCAATTTGAGAATGACCCTAAACCAGCAGGCGACAAAATTTTAACTTTATTCCTCTTCGAGTCCTTTTCATTTTTCATCTTCAACTTCTCTCTCTCATCACCATGCTTCTCTCATTGTCCCCGCCTGTGTCGCTGGACGACTGCCATCACATCCGACGCCACCCTAAACCCTCAATCTCTCACCGATTCTCACTCAATTCTCTCTCTTTCTCTTGTCGTCCCTCTGTCTCTCTCTGAATCTCTCGACTCAACTGAAGGTATGATCTCAATCTCTCTCTTTGAAACTCGCTCTTAACTCTCTCAACTGTCTCAGCTCATTTATGTTTGGGATTTTTCAAAAAATTATGAAAGAGATTGAACCCGTTTGATCATTTGCATTCGAACCCATTTGATCGTTTGCATTCATGCAAATGATTTGAATTGAATCTCATGACTGAAGAAATTGAATAGATGTGACAGGCTTTGATGTTATTTTTGAATAAATGTCTTGGCTATTTTATTTATTTTATTGGTATTGTGAGTTGGATTTCTCATACTAGCTACGTTGTGCTGTTGGTTCTGTTTGAGTTTATTCGTTATGGAGATATCATTTTGGGAGGTCTACCTTTCTTATTGTATTCATTTTCCATTTGTTTCAACTGAACATCGAATTATTGAAATAAAAAAAAGCTTTTTGTTGGGAAAGTTTCTTAAAAGGGTTATCTATGGAAACTTTATGGTTGTTCGATATAGTTTGAATATTTTTTAATAGAAAATGTTTTCTTGATTGACATAACAGTGGGAAAATTGTTTCTGCCTTGAGAAACTATTTCCTAATGAACTGTTGAGTAAAACTTTTGAACAATTGAAAAATATCTTGTTTCAAACAAACATCAATACCGTTTTGAATGTAAAGAAAATGGTTTCTTCAGGTTAATGATAATGATTACATGAAAGTTGTCTTCTCTCTCTCCCTTTCTTGCTCATGGAACATTGTTTCCATATTCCGTTTTTTAATTTAGAGTTGAACATTTGCTTTTGACAATGTTATGTTGCAGAACTCGGTGTTCAAGTTTGCGTCTTCACAGAATAGAAGAAAATATAAAGCAAAACCAATGGCAAGGCGGGCCATCGGTGAACAGCTGATCATTCCAAATGAAAACTTGTACATTCAACATAAAGGTATTCGTTCATGCTTCTGTTAATGTTGTATTGCCATCCTTTGAGGTGAACATTTTTAAGCTCAAAGAATAGTTGGAAATTTTTTTGGGACCCAGGACCACTTGGCATGTACTCATGATATGTTCGATTGGTGCAGAATTTCTTTTGACATTTATCCTTTGACTGTCAGATTTGTGCATATATATAATTTTCTTTGTTAAGGATGCCCTTTTTTGTAAGAAAAGTGAACGCATCCTTTCTAAGGCTACCCAACACGTATGTCAACAATAGGAACCGTCTGTATTTATCCTTGAAAAAATCATCCAAATCCCAAGTTGTTTGGTTATCTAAAATTTGCCTAAAAAACGCTGTTAGATAAAACTGAAACAAAAATGTGGATAATCAAATGGTTAAACAATTTCGGATTCAACTGATTTTTTGCATGGATAATCCTTGAAAGCTATGTTGCACCGATGCGCTGGATTTTTGGGGTATGCTCATATCCGATACGGCACCGATACAGCATCGATACGTATCCAATACGCCATGTGGCGTATCGTAGACTTTTCTAGGATGTTGACTTTACGATATGGCTCTGATGCTCCATTGATACGGTCACGATACGCTAGCGATACTATCCCGATACGTCAATAGGTAACTTTGACGGCAACTCAAAGAGAAGAAGAAGAAGAAGGCGGAAGAAGGAAGAATGAAGAAGAAAAGAACTTACTTGCGCTTGCAGCTGCTGCAAATCTGCAGTTGCAGACAGTTGCTGTGTGAAGAAGAGGCGACTAACTAGTGAAGAAGATGATGTTGGGTGCCTTAATTACAATACGCACCGTTTTAGTTGCATGTTTGGTGGCCATTGTTAAAAAAAATGTTTTATACCTTTTTAATTCTGATGCATTCATTTGGGCCAAGCCCAAGAACTGAAACAAGTCATATATGGCCTAGAAAAACATAAGGAACTAGAAAAAAAGTCCAAAATGCTAATTTTACATATATATATATATATATATAATTTAACATATATATGTTTATATTTTTATAATTTTTATAATTATATTATTTTAATCGCCGTATCTGTGCCGTACCCATATCCTATTTTTTAGAGATTTGTCGTATTGGCGTATCGTATCGTATCGTATCGTATTGCCGTACCCGTATCCATATCGGTGCAACATAGCTTGAAAGAGAAACTAAAAACTATGGTTCGGATCATTGGTTAATAGATCAGAAATAGGATGTACTTAATTTAGGAAAATCAGGACATTCGGACTATAGAAACCCTCTATGTATATGTACATATCTTCCTACACGTTGGCTTTACCTTCTGTTACTATGCACAAAACAATTTCTCTTACGAAGCACGTACTTGTTTTGCAGAGCCTAATGCCGGTGGGAAGAGCAAGTGTTCTAAAACAGCTACAAAGAAAGGTGGAGTGGGCTTTGGGAGTCGTAAAGCTCTTAATGACATTACAAACAAGATTTTACCCAAGGAAGCTTCATCAAAGAAAAAGACACTACCTAAGGAAGATTTTAATGTAGCTGAAGAAGTTTTTGCACGATCACGAAAAATGTATCAAAGCACAAGGAGCCGCAATGAATAAGTTTTACTTGGACACGGTCCTTCCAGTACAAGGTAGCTATATCTTGAATCCTGATAAAAAATGGAGTCGTTTTGGCAATTCAATGGCTTGGCTTCCAACTTTATATACCATCCAACCAGAATTCGATTTGAACCAACTCATATTGTAATTTGTAACAAGAGACCTGATGAGAGAAGAAATTTTGATACAGTAAATGGTAAAGTAAATTCTCTCAACAATTTGAACTCAAAGGATTCTTATTTTAATGGGTTCCATGATGGGTGGGACGATCTCAAATTAAACTTGGTCTGGGATATATGCTAGAGATTGGGGGATTTATAGATAGCTTGTAAATCACAACAACAGTAATATTTCTCCTTCAACACCAATATGGGATAAATGCTAGCGATTAGATTACAAAAATATAACAGTTGAACTTTAGATAAACATGAAAATCCGGGAACTTGTAGCCCAAAATCATATCCCCTATTGGATTTCATTGAACATGTAAAGGGAGATTCTCACTATAGTTATCTTAATTGGTGCAATAAGATATTTTCCAAGCATCTTATCAACTATGATGGCTTCAAGTTAAGAGAATATTACAGAGGGAGTTGCGGAAGGAACAGAGCTGCACAGGGAGATGGGTTATGAAGTCGTAGAGGAAGAGAGTGAATAAGATTGTTGGGAAATAGACATTAAATCAAATTAAAGAGAGATAATCGAAAAAAAAAGAAAAAAAAGAATGAGAGAGAGAGGAGTTTTAGAAGTTTGTGTTTGTTGCCAATAAAGTAATAAATGCAAAGTTAAACGCATCTTAAATGAATTCTGAACCGTTAGATTAGGATAGATCTAAGGGCTAAAGATGTATGTAAAAAAGTGTGGTTTTATGCATGTCCACCGATCCTGACCCTATATATATATATATATATATATATATATATGTATGTATGTATGTATGTATATATATGAGTAAACAGTTATGTGCACTGCAAATGCATGAAGCTAATCTTATGAAAGAGCAATTGGATGAGTTACAAGATCATCTTGGATCTTGAAAAACATTGATGATGAGAACCAATTCATTATTACATTGTGCTCCCTTCCAAATTCTTAAGAGTTTTCATTTGATACCATGATTCATGGTAGAGTCCCCGCCACTACGTTGGGAGTCCCCGCCATTCTCTCCTTTAGCATTGCCACTTGAGGTGGTTGAATTTGTGTTGAGGGAAGGAAACGATTGAATATGTCCCCACATGTTCAGCCTTTCTTTCCAGATGAAATGTAAATCAGATTTACTGTTGTTATTCTTGATGTCTCTTTCCACATCAAAGATTTTGTATTCGTTCTCCATTGGAGCTGTTGAGTAATGGGCATTGGGGCTTGCTCATTTAAGAAAGGGCCCTTTTGAACCTCTATTCTTCACGTTCAATTCCGTTCTTAATTGAATTGCTTCCAGCTGTTGTAAGATACAACCTTGATATTAAAACTCTACCTTGGAACAACTGCTTTTGGTTATAAACCTCTTCGATTCACAGAGCTGGGGAATCATATTTCTATTTGTTTCGTTTTGATTGTTTGCTTTCTTGGTCAATTTTTGGTTTGATTGTTAAACATATGTATATGTATATGTATATGTGTGACATTTGTTAAAAAATATGACATCAATGGTAACAAGGCTCGTAATAAGAGTTGGCTTGTGACATCAATATTCTTTTGGATCTTAGAATAGGAGGATCTTTGATTCATCTGTGAAATTCTATCCTATTTCTAGCATCCAGATGTAAATATGGATCAAACCCACTGTAAACCCCCATTAAACTCAGCATTAGGCATTCCTACAATTTTCTCTTCTAGTATGATTTGGTAGCTATTTCCCAATATCTTTCCACATTCGGAAACTGGTGAGAAATTACCAATGTACCCTTTACTGAAGAGTGGACTTGGGTGCTGCTCGCCTGCATTGGAAGCCAGTGGTTTACTTGGAAAACAAACAAAGAACAAGGAATTTTTAACTAGTTTTCCCTTAATGGAACCATTTACCCGTCTTTTATGCATGTCAATTGTCATCCACTCCGTCAGCCATTCTTAGTTTATCATGTCTGTTCCTTTCAAAGACCATCAAAAGTTTATTTGGCCGGCCATTGGGTTGCTCTCATTTTCCTAACTCATTGTTTTATTTCTTTTGTTTTACTTTAATTTTTAGGACCTTTTACCTTTACATGCCGGCTGAAACCCACACTATACTTACCATGATAATTCCATTACACCATTAACATTTACGATATTTTTCGAAAATTTCAAATGGTTGGATTTATTCTAATAGGCACTTCACTGTACTTTCTTGCTCAGTTTCAGTGTTTTTCTTCAGGTGAAAGCTCTTTTGGTCTTTCTTATCATGGAGGGAAACTCATGACAGAACCAGTCTCTGTTAATATTCTATGGTTTGGTACTGGTTGGCAAGAATCTGATAGAGAAGCTATAAGAAAGTCTGTTACTTCACTAACTTCATCTCAATATCTTGTTAAGGATTCTGAGGTTCCTACATTGGGAAACTGGTGGGAGATTATTAGACAGTATGGAGACAGTAATAATGTTCCTGTCACTGATAGAGTGGATTTGGGTGCTGAGTGCTTCTATACAGGTCCTGAACTCAACATGACCCTAGACCAAGTAGTTTACATTGGGAGATCAATTTTCAACAAGTCTTCCATCAAAGGTTTTGATGGGAACCTGAACTGTCATCGGCTTTTCGAAGTAAATGATAACAGTATCTACCATATTGTGTTTTCTTACACTGTGATGTTCTTAGACAGCAAGGAGCAGAGGCAACTGATGGACATGTGTAGTGGAAGGTTTCAACTTGAGGTTTTTGCAGGGTTGAAAGTAAATATTCTTTGGGCAAGAACCCCTCAAAATGCTGCTGATCAATGTTCAATGCTTTTTCATGGAAATTCTTACTTGGGGCCTCCAAATGGTGATGAGAAGGTTGATAGCTTGGTGGGTTATATGCTTGCCAACATTGCTGAGGAGGTTACCAACCAAGATGGAAGTGGATGGGTTAGTAATGATGGCAGTGGGATGACAGTTAGTAATTCTTGTGCCTCTCCACTGTGGAGGGATAATGGTGATCCTCCTTTGTTCAGGGATACAGAAAAGAATATGAGTTTCAATGTGGTTGGTTTGAATGGTTATCGATACATCATGCCATATGTTTGGGACCAGAAAACCAGGAACTGCGCCTTGAAACTCTCAGGTATTATAAGAATCAAACAGGGAAGTAGAAAGCTAAATGCCATCTTCTTTTGCAATATGCACGACCCTCTTTTTTTTCTGTTCACTTGTAAAGACTATGATAACAGTCAACCATAAAATATCTTCATATACGCGCTGCAAAGTTTTGAAAGGTTCATGTTGATTTTCTCCTTTCTTTTCTTTTTTTGCAAATTAGAGAGCCTTTCTTCCGGTGTTTTTTCTTTTTTTCTTTAACATAATCAAGTTTGTTTTCCCCTTATTTTTCCTCCAGAAACCTGTGAAACTAATGCAATGGTTATCTTAAAGAAGCCAAAAGGATACTTGAGGGGAGGAATTATAGTAAACCACTCCAATGGCTTGCAGCCATATCCCCCAAACCAAAAATGTCGATGGGCAATCCACTACCCGACAGCAAAGTTTATCCGATTCACCATCAACTACCTTTCAGTTGCAACAGATAGTGATGATCACCTGCTAATTTGCAAGTCAAAATCAAAATCTGCAGAGTGTTCTACGTTGAAATCAAACAACGGAAGATATGAGAAGAATTTCAAGTTGATGAGCTCAAAAGCTTACATTGAGTTCAGAACTGGTGACCAAGTTTCTTTTGAGTCAAGAGGATGGGAGCTCAGTTATTCTGCAGGTAAGCTATCCCAAGCAAATATGACTGTTTTAACTATACATATAATGTATCAAAGTTGTTTTTAATAGTTTCCTGCACAATCCTAGGACTTTGCTATGGAAAGGAAGATTTATACAAACATGATGGAAATAGCGGCTACGTCGCATCTACTAGCTTTCCCTACGTAGAGGGACTGAAATGCCAATGGGTTCTCCATGGAAAACCTGGAACTCCTGTCTTTATAACCTTCGCTCATATAAACATCTCTAAAGGTTTGGATTTTCTTGCGATTTATAATGGCACAATGCAGCCGATAGCAAACTTTTCCGGGTTGTTTACAGGCTCTGATCTCCCACAATTGAACTTGAGTGGTGAGGTTATTATTGCATTCACCACTCAGACTGATCAAGGAGAAGGCTGGTCAGCTAACTTTCACATCGCTCATCCTGTGAATCATGACAAGAAGGTCTTCGTTGTCATCCTTATTGTTGTCTTAGCACTTATAACAGCCAGTGTTTCTTTTCTTGCTGTGGCATTAGCTGTAGTTAGAAAGAAACTAGAGCGCATAAACGCAACGGATTCAGACGAGGGCCTTATGCTAATGAGCATAGACGCTATTCGGGTGGAAAACCGAATCGGAGAGGGGCCTTCTGCTGTGGTTTATAGAGCAGTTTCGACTGATGGAGTTCTAGTAGCAATTAAATCTCTAAGAGACATAACTGCTGAAACAGAACTTCAACAAGAGATTATGGTCAAATCCTCTTCTCATCCAAACATTATTTCATTTCTGTGGCATTCTCAAGATGGACTTGGAAGACACTATTTTGTGTTTGAGTACATGGGTAAGGGAGATTTGAGCTTGAACTTGACGAAAAGAGGAGAAACACTGGACTGGGATAAGAGGATATCAATAGCATTTCAAATCGGCTCTGCCATTCAAATGCTGCATATGTACTTGAAGCCACCTGTATATCATGGAAACATAACATCTGAAAACATATTTCTTGATGAATTCTACAATGCAAAACTAGGAGGTTTTGGGGCTGCAAACTATTGCGGCAGCAGCAACAGAGCTAATCCTGAGCAACTATCAGAAACGGCTGAAGACATATGGAGCTTTGGGCTACTGTTAGTTGAGCTTCTAAGAGGTGAGCCTCTGGTGGACAGAGAAACATATAAAAATTCTAGGAGGCTAGAAGAGATAAATGAGCTCCTTGGCAGTCAGGAGTGCGTTGACCGAAGGTTGACCATCCCCCACGAAACATGCAAAATGGGTTTTGTAAAGCTTGGTGAAATTGCAAAGTGGTGCATTGATAGTAGCTGGAGAGTTGAGGGGGGTAAGAATAATCCCAAGATAGGTGATGTTTTGTCGGGTTTGAAGCAGGTGAAGCTCTTGTTTTCCACTGCTTCAGGTTTGAAACAAAACAAACAAACACATTGTTACAGCAAAGAACTAGAACAACAGTCGCAGTAATTGTTGGATGAAATTCTGAGTTGTGGATTTGTACATGTTTTAGGTGTAGGCTTTGGTGAAAACCACATTACGTATATTGAAGGCCAAATTACACATCCTAACTATTCCTTTCACATCACTACGTCAAAACTATATTGCAATCAAAATCTGCAAAGGAAAATACAAAATCAGAGAAGAAAAACAAACTTAGGTACATCAGTAGTGTTGCCAATGTTACATCATAATTAATCAATTAAGTTGTCAATTAGGCATCCATTGCTCGTAAAAACATATGGTACATAAACAACCTAAGTTCAACCAAATGTAGCAACTAGGTGTACAAAAAAAAAGGATTGATAGTGATGAATTACAGTATCATTATAAGGCTGCAAGTCTAGCGCCTTGAGTATAAAATTTTTTGGTTTTTGACAAACATTGAGTGTAAAGTTTGAGAATGGTATTCAGACTCAGCGCTAGAACGAGAAGCAAATGGTTGTTTCTTCGCACTCCTATGGATTAGATTCATACCAAGAAAAATACAATAACAGGAAGTAGAATGCCTAGGCATGAAGTGCAAGAGGACCAAAAGAGGATCGAAAAATGATAGCGCAAAATACGATTAGCAGCAGCGAGGTTAGAAGTGCGAGGCACACTCATGAATTGTGCGACATGATGAACCCCAAAGGCAATATCTGTGTGGTAAGTGTTGTCAGATACTTAAGAGAACCAACAAGGTGACAGTGCTCAGTAGGGTCTGATACTAGATCACTATCTAAGGGAGAAAGTTGGGTCTTGGAATTGAGAGGTGTACTCTTACTTGGAACAACCATAGAATTACATTGCAACAGATTAACCGTATTGATATGAGACTGGGTCATTTATGAGATTTTGAGGGTCATGTGTGAAACTTAAACTGGAGCCTCATATAATCTAATATGAAAATACTATAAATAACAAATTTGCTATAACTCAATGTCGTAAAACAATTTTTTATAACTAAAAGTCACCATCAATGAACATGTAA